TGAAGGTGAAGCCCGACAACCGATATCCAAAAGGGAAACACTGAGCTTCAAACTGGCTTCTCCATTGGGGTCTGCCAAAGGCTATGCCCAGTCGTGCCAAGAGGCAAAGTTTGGGCGGCCTGTAGTTTGGCATGAAGGGAATGACCGGTTTTACAGTAAGTCGTCCACCCAAAACCCACCCTTATTCCCCTGGTTTTTGGTTTTAAACTCTCTTTTCCCCTTTGCTTTTCCCTGTGCCTGCTATTTTCCTTAACTTTTTCTTTTCTATTCTTTCTATCTTTTTTTTTTATTCAAGGGGATCGTGTTGGAATATGCGCTATAAAGTAGCTGGCAAGCAACAAACAAGCACATACGACCATAGGGAGTGGAAAACAGGGCTTCCCGTCCGCTCAGCCATACTTAAGCCGCTCGCCGGCCGGTTAGTAGTTGGGTGGGTGACCACCAGCGAATCCCGGCTGTTGTATGTTTTTGCCAGTTTTTTTTTTTTTTTTTAACAACCCCTTCTCTTTCCTCTTTAGTTATTTATTTATTTATTTCTTATTGTTTTGTTTATTTATCGTCTTTCTCTCTTTTTGGGAGACCTTTTACTCTATTCTCTCTTCCCATTATGCGTTGCGGGGTGTTTCTTGCACGCTTACTTAATCAAGCCCAAAGAACTTTTCCTCCCTTTCGCTTTGCGATTTTTGTATCTGCTAAACTAATGATTTTTTTTCCTTCGAACAGATATATTGTCGCTGGAACAACGGTCTGGTCAGGTGCCAGCTACGTCTACTCCAAGGACGCAGTGAAGATCCTCACAGCGGAGGAGATTCAAAAGAGAGCAGATTTGAAGCGGAAACTTGAGGACGAAGATTGAGCGGAATTAAATAAATGACTAGGTGAACGTGTTTTCACCTTAGCAGGCAGTGTGCAGTGAACGTGCAAGAAAGGGAAATTTTTGGCCCTACTCCATATATATACCTTTCCATGTATAGTAGTTTTGAATTCCATGTATCTAGACATTCAGCAGTAGTATATTCCGGTGCGCTATGACCCTTTTTCGGCAGTCGCATCAAACGCTTTACATAGTGTGCCAAACTCCTACAAACCAGCTTCGAATGCTCAAGAATTATAATTCACCACTGCGTTTTAAGTTATTTATGGTGGAAATTGAAAAACAAAACAAGAAATATATTTATCCAGCGGCATCCGGACACCAATCCGTTAAGTACTAGTATTGAAATGAAACAGGCTGTCAGAAAATTAAAGGCAGATAAATGGGGATGTTTACACAAAGATGATTAATTCAACGCCTTGTCTGAACCCAAAACACATATATCCAGAAGATTTCCCAAAGGGCAAATGTCGTAATATACATCCTCCTCCATGCACGCGGCGTCCTGAACACGCTCCGAAGATGGCAAAAAATCCTCACGCCTCATATAGGAAAAGAATGACAAAAAGAAATCAGACGCCTTGTACGGTATATGAACGTAAATAAAAATACAAGAGGTACGTGCCAGCCAGGGAACACCTCCCTCCCGCCCTCCTAAGCGATGCGGCAGGAAAGTCATATCGAGGACGCAACCCTCGTCGCTTCATCAGAGACATCCAGATCCTGTCCAACGTCCTGTTGAGAACCTTTGCGCGCTTGGCCGGCGGTAGTTCTGCGGACATGAACCAAAAGCTTCAAAGCCGCAACGGGTGTCATCCCTTCAATTCTGCGGGCCATGCCTATACTCTCCGGTCGGACCTTCTCCAGCGCCGCGCGCTCCTCAGTGCTCAAGCCGGTGATGAGCGAATAATCGATATCCGGCGGGAGCAGGAGGGCCTCATCCTTCTCGAAGTTACGCGTCCTGTCTGCGTGCATTTTTACATAGGGTGCATAGCGCCCCTCGACGGCGACGCGGTGTTTAATCTCTGACGCAAATGAGGAGGCCGTATATGCCTTCCCACTCCGTGACGACGATGGTGGTTCTATGTGAGGGATGATATCGTCGATGGAGATGTCTCGAAGACGGAGCAGATCAAAGGCGGAACGGACGTTGTTGTCGTAGTGCACGCCGAAGCCCTTGCGTGACCACAGGGCGGATGGGAATTTGGTGTTCTCGAGCAGCGTTTGTAGCTCTGTGATTTGTGCTTGGACCTGACTGAAATGTTCCCAGCGCTTATCTCCGACGACCCCAACCTCGCGGCCTCGCGCCGTGAGGCGCAGATCTGCATTATCGGAGCGGGTTGAGATGCGGTATTCGCTTCGAGACGTGAACATTCGGTAGGGCTCGGACACGCCTTTGGTGATGAGGTCATCCACCATGATACCGATGAAGCCATCCGAACGGGAAAGGGTGAATGGGGGTTTTGACTTGGAGGCTAAACCAGCATTGATACCAGCCAGAATGCCTTGCCCTGCGGCTTCCTCGTAGCCCGTAGTGCCATTGATCTGGCCAGCGAGATAGAGGCCGCTGATTAGTTTGGTTTCTAGTGTTGGCCGAAGAGAGCGTGGATCGACGTAGTCGTATTCTACCCCATAACCGGCTTGGAGCATACGGACATTTTCCAACCCGGCAACTGTTCGAAGCATAGCAAGTTGCGCATCGGCAGGGATTGTCATTGAGATGCCGTTTGGGTAGATCACCTCGTCGGGCTCGAAACCTTCCGGCTCTAGCCAGATCATATGTCGCTGTTTGTCTTTGAATCGGATAATTTTGGACTCAAGAGACGGACAGTATCGAGGGCCTTTCACGGTCTCGCGAATGTGGATGGATTTGTCAAGGTTGTCCCTGACAATCTGGTGAGCTGCCTCGTTGGTATAAGTAGACCAGCAAGGGAGTTGGTCTTCGTCGTCAACATCTACTCGATTATTTAGATATGAAAATGGAATAGGTGGGGAGTCTCCTGGTTGGACTTGGAGGTTCGAAAAGTCAATCGTTTTCTTGTCAAGTCGAGGAGGGGTGCCTGTCTTTAAACGACCAAGCTGGAACCCAGCCTCTCTTAAAGACCTGCTTAACCCAAACGTGGCTGCTTCTCCTAGACGACCTGAGGGGAACACGTCAAGCCCAATATGTATCTCCCCGCCGAGGAACGTGCCAGTTGTGATTATCACCCGTCCAGTCGGTATCACCTCACCGGATTCCAGCCGCACGCCTATTATTTTCCCTTGCGACCCAGCAGGTAAATTATCCTTCGAAACAATAATATCCCCTACTTTTCCCTCCACAATGCTCAATCCAGGTGTATTGCTCAATTCATCTAGCATATTTTGCCGATATAGCACACGGTCAATCTGAGCTCTGGGGCCCCAAACAGCCTCCCCTTTGGACCTGTTCAGGATTCGAAATTGGATCCCCGACTTATCGGCAACCTTCCCCGCCACCCCATCTAACGCATCGATTTCCCGTATCATGGTCCCCTTGCCGATTCCTCCAATACTGGGGTTGCAAGAGCAGACGCCGATGTTCGACAGAGAGGGGGTAACGAGAGCTGTCCTGGCTCCCAACCGGGCGGCAGCAGCGCAAGCTTCCGAGCCAGCATGACCGCCCCCAATGACGACGACATCATAAGCCCTAGAGGGAGACTACATATTAGTAAAAACTCTCCCAATCCCACCGCCGGGATATCAATTGGGAAACTGACTGGGCATCAGAGTTCACGGTTGCAAATGTCCTGACAGTTCGAAACGGCCCTTGACGAGAAACACGGGCCCAGCGTAGTGCTGCAGATGGCCATGCTCTCAAATACATAGCAATATCCCAGTAGTTATGTATTCTGTATTACCAGAACTTGGTCATCAGTAGACATCGTTGTTTTGACTACCATTCAAATCAAAATATAAAAAATGTTCTTGAAGCTTGAATGGAAAGCACGTGATTTTTCCTAGTGGATTTTTCCCAAGACCGTATTTATCAATCACGTTTTCCATCTCGATACAACATGAGCTTTCCTTAATTCCATCCCACCATCCTTCTTCATCGCCGTCTATATTGAACTATCCATAATCCCTTGTTGCAGATACTGTGCACATTGTCTCTCCAACATTGCCCAAAATGAAGGCCTACTGGTACGATAACATCCCTGTGCGTTACTCCCTAATACCCCTCATACCCCGCCAGAGCTCCCTTGTAGTGGGGCCGACATCTATCTAACATCCACCTCCGCAGGGCGACCAACGTCTCCCCCATGACTCCGGCCTCCCTGTCGACGCATCCTACCTCGCCACCATTGGTGTGCTCTACCGCCATTGTCCCGCTATATCCGCCGTCGACGCCTTAGCCAGGGATCGCGGCTACAAGAACCGCGATGAGATCATCATATCACCCGAGAAGATGGGTGATGTGTACGAGGATAAAGTAAAGATGTTCTTCCATGAGCATCTGCATGAGGACGAGGAGATTCGGTATATAGTTGACGGGGAAGGGTTCTTCGATGTCCGTAGTAAAGATGACGAGTGGGTGCGCATCCGATTGGGGAAAGGCGATTTGATTGTGTTGCCGGCGGGCATTTATCATCGGTTTACAACGGATGAGAATAATGTGAGTCTTTTTTCTTTTCCTTTTCTGTGCGTGTATGTATGTATGAGAGAGAGAATTTAGGGGGATTTAAAGAGGGGGGAGTGGGCGCGGGTTGATATACTAGATACACACACATACTAATCATACCTCGATAAAACAGTACGTGAAAGCCATGCGCCTCTTCCAAGACGAGCCAAAATGGACGCCTCTGAACCGCGCGCCAGAGCTGGATGCAAACCAGCATCGCAAAACATATGTCGAATCCTATATTTCTTCCTCTGCCTCTTAGTCCCTCGATGCAATCCGGAATGGCCACACTCTCATACATTTGGTTTCTGTGGTTCAGAACAAGTGAACTATGACAACATGAACATCCTGATCTATACTACGCTTTTTCGAGTACATCCCGGCCTACATTTTCTGCAGGCATCTAACATGGCTTGTTGTTAGTATCTCTCTCTCTCTTTCGGTATGATGGATAGAATGGATGGGTGATATGTATGCCGTCCTAGTCGTCGAGTTTCCTAATGTGAACGTGCGATGATGTTAATGGCTGATGACAACTCTTTATTATTTGATGGAAATTGAGGGTTCCGCATAGGGGTTACCATTTCTTATCAGACTGGATACCCCCCCTTGGTAATAACTGCATTTACATTCCTTTCTTTCTCTTTTACCCTTTTCGCTCATTGATAAAGAATGCAATAGTTGACCCAAGCGACTTGGTTGACTTGGCTATTTTATTGCAAATATAATGGAATTTTGAGATATGATTATCATGATTTTTGTTGCCTGCGGTTCGGATGATGGGGCGATCTATATAATATGACAGAATCTTAGAAACGAAAACGCGAACCGCTAGATAGATATACAGAAACAGAAGAATATATAACTATACGTATGGAAATGCTACCAAATACCTGACTCCATCTTGGATACTATGGAAAATAGGAAACAAAAAAGTAATACCCCAACACGCATACAAAAAGGAAGTTACCCCTCTTCCGCCCACTTGCACTGAAATCATTATCAGCTACGTCACTGGTACCGAGTCCGGCATCGACCCTGGCATCGCAAACCGCTCATCGCTACCCCTCCCGGGCCCGTCCCCATCGTCACCTCCTCTGTTCTGATTCTGTGGGCCTGCCTCAGAGAATATTCCGCCCGCACCCTGACCCTGCACAACGCCAGTCCCACCATTACCATGCGCATTAGGTCGATACCGCAATCCCATCATATCCCATCCCCCGCCCCGATGAATTCCCTCTCAGGCCCCACTACCCGTCCCCTCCCCCTCCCCCTCCCCCTTCCCTTTCTCTCATCCCATCCCCCACCAGCCGTGCCAGGAATATCAACTGGTACAGACCCCACTCCCGCCCTAGCCTCCGCCTCCTCCTGACTGCCCCTCACCCCCGTCCTCCCCATCCGAGGCCAGATATTCGGCAACCCCACAACCTGCACGCGCGGCTCGACGACTCGCTCTTCAAACCATGCCTGCATGCGCGCCTCGACGAGTTGTGCTACCTTGGGCACATCTTGCAGGCGGCTGCGAGAGCCGATGAGCGAGCGCACGGAGAGGTCGAGGCGGTAGTCTGGTAGAAAAGAGAAGGCGAGGCTTGTTTTAGGGATGCCATGCGCATGCTTGGTGTGTGCGTCGTCGGCGGTGGCAGCGGTCGGGGTGGAATTAGTAGGCTTGTGTTGGTGAAAAGTATGCCGTTGAGTGCTCTGCCCTTCGGAAGTTTGATCGTGGGTGGAGACAGTTTCGGTGCTGGTGCTTTGGTTCGGTGGAGAAGCGGATGGGCCCATTGTTTGATCTGAGGTACCGGGGCCGGGGACGAAGGAGATGCATAATGTACCAGAGAAGCGGACGACAGAGACGGCGAGGGCGACGGGGAGGACGGCGGAGAAAGGCTTTGGGTAGTTTAGGAGGAGGGAGGTTTCGACGGCCAGAGAAAGGTTGTCATCACTTAGGTCGACGTCCATGAGTGCCTGGAGGCGGCCGCCGTCGGAGTTTGGATCTTCGACGGCGATCACGCGGCAATTGCTGAAGATGGGAAACTCCTCGCCAAGCGATATGTCTGTTACCTTGATGGTGTCTATGAAGGAAGGTTTCTTTTCTGGATTGTTTAGCGCTTCAGAGAGAGAGGCCAGGATGGACGACGTGGGCGAGTCCTTGAGGATATATGCCGTCTGTCGATATCGGGCGATGGTCTGTGCAATGAGAACATTAAACCAGTCCAGAGATTCTGGCTGATGAGAGGAATGGTGGACGCGTGATCGACCATGTTTAGAAGTAGGATTTGTAGGCGTGGCACTGTAATATGTCTTTCGAAGGATGGAGCGGGTGTTCGTGGAGGACGAGGGAACAGGCCGGAGTATGTTGGACGTTGAGGGCTTTTCTCTTAGTGTTCGCGGACTAAAATCTGTAGAGATTGCATTTATAGAATACGATCGTCGATGGGAACTCGTACGATTGTACAGACCGCTCCGGGACGGAGGTGGAGGAGCTTCGCCGAATATGAAGAATTTGATGAAGGCTCCGATCAGTAGGACAACGGACAGTTGGCCAACAAGGAGGCCTTGTGTAAAAGAGAGACTATAGCAGAAGCTATTAGAAGGGCTGGAGAGGCCTTATAGGTGGTATGGATAGGGAGGCTAGACTTACGAGGACTGCGCCAACGCGGGCGGTGGAGCTTGGGTCTGATCTATGGTGATAGGCTTAGCTTGAGGGAGAATGCTTGGGAGCGCAGCGGGGACAAACTTGAAGGACCTGCCATTCTAATGGGACATCAGGCACTGGTGGGTACACGATTCCATATCGCAACGCGTAGTTGGAAGCGAGCCAAAGCGAAGTTTCGTACTGATAGCTGCCATCAACTGAATTGAATATAAGCAAAACTGCGAAGTTGAAGTTGAGAACGATATCAGATCGATCTTATCGCTTGGCAAAGTCGTGAGTCACATGATATTCGCCTTGTGTTCCATTTCATGTGATATTGATAGTCCACGAAGACATATAGGCATGCAGGTGGACTTTTACAATGTTTTTAAAGATATATCTTCCTACCGAGTTTTCCGTCTGGAGTGGTGCCAGCATCCCACGAATGACGCACAGGACAATGGAACCATACCAACGTATGCACGTATAGTCTCTATCATCAACTTTGCCGCAAAATTAGAGATGTCAGTAGTCTAGAAATGGGGGCTATTTTGTTATAAAAGAGCATAAAGGCACATTAACAATTTTTGTCGTATCTCCAAGGATTAAAAAAGGACGGCCGTGCATTCCCACTGAAAATTGTCACAAGCCATGCGAGAGTTGGTGAAAACTCCATATAATCTGTCATTACCGCCTCCTAGAACCGCCAAATCCAGTACTTTCCGTCGTTGAAGCAGAGGGTGAAAATGCCGGCCTAGAATATCTTGCTCTTGAGCTTTCTGCTCTGTCCGATCCCCATCCCCACCCAGATCTTGATTCCGACCCACCCCGCCTGCCCAGAGCATATGCCGCCGCGCTCCCCGCCGCTGCACCAGTCCAAAACCCAGGCGTCCACGACGGCATCTTCCTAAATCCCGAATATTCATATGGAGGTGGCGGATCATTCCATCCTCCCCATCCTCCCCATCCTCCCCATCCTCCCCATCCTCCGCCTCCACCGCCTCCAGGGCCCCATCCACCTCCCCAGCCCCACCATGGTCGGCCGCCTCTCCTCTGCCGAGCTCCGCCAGCTAGACAACCATAGGCCAATAGGAAAATAACAGCCAAGACTCCGTAAAACAACAAGGAGGAAATTAGCTCCCAGAGGGACTCCAACCAGCTACGCACATTCCCGTACCCACCAACGAGTTCCCCGTACTTTTGCTCCCCCCTCTCCGTCAACAGCAACCGGTATTCCACCCCACAACTCCCTTTCAACACCCACGGATCCTCCTTATCCCGGTAGCCTTCACAGACCACATCCGTGCTCCCCAGCCTAAACTCCGGCGGCAAGTGCGCCGTGCACGTCCACTGCACGTCATTCACGTCGTAGTCATGTCCTTGATTCACACAGCGCATGGTATCTGGGGTGTAGAGGGCGCATATCTTCTTCGATGGCCCGATGCAGGTTAGTTGTTCGACGGCGGGGAGGCGGCGGTGGGTTGTTTTGCGGTTCGAGTGGAAGGTTAAGGATTGGATGGCGCTGAGGAGAACGGCATCTTTGGAGGCGGGTGCTCTTGAGGGCTTGTAGGCTTGGGCTTGAGCGGGGAGGAGGGAGAGGAGGACGGAGAGGAGGGGAACGATGGTTGTGTAGATGCGTGTCATTTTTGGGCGTTGAACATGGTAAGAGTTGTTTGATAGAGAGCACTGGTAAACTGCTAAACTGGAGCTGTTACGGATGTTAGTTTCCTGGTTAAAATAAAGGCTGCTTTCACTAGGAGGTTCCCCCGGTTGGCTCAATAAATCTTTACTGCTCGTGACAAAAGCATCATTAGGCAGACAAATTTTTGAAGCTTAGTTGTCAACTTCGAAACAAAAATAGTCAACGAGCTGCGTCAAACTCAGAAACTCTTGGGCGCTTAGCACGCCCAATAAAAACGACGCACTAAATTTGTAAGCGGCAAGATTGCTTGCGATGAGCCACTGTGTAGTTGAAAAGGAGCATCGTGGATGATTTCCTGCGACTTAATATGAATTTACCCGCTTTAGATAGAATGATAATTGAATGAAAACAGCACTTAAATTTTGAGCAAAAGAAGATTATTTGTTCAAACCCTGGAGAAGCCGCGACTAATACATATTTCGGAATCTCCTTGTCAAAAGCACGAATGTGGCTTAATCACAAATATACGTCCCATATTCAAATAGATCCATACACTTTATCGGGCATTGGGGTGTCAGTGTGCTTCATACGATGTAACTACTCCGAACATAAACCCAGTACACCACATGCAACTAATAGTTCAATACAGTGACCTATTAATAGACCCTTTCCCTTCTTCAACGAGAAGAAATTGCTTGACTAAATATATAGTTACATTAGGGATGAATCATTAAATGTAAACATAACCAAACCCCGCCCTGCCTGAGAAGAAACTCGTCATATATTACAAAAGTGGAATCCTGCAGCAGCCTGAAGTAATATGAATGAATTACGCAGATACAGGCATATCATCAATTGTTCCCAAAATCTCCTCCGTTCCCCCACCGAACTTGTGAACACCCGTCGTTCCCCTTTTCCTCTCCCTTCTTCCCCCATTGCCAACCCCACCCTCACCCTCACCCTCACCCTCAATGCTCGGCAACACATTTGAACCCGACGGCCCAGCTGCCGTTGCTACAGACGACGATAGCACCCCACCCGGATTCCGCAAAAGTTCCTCCTTCGCCTCCTTCTCTTTCGCATGTTCAGCTTCGATCCTTTTCTTCTCTTCATACAGTTCCTGCTCAATGACACGCGGGTCATCATATATCGTATTCGTCATCTCCGAGTACGTGGCCAAATCGATAGCTTCACGAGGTCCGAGGAGGGTTTCTTTGATTCGTTGCGGATATCGACGCTCCTCGTTTGAGAATTTCAGCTTAATCTGTCGTCGTGAACGGCCAGGGAACATCTTGCTAATCATCATGAAATCCGTGCCGAACATGCGCAGACCGCGGTAGAAAAGGTCGGTCATGTCTTTGTCCCAAGACTCGACTTTGGTGCGTTTGCCGAAAGAGGCGGCGTTTATGCGTTTTGTCAGCCGGTTTTCTTCGACCTCTTCTAAGTCACCTTCGTTTCTGGCTGCGTTTGCATGGCGGTCTATTTGGAGGGAGGAAGCGTCGATGACGATCTCCCCATTTACAATCCTCATCTTCGGACCGCCAAGATCTCCTGCTTCGTCTCGACCGGGTTCATCTCCGCTCGTGTGTCGTTCAGTTGAGCCAGCTTTCGGGGGGTTATTTCCATTTCTGATCCGCTCCTCGCGCTCCTTTTGTTTCTTTGCAAGTTCCGTTAGATCCATGCTTTGCAGTTCCATCTCTCGCTTTGATTTCTTCCCGGTACGGAGATCTCGGCAGAGATCTGACATTTTCACGACAGTGGGGGCAATCTCTATGGATTCTGCATTCTCCGGTGTTGGCTGCCGTCTCCTTCGAGAGCGGGGCCTTGTTTCTGCAGCAGCAGCGACGGCACTCTCTGCTATCTGTTCAGCTGATTGTTTCCGATGCGCGGGCGGTTTGGCAACTCTCTTAGCAACAGTCTTTGTTGTGGGTGTCACTTCAGGTTGAGAATGTGGCCCCTGAGAGCTAGACCTCAGATGTGGGGTTTCCCCTTGCAACGTAGGTGTAAATTTTGTAATAGGCTGCACGGTCTTGGTGCGTTTTGCAGGTTGGCTGTCAACAGGCTGCTCATTCCGTTGCCGTTTGGGGCTCGATGCAGCATTTTGAGGTGTTTGAGGGGCTTTGTGTTGATCATGCTGTGGTTTTGCTGGTTCAAGTGAAGTTGTTTCTAAAGGGAGCGCGTTCGGTGTGGACGCTAAAACGGGGATGACGGTGTGAGGAGATGCAGACCCTTGACGAGAAGGAATCGATGGCCTCCGTCTTGGAGTGAGTATTGGGAAGGCTGTAGATTTGGTTTTGGATTGACTGGTGGATGGCCGGGGCGGTAGCTGCGATTGCGTTCGTGTTGGTGATTTTCGTAGCGGTGGTGGTGTTGATGGTGGTAATGGTGATTGAGATGACTCTTCGGCGCGCTGCGGGGTACTTTTGGCGGGGTCAGCAGTCGGAACTGGAGCAGAGCTTTCAGGCGATATGGCGGATTGAGTAGATTGAGGAGTTTTTGAGGTTGTCTGTCTCCCTACACTGGCTCTGGCAGACGGGGTACCGGCTGAAATAGCACCAATACGACGGGCGGGGGCCTTGGGCGCAAACTTCTTCCCTGACTTATCTGCCACATTGGTTAGAACTGTGCCTGCATAGATTATATGCAGATCGCACTTACTGATCACAGAGCTCGAAAAGGACACCATGACGCAATATTAGACTATTCGCTCTGTATATCATAGTTAGAGGGCCGTGAACCCTTTGAATTGTCATCTATAACGCTCAATGGTTCGGTGGTTGCATGCGAGCGATGAAAGATAGAGATCCTGTGGTGGGACTAACTGAAAAAGGAAGGTTAAATTTGAAACAATCACATGAGAGGCGTACCATCTTTGCACTAAACTATACATGGAATGGCGCAGGATCGACTCTTGTTCTTCTTCTTGTTCTGTTTCTCCTCAACCGCACTCGTTGATTCTCTTGCTCTCTCTTCCTCTCCACTCACCCCCCTCTCAAACACCTCTGCGAACCTTCCCTCTCATATTGCATCCATTGTCTTTCGATTCTTCTCCCAATCGCTGCTCCTGTCACGGTTGTTTCGTCGTTGTCGTGGCTGTGTAGGCGGTGATCAACAAGATTGCATGTTGCCCCTGATGCCCTGATGCCGGCCGTCGAAGCGTCAACCGTCCCTTTAGCCGAATCCGGCCTCGTCGTCAGAATGGAAGATCGGAAAAGACCTGCTGCTTACGATCCAAATGAATCTACCCCTCCCTTGAAGAAACAGGCTACCTCGTTGAATGGTGGTGCCAAGCCTCACCCAGACTCCGATATGCCCTGGAAAGATGACCTGGAAGTGAGTATCTTACCGTCTCCTCTCCCGTGTTGGGCCTGTAAAATTTGATAGTATTCCGTCCGCTCATTTCAACATTGCCGATTGAATATTAAGATACTGACGAATTTGTCCGGAAAATAGCGCTTTCAAAAAGATGCCATTTTGCGCCAGATGCAAGAATACAAACGCGAGAAGAGTTCGTTAGAAACGAGATTAAAGGAATTGACGAAAGCAACTGAATATCACAACGATCATCTTCGAATAATTGATGCGTGGTTTAAACAGGTAGGGTTTTTGTCCAACGAAATATTATGTCCCGTGACTTCCGACCAGTTGAGTGTGCTAACATCATCTTTTGCTTTAAGTTAATTGATGAGGTCAAAATTATACTCAATTCGCCAGCTGACGAAAATCAAGGTGAGTCTATTGAGTCAATCGGACATTAGTCACAGCCATTTGGACTTCTTTTAACGCTTATTCCCTTAGATAAACAATCTTTCCCTAGTGCATTATTTTTCGCAGACCATGAAAACTTCGAAAAACATTTACAAGCACGCTCCAATGATATTAAAGCGACTATTTCTAAGCTATTTTCTCGCTCCGAAAATGTTTCTGCTGAAGTCATCGATCTTCAAGGTCGGCTCGCCAAGAAGCTTGCAGAGGAAAAGGTCACAATTGCGGAATTAGAAAAGAGCCTTATAGATAAGCAACAGCTCGAAGAACGACTAGATGCTGCGTCATTAAGGTATATGGTTGCTGAAAAGAAAATTGACCGGGCTAGAAGTATGACTGTAGCGCGCTTGGAAAAACAATATATCCTTGGAGCGCAAAGACCTAGCGGAGACAATTCGGCGTATAAGCGAGAAGATATCTCTTCTTCCAATGGAGTTGGAGACCCGTCTGACAGAATCACCGAACTGGAAGGGGCCCGCAATAGAGCTGTTGCCATATCGGATAAACAAAAGGAACAGCTAGAGAAATTGGAAGCGGAGAATTCCAAGATGTTAACCCAAATCACAGAGTTAAATATAAAAGTGAGCATAATTCCATTTATTTTGACCCCACTATACATAATTTAACACAACACAACAGTTCTCGAAGCTATCCGATGAAGACTATGCCCATACGGACCTGTTCAAACAATTAAAGTCACAGCATGAGGACGTCATCAAACGAATAAACCATCTCGAGGCAACCAATGTGCAACTTCGTGAGGAAGCGGAGAAGCTGCAGGCGGAAAGGAATGCATATCGAATCCAAATCGAAAATGAGTCTCAAGCTGCGGTCGGAGAGAAAGAGGCCCAGCTCGCCAAAACAGAGTCAGATCTAGCTCGGATTCGAAATGCTCGTGATGAACTTCTTGCAGACCAACAGATGAGAAAGGCTGCCCAGGAACAGGAGAGAACCTCTATCTGCCAAACAAGGGAATTACTCGATGCAAAAGAATCTCGAATCAGCGCATTGGAGTCTGAAATACAACGTTTACAACTCCAGCTGGACGGAGTCAAGGATGGCAGTCCTCGAATCGAAGATATACCTTTGGAAGAACTAAGGGCCAAGTATCAAACGCTAGAAAAGCAATACGAATTGTTAAACACCGAGCTAGCTTCTATGCAAACTGCATTTAGGAAAACATCCAAATTAGCTTCGCAAAAGATCGCAGACCTCAATATCCTTGAAGAGAGGGTTCAGCGTTTGACAGCGGAGAAATCAAAGGCGGATCAAAAGTACTTTGCGGCAATGAAGAGCAAAGAGGCCCGGGATGCTGAACTTCGATCCTTGCGAATCCAAAATATGAAAAGCTCGGATATAGTCTCGCAGCTCAAAGACGCAGAAACGATAACTCGCTCCTTGGTGTCCAACGTGGAGAAACAACTCGCCGAAACCAAAGAAACTCTCACAAACACTTTATCGCAATACCATGGAGCTCGTCAACAACTCGCGGAAGCAGATATCGTCATCCAAGGATTAAATTCACAAGTAACGGAGCTCAAGAAACAGATCGTCGCCAAAGACTCTTCCCTCTCATTGGCGACGAATGCATCCCGTAAAGCTGAGGCGGAAGTCGAGGGACTTAAAGCTACATTAGCGGACACTAAGAAGAACCTGGAATCGTGGAGGAATAAAGGACTGGGCAATTCTTCAACCGAATATGAAATGTTGAGAGTGAGTATCATGTCTGCTCCATCCACTACAAGCGATCACTCTTCTAATTTTGTCGCAGTCACTTGCGTTATGTACTGTCTGCCGAAGAAATTTTAAAAACACCGTTATCAAGACCTGCGGACATGTCTTCTGCAAGGAATGTGTGGAAGAGCGGCTGACATCCCGGTCGAGGAAATGCCCCAATTGCAATAAATCATTTGGAAGCAATGACCACATGCATATCACCCTTTAACAAGTTTCAACACGTGTGCTTTATTTTTTGTATTTTCTTTGGTGATCCACAGACGTCCCTGAGCAATTTATACAACCTTGTGGATCCATTGTTTTTCCACAAGATCTTTTTATTTTCCCCATTCATGTACTATAGCCTCTTCCTCTTCTTCTCTTGTCTTCGTTTCATAACACTGGCTGTTTTTGCTTTCTTCGTCCCTCTTATGCCAGTCACGTTTTACGCCTGACGTCTGTGGTTCCAGGATAATATTTTTCTCCTATCCTTTTGTTCGTTTGTTCTCTTACGAACGTTACCAGTCCCAGTGATCTTAAATCCTCTCTCATGTGTTATGTCATGTTTGTGCAGGGTGCAAGAATAAGGATTACGATGGAAGGAATGGAAGGCAGGAAAATTGCATACATCCTGCCTACACGCAAATCTTCCATTTTAACGTTTTGATTACAGTGCAATTGGATAGGGCCAACTACCTTTTCTTTTTTCCCTTCAACCCAGGGCTGTCCAATATTCATCAAATCCTCCTTTCCCGTCTTGTTAAATGTTTTACAACTACGGCTTTTTGCGTACCTCATGTTCAGGTGAGTTGTGATATGAGATGTAACAGTTTAATCAGAGCTTCATTCCTTTTCTCGTCCTCTCTACCCCTGCTTTCTTTCTTCTTTCTTCTCTCTTCTTTTCAGTTTTCCTATTTTGGTCAACTAAACGTCCTCTAGTCTCTCGTCTGCTTGTTTGTTCATTCCCTATTCTGGGTTTTATACATCTTGGAGAAGGAGTCTTTACGGAACCTGCGTTGCTGCTGTTCTCATTTCGCCTTACCCTTCGCTAAGCGTTGTTGGCTGGATGACTGGATGGTCATCTAGTTACTGGTTGCTGATTTAGCTTGCGCAATGTACCTTTGCCTTTGCAATTCCTTGTGTTTTCTTGTCCTTGGGCTTTTCGATTTTCTGCGAACCTGGTTGGTAATTAACTCACTTGTATCGGTTGCAAAGTTAGGGTAGATTTCATTTCAATCTTATTTCATGTCAGGAGGACAGCAACAATATTATATTATTAGTTATTACAAAATTTACAGGAAGATAGAACAAAGCCGCGTTCTCGTCCTTTCGCAAAATACTCCAAAAGGGACCTTAAGAAACATATCAACGGAAAGGTATAGGTATAAAACCAACATAAGATCTGGTATCCACACATATACGAAAATGATTTCATTCACCTTGTCACTTCCCCCCAAGCTTCCTAGCACACAGACGAGGAAGCGCCAGATCAAGTATCCATATGAGAAATAATCACATCATGAATTGAATATGCGACTATAAAGTAGCTCATGCCTTCCCACCCACAAATCTATCGTCGGCACAACCTGTCCTGCCTCCTCAGGCGGCACAGTCCACTGTGTCCGAATCCGCCACTCTATCACCTCCCGCAGCCACCGACTGGCCAACACGGCCTGCGCTTGGTAGGGACCCATCACGGACGCGCGTACGGCGGCGCTCAGCACCGCTTTCGCGTGGTTGAGCATGTAGACATAGGCGGTAGAAGTTATGTCGATATCCATGGCGACACAGACGACGGCCCAGAGCGGAGGAAGGTGGCCGTTTAGATGATTGTTGGGGTCAGAGGAAGAATTTGGAAAGGACGTTTTGAGAGTGGTGGAGAACGAAGATAGAGCAGTTATGGCGATTTCGGAAGGGGTCCGTGGATTTGTTGCTGAATTTATACTGTTTGCTACGTTGGTTTTTGTGTCTGCGGTGGGGTTGCCGTTCCTGGAAGTGTATGCATCTCTAAATGCCCGCTCCCAGGCACTTAGCAGTGCCAGGCCCTGCGCTATGCTTGCGCGGCGTGTTACAGTGCATGGGGTTGATGCGTCGAGGTCATTATCTAGCGTTTCCAGTTGGTCGGGTTGTCTGTGGGCGGTGAGGACGTAGGGGAGAGTTGTGCTAGCGAGGGATGCGAGGGAGAAAGAGAGGAAGAGGTGGAAGGACTCTATTTGACTCGTACGATGTTGTGATGGTGACTGAGATTGTGATTGCGATTGTTTAATATGCGCGAGGTAGGATTCTAGGCCGCTGGAGTAGGCGAATGCGCCAAGTGGGAGGGCGGAGTCAGATAGGAGTAGGAGAGCGTGCGGGGTTGACAGGCAGCCAGGACCTATATTATGAACACGCATTAGCTGCGAGAGTTTAGCTTCGTTGAGTTTTCTTCGCATATATCGTATCAATGGGGCGGTGGTACGTACCTGGAGGGGTTAAGCTTTCGGTGGGAGACAGAGCTTCTTGAGCACGGTTCAGTCGCTGTTTAGCATCTTCCAGCCTGCGCTCGAGGTCATATATCTCCTCTTGGATGCTTTTCACATTGGATTCAGACCCATTGGGATGTTGCATTGTTCGCCAATTTCCCGTAATTATGTAGCAGAGGGCAATTGACGTCGTTCCATTTTTGTCTCTCAGATCTAATCTATAATATTGCCATCTTACACCGCTTTTTAAAATACCAATCATTCCAGAGAGTGCTTGATATAGCTTGATACTCGTTTTAATGAAGCTCTTTCACAGCTAAAATGTTCTCGTTACGGTGAGCATTCTTTTGTCTCCTTTTTGTGCACGTTGCTATGTCGCGGCGGCGTCTCCTTGACGTTCTCCTACTCCTCAATGCGTCCCGCGGTGTTGCTGGCAGGCATATTTCTCATCAACAACGGCAGTTGGATCTACGTATTCGCACGTCTTCCTTGACGAAGGAGGCAAACGCGCAACTTGATCATATTGTCCTCGCGCTCCAGGCAGCCTCGGAACTATCGCGCAAGTTTGATAACTCGCGCCAACAGCACTCAGGTGAAACGGTTTCGAATGAGCAGGGTGATATCGGTGGGAGTCGACATGAACAAAATGACGAGAACTTTTCGGTTAAGAAAGGAGAAACGGAGCTTGACCGAGAGGCAGATATAAATCAAGGGATCCAAAGTACGTCCGGGGACGAATTGCCGCGGGAAACATTGAGCACACAGAATCCAACTGGGAGAGCTGGGGACGTCTTAAACGCTGTGCCAGAGGGGCCACGGCACCCCATTGAGTTGGCAGGATCTCATACACCTTCTATGCCTGCTGAGGATGGATTTGGTGATGCAATGACGGCTGCTTCCCGCGATGAGCATTCGGAGGCTATCATGCGACAGCTATTCCGAAGTCGAAGGGTTGCAAGTATACTGACAAAAGACAGCAAATATGGTGTAAACCAGCGAAATAGGGAGCCAACTAAAATCGATAGATCACCAGCCATAGATTCTTCGCCGCGCCCCGAAATATTGAATAAACCGCCAATTAAAACCGCTATAGCACCTGAAATGGCAGAACCATCTGCCACTCCTGAAGTAGAAAAAGGGGATGTGAGTGCAGTGGGAGCTGACCTTGCGAATAACACTGTGAATCTGCAGGTACATTAGCACCATAATCTTGTTTGCCGTTTTCATATGCTAACCCGGCGCAGCAGGCGGAATCACAGAATATCGTTGGTAAAACACCAGCAACGCCTGCATACAAGATGGTGGAATCGCGGGTTCCTTCAACCCGTTTAGGCAGACTATGGGAGTACGGGGGACTAGCCACCTCCATGGCCTTCGGTATTGTTGGGCAAAGCATTCGTCGCGCAACCGTTGGCCTTGACTCAAGCAGCGGCTCCTTGATATTCAGCCCTGAGAACGTCGAACGACTCGTCTCAAAACTGTCGAAGATGAGAGGTGCCGCCCTCAAGTTAGGGCAATTGATGAGTTTCCAAGGTTAGAACTGTGTTTCAAATATATACGTTTTAATTCAATCTAGAGGGTTTCTAATATTGCATCCAGATGCGAAAATGCTTCCGCCAGCAATTCACGAAATCCTTCAGCGGGTTCAAGATCAAGCAAATTATATGCCAGCAAAACAGAGAGACTATGTTCTTGTGAACAACCTAGGAGAGAATTGGAGGGATTTATTTGACACATTTGATGAGCTTCCCATAGCCGCCGCTTCTATAGGCCAAGTGCATCGAGCAGTACTAAAGGAGACGGGTAAACCAGTTGCTGTCAAAATTCAATATCCAGGCGTTGCAGACTCCATCGACTCCGATCTTAGCAATCTCTCCATTTTACTAACTGCCTCGCATTTACTGCCCAAAGGGCTGTTCCTCGACAAAACAATTGCCAATGCCCGTACTGAACTAGCCTGGGAGTGCAACTACATCCGAGAAGCTGAGTGTGGTGAACGATTCCGTACCCTTCTCAAAGACGACACAGCAACTTTCATGGTCCCAGAAATCATCTACCCCGCTTCTGGCAAGCAAGTTCTCACCATGGAATACCTTGAAGGTATCCCGGTCACCCGTGTCCAGAATTTCACTCAGGCCCAACGGGACTGGATAGGCACACAAATCTTGAGGCTCTCCCTACGAGAAATCTGCGAATTCCGCTTCATGCAGACAGACCCCAACTGGACTAACTTCCTCTACAACGCGTCCACTAACAAACTCGAGCTCCTTGACTTTGGCGCCTCCCGAGACTACCCAGGCTCCTTTATCTCCACCTACCTCCGCGTCCTCCAGGCCGCTTCCCGTAATGACCGCGAAACCTGTCGCGACCTCTCCATCAAACTGGGCTACCTGACTGGTTTCGAATCACTTGCCATGGTCAATGCGCATATCACTTCTATCCTCACGCTGTCGGAACCCTTCATGGCCTCATCGCCGGACCTTTATGATTTCAGCGACCAGACCATCACGGACCGAGTGCGCGAGATGATCCCGCTGATGCTTCGTGAGCGGCTTGCGCCGCCTCCAGAGGAAACGTACAGTTTGCATCGGAAGCTGAGTGGAGCATTCTTACTGTGTGCTAGATTGGGGAGCCGGGTACGCTGTAAGGAGTTGTTTGAAAATGCGTTGAAGAAGGTGGAATGGGTTGATGGGGATGAGGTGTTCGTGGGCAATGGAGAGGAGCTAGTTGACGGCCTGAGGAGGAGAACTGTGGCTGGATAAGGAGCGCTGCTTTTTGGTTCACGTTGGTCTATACTGTATTGTATTGGAAAGTGGGTATTTGGCTCGCTTAACTATCTATATAAATATCAATTTTCATATACCCAATCTTCTATTTCGTTCAGCTCAATTGGTATGTTCTGAGTGATATCTTTATGCTACAAACAGAAGCTAATTGCTTCGGCTGTCACCATACATGGCGCGAATACATAAGAATAGGCAAAGAAAAAGGTGACATAACCCTGTTCTCTCAAGCTCAGTACGATTAAATACGCGGATCCCAAAACCTCTCACCTCCAAGATTCCTTCTTGAAATTGCCCATTCTATCACTTAAACAGAGGAAAATGTTTTCGGATGCCTCATTTTCCAGAAAAACTCATGAGATACGCCCTTTAGCGGCCGTAACCAGCCTGGTCCAGCTGATGTTTGGAGGCACATATGACGATAATCAGATATCGTAGTGGAAACCTTGCCCTTACCCTGATTACCTTCGTCACTTCCCTTTACGCTCCTCCTTTTTTGTGATAGCTTAGAATCTCATTTGCGTCGGCCGCGAAGGCACTGCCTGTATATGTAGAGTTCAGCACCCCCTGGTATTTCTTGGAAATGGTCCCAAGACCTTGCATTTGCCCTAATGAACAACACCTCAAGTCTCATTTAATAACCATGGGTAAAGGCACCGGAGAATAAATGGTTAAGCTGATACTCCACCCAGTCGTGGAAAAGGTGGGTTGTAAGGAGAGAAAAATAAAACAAAAACCTAAACATAACCGATGATAGTGAATAACTGAAAATTAAATAGCTAACTACTGAAGAATTTATCAAGTCAAAAGGATCACGTAGAATGCGAATGATGTAATACTTATACAATAACTATATGCAATAGGAATCTCTAGTAAGAAATAACATAAGGGAGTATATGTTCGCGCGGCTTATATCTCATTATCCTCCTCCTCCTCCTCCTCCTCCTCCTCCACCTCCTCCTCCTCAACCTCACCCTCACCATAATCATCATCCTCTTCCTCCTCCAGAATTATCGTGGCAAGTAAGTCCTCCCTATTTCTCTCCCCCCTAGGAACCTGCTCACTCTCTATCTCGTTCTCATCATCCCTTTTCGTCACCTCTTTCCGCTCATTTTTAAACGCCGGTACTTGCCACAAGCTCGTCATCGCGGTCTGCTCTTCATTCCTATTTCTGGCGAGCCAAGGCTTATTCTGCGCCCTCATAATATCCCTTAAGGATGCCCTGCTAGAGCCAGCCGAAGTGGTATGCTTCCTGCCATCGCTGGTTTTTTGGCGTGGGTTGGTTAGATCGCTGTTACTGCTGCTACCATTATCAACTGTAAACTTTCTCTTTTTGTTTGTGTATTCGTTGTCCTCGCCTCCTGTACGGATATCAAGCAGCTGATGCATATATCCTGACGAGAAATGTAGCGATATCCCAGCCGTGACACCAAGGGCACCAGCGACGCTGAGGAAGATTAAGAGCGGCTGGGCGAATTTGGGGCTTGTTAATTCGGATATTAAACATTTATAAAAAGTCACGGCCGTGGCAAAAAAAAAGGTGGGGACGGGGGCGTTGCTTGATGGATGAGTGTATTCACCTCGAATTTGGACAAGATGTGCAGTGGTAAGAGGACCCAAATACGGAATATGTAGAGTACCACATGTACCCAGGGAGTTGTGAGCGCTCGTAGCACGGCCAGCAGAATATTGGTAGTTAGGATGACGGGAGAGACTGCGTAGGAGGCGACGCTGGTGAGGGCACTTGCCCAAGACATGTTTTCCGCTTGCCTTGATAAGTTAATCAATAAAATAATAAGAACTCGTGCTTGCTGTATCCACTTTAGTCACAGCACAGCCCTTGTGCTGTCTATCTGGCCGAGCTTGCGGGTTGATGTTGCGGGGGAAGAGACGGCCAATTAGGCCCATTGCTTGGAGGGAGTTGGACAGGGATGGATTGATTGCTGAGTCTACCGCGACATCCCCCGCGTGGTTGCACGGCGAGTGGATGTGATTTCGAAGCCGACCAGGCGTGGCATGGCGTGTGTAAGTGTACCTTGAGAATCGCTGGTGTTGGCTGTGGTTAGTGAACAAGGCCGTGGTGATCAACCATCGCAATGCCTGATGTCGCATTATCCGTGATGGAAGGTTCCCATTGATGATCCGTGCGCCAGCCCTAAACCCTAATCAGCCGCATTTCCCGAGTTCCAGCCTTGGAAGCTGGTCAGCCACGCTTGACTGCATCGTGACGGATCTATGCAACTGATATTCCTCTATACATTGTCACGGTGGGCAGCTAATGCTCATAGCACGTCACTACTTGGGCCTCCTGTCACCGCTTGATTATATGACAGATTGAAGAGGTGGGGCAATAACCCAGCAAATGGGGGCAAGCCCCTCCAAACAAACCCCACCTGGCGGGGACTCCATCAACACCACCTATCCCGCTACGACGGGCAGCCATCAGAATGCATATAATGACAGACGCGTAAACCGCTGCACCTCCATCCATGCCCTCTCAGGCACAACAGGCACTGGCAGCAAATCGTCCGCAGCCGATCCCTCTGCCTCTCGCGAAAGTGCCACTGGCCATCCGATCCCGCACCGACACCAGGCCCCTGTCCAACACTGGTTGCAGTCCCGTAACCTCCCTGACTCCCCAAGACATGACTCCCACCAGCACCAGCAATTACGGCATAAAAATTCCAAACGACACCAGCGAGAAAACAGCGATAAGCGCGAGTATCTCCCTGCCCGCAGCCAGGGAGAACCATCCCAAGCACCCACTAAAGCAGTCCCCGTCTCCTCCCCCCCGGACAGGGGTCAGGGGGCTGCCAGCAATACAGGCGTCGTTACCAATGTAGTTGCTCGTCACCATACTGACGGGCACCATGAGCAATACACATCCATAGAACCTTCTGGTCCAACGCCGAGCGCCTACTATGTAGCATCGGCACACCTGTCACGTCCGCCGCGGCTGCCGTTGCCTATTGGCGATGCGATGACAGCACCCGGTTCACCGATTGTGGCGCCATCGTCGATGACTGAGCCACATGCGGCAGTCCCTGTGTTGGTTGATAAAGCGGAGTTGGAGTTGCCAGGGAATGGGGATGGTAGGGATCGGGCCGGTGCGGCTGGGTTGGGGGAGGAAGAGGAGGAGGAAGAGGAGATAATTGACGAATTGGAGGTGGATGCGGGAATGGGCGTTGGGGTTGGAGGGGTGGGTGTTAATAAGGCGGTGACGACGACGATTGAGTGGAGGGGTGGGGGAGAGAAGGTGTATGTTACGGGAACGTTCGTGAATTGGGAAAGGAAATTTCGATTGCATAAGAGGTATATTTTTCTGTCGCTAAAGCCCTATCTATATACTCCGCTCTACTGCTATTATAAACTAACAGATTTATACAGCGAAACGGAAGATGGCGTCCAAGCAGCCACCCTTCAATTACGTCCGGGAACCCACCACCTAAAATTCATCGTCGACGGCATAATGAGTACATCCGACCAACTCCCCACTGCGGTCGACTTCACCAACCACCTGGTAAACTACATCGAAGTCAGTCCAAAGCCCGAAGAGCTCCCCCGCCCTCGCCGCGAATCCGATCGCGACCGGCCTCCAAAATACGCCATACCTCCTGGCCTCTACCCACCCCAAGTGCTCCCAGAGACCCTCGAAATCCACCCGGACCACGACTCAGACCGCGACTACGCATCTGACTCTTCAGACACCTCCTCCCGACACCGGCAACGCCAACAACAACGCCAACCGCCAGAGGAAGAGATCCCGCTTGGCGATTTCCGAAACATTATCCCGCCGTTCCTAACCGATATAGACGGCGACGAAGACGGGCCCCGCTACCAGCAGGCGGCAAATGTGATTGGCGACGCGTCCGTACCTCCTATGCTGCCGCTTTTGCTTGGGCGGTCAATATTGAACAGCGCGACGCCCATGAAGGATGATAGCAGTGTGCTGAATGTGCCGAATCATACGGTGCTAAATCATTTGGCAACGAGTAGTATTAAAAACGGGGTGTTGGCAACAAGCGTGACAACGAGATACAAGACGAAGGTGGGCTATTATTATTACCCTTATTGTATTTCCATCTTTTAGGTGCTTGTCTCACTGGTTGTCTCTAGTGCGTTACAACGATCGTGTATAAGCCGACCGGCGATATTACGGGATAAAAGCTTGCGTGGGAAATGTGATGATTGAATAGAAGGGAATTTTTAGGAACGCTATATACCAAGCGAGCAAAATGCTCCAATACTTGTTTCTATTTTTTGTTTTTTTTTTTTTCCCCTAATTTAATATATACACATCTGTTTGTATGTACGCGCAATAACGACATTTTGCAGAGGGCGGTTTTGCAGAGGGCGGTTTCGAACATTTTGTCTTACGTCTAGGAATTTAAACCGAAGTCTCATTACTGTGAAAGGATCGCTGGCGTGGGAAAAATACCTGGCAATGTTGAGGGAGCTACAGAGCAAAACCATCGACATTGATTACCCTCAAATATCCCCCTGTTTAAGAGATGGAAAGGCATATAACTACTCGTATTTAATGCTGAAATACACAGTCAAAGCTATTGACACCATCCTCGATGTAATTGAGAATTCTGGAGTCCAGCAGAAATCCCGCATTAATATTCAATTAACTAAAGCTAAACTGAAATCAAATAATCAAATAATGTTTTGTTCAGAGTGGAAGGGAAGATACGAGCCTGCTCCCACGGGCTCTATACACCCTTCATATCGATCTCTCGTACAGAAAAGAAAAGCATCCTGTTTCCGATTACACAAAAAATAGTGTGAATGACTTGTAAAGGCAGAAGTAGAAGTCAGCGCTTTTTGTCAAATTGTTAAATTCATAGCTTGGCCGAACGAGATCAGAGCCAGAATATAATAGTAGACATCCGAGCCATGGGTTCAGTAACTTCAATTTTGCAGGGGGTTAGGTGATGCATCTGAGATGCACCCTTATGTTTTAATATAACATGTATGTGGTGTATACCTCTCGGGTGTGTCAGGGCAAAAGCTAGTTACCCGCATTGAATTAAATAGGCGCCTAACAAGCCTCGGAGCGCAATGAGATACTCTTCCCTCTCCCAACCCATCAACGCTAGTTCTGAGTGGCCATGGCCCCGTCCTCCAGGCTGTGACTTAATAATAATACCTTTTAGTCTTCAATGAAATTCAAATGGATATTGCAAAGGAGCCACGGGGCTGGGAAGTTTTCAAACATAGGGGAAATATAAGCAAAGGAAAAAAAGGGTGGAAAAGCCTTGACAGCCCGAATGGAACAGCAGATTGGGGCATATTCTATTCACCAGACTGCACAGGTATCGATCAATCAAGCAGAATAACACGACAAAGAGAAAAGGAAGAAAGTGGAGAGAGGAGGAGATCCTAGGTGCTTTAACGTACGCCAGAGTAAGGTCTTGAAATTATTCTTGCGCATATAGAAACTATATAAACAGGAAGAGAAGCTTAGTTGGGGAACCGGTGCAGAGACCTGGAATGGCCCCAAAATGGCAGATTGAAACGTACCGATTCGCTCCAATGTCCCCCTCTCCATGTTCTGTTCTCCATTTTGGCAACTCCTCCTCTAGAGTTGGGCCAATCTTCATCTGTCCGCTATGCCAGTGGGATACTGCGCCTTTCACGACTTTCAACCTACCATTTCTTTAGGCTTGAACAACAGCTTTGAGATTTGTTAGATGCAGACTCGTCCAATCCGCAGAGCACAACTTCAGGATTTCAAGACGATCGTAGGCTAAGGATTGCAGTCCTATCGGTTCTGAACTCTCTCATACTTGACTCACAAGTCAACTCCCAACCTGCATACATTCAACTTAGTTCCCACTGAGTTCCCAACAGCATATCGACCTCGATTCGTTGTCGAAGCGTGAAGATCCCAGAAGAAACATTGGAGCCATCGGCTATCCTAGCGACTGGAGAGGAATGCGCACACCGGGACAAGGAAGCCATCATGATGGCGCCTTCGTGATCCTGTTGAGTATCAAAAGTAGATTCCATGGTGGCTAGAATGATAATACCGAGAAAAATGACCATGTTTACCACAATTTCCGCCTTCTCAATATGTTGAACTTCAATGTTGGCTGTGGAAAGCCCCTCATAGGTTCAAAATTTCCAAGCGGAAGATGCAGCGATTCAATGAGAGAATTAGTAGTTATGCATGCACCTCTGAGTTTCCTGCATGTCGTGCACAATTGAAGGGTTCCTTCACTGGCCTCTCTGGTCTCATTTCATGGGCTCCACTGTTTGAGGAATGTTTTGCAATTTCTTTTGTGGTTATTCAAAGGTGCTCTATCGCATTTCACTTCTGATTCTTCGCTGATGCTAAGTGAAGATAGGGATGTTCAGTTGACTATTTAGCTGCCGACAAGCTGCTTGAGTTTCCCAGGTATAAGGTTAGGTAACCTCAGGTTTCTGAAGGCCTTGAGGGAGAGCCGATGTTTGGTTCGACAGGGTGTCAGGCAATCCGTGGACGCAAATTGCAATGCCAGATCCATGGGTTTAAATAAAGTATTGATTTTGACATGCTTTTTCACCTCTAAAAGAATGACATGCTTGGCAGCAAAATATCATCATTGGGGATGACGGAACAATCTATTGCTAGTTAGTTAATCGAACACTATATGTAACTATATAACCCGCCAGGTTCTATGGAAACATACTTTCAGTTTTTACCATTGAGTAAGTGATACAACCTCCTTTTATCCCATAATATCTATAATATCTATATCCAATCTTGCAAGGCCGAGATCAACTCAAAGCTCGATTGGGAACGACTCCCCCCGACGTTTCGCATTTCATTTTCAAGATTCGGCCATAAGACAATTCGTGATTCCATCAAGCTTAAAGCCAGACTACACCTGGCGACGGCGGATGCAATCCGCAATCCGCAATCCGGCAGACCACCCCTCAAGTATGTACAAGTTATCCCCAGTAGATACGCGGGGGGATTCTGGATCTTCATTCACAGGCTCCTTTATTACCTTTCTCAACGGTACTCCTCTTGGTTCAAAATTCCACTTGATGTAAATATTAGTTAGTCAATTACTATTTGGCGTTGTAATGAAATGGACGGACAGGACCAGTGTTGGGGGTGATCTCAATACAAAACGACAAGATCTGTGTGCCTCAGAGTCGTAAGGTGTGGTGAACACCTAGGTGCCCAAGGCTACCTGGTGTGCTCATTGAATAACTCGAACGACAAACTGCACATTGATGCCGAAGAGCCATGGTTGGAAGAGTTGAAATCATGTAGTTATCACCTCTAACTAACTATAACGATTATGGCATTCTCCAGGGTAAAGGGACGATTTGCTCCCCCTTAATTAATTACTGGAAGCCGCCGACAGAGCCCACGATTTGCCTGGACACAACATGGTTTCCCCCTTTCCAACCTGAACGCTTTTTGCAGATATCTTTTTTTGCTCCAGCCTTCTCCCGTTCATTTTTTAAACCCGATATCGAATACCAAGAGACTCTTTTGCGTATAAAGGGATTACAGAATTAGAAACATGGAATTGTATTCACTTATGGCGATCTTAAGGCGTAGATTCTTGTTGATGACGATGGACATCTATCTGAGTGCCTCGCCTTGGAATCTGCAGGCCGTATCCCGAAGATTGGGAAATTTAAACGAGCTGGGACGCCGATGTGGCTCTAAATCTATTAGTTAACTTAACTATGGATGCTTACATAGCCCTTTAAGGGACTGAAGCTTCCAGATATTAAATAGGTAAATATGGAAGTTTAAGAAGCATGCAAGCAACTCACTATATTGGCTTGATAGGAAGTGTCAAACCCAGTTACCTGCTCAACAACGGTGCATTCATCCATCACTAGTTTCAAAGGCACAGAGCTGACCTTCTAACCATGCAGTATTCTGTACAGATTACAGCTGAACGGGATTCGGATTTCCTTGGCATATCCAATTCCGAGCCTGGCGTACTTACCCCAACAGCCAGAAGGGATTGGTGTCTCCTATCCTAATTGAGTGTACATCTGTACGGAGTAGTAGGGTGAGTTTTCCTTTTTTTTTTTTTTATGGTTCTCAGATTCAAATCTCTAACACTAACCCCAATCCTAAATCTCTTAACCTCGAATTCCAACTCCTAACCCATCTCACCATCTTCAACACAGAGCGCACTCGTAATTCCGGGAAGTCTGTGACAAGAATAATATCCTCCGCTGGTGTAAACTCGATGAGTAAGTTAGCGCTCAAAATTGTGCCAAAAAAGAAAAAAAAAAAAAAAAAAAACCCGAACCCTGCAACCCATTTGTGTGCTCCTGTATGCGTGGAAATGGCTTGGCAGCCTTGAACTTGTGTATCCACCGCTTCCCATGGAATGATGCTAAACCACAGATTAGTACTCTCAAACAAAATTTAATCTTTATTAGCTAGGACGTATCAGAAATCAATAGAATCAATCACTAATTCCGTATGGAGAAGTCGACGAGGATATTTGCTAGCAAGAACACAATTGCACAGGACATGGATAAGTATCGATCAATTTTGGCGTCCCACCCGTCTTGCCTTTTTGGGTTCAATTTCGAATTCAGAGGCGGGGAACAAAATCCCCCTTGCACAGGCTAGAATGAAAAACATAGAAATCTCCGGGCGTCTAAATGGTCTAATCTCAGCGGGCAAAAAGCTACCCAATTTAACAGCCAAGATTTACAATGGTCGGCCCCAAGCCCCTAGACCCTGATAACCTTCTTGGGGGATAGCAGCACATTAAATTGCTTGCGTTTGCTGGCGTGTGTGTTCTATCAGTTAGTTTCTGAGCGCACTGAGTGTTCAAACAGAGATTGAAGCTGCCATTTGACAAATCTGAGTGGCCTGAAATATCGAATGATGACCATGGATGGTTTTGACAGTCGCAACGGTTCCTTGTTAGTGTGATCTCCAAGGAATGCTGCCCAGGTCACATCAATCATTGCTTGTCTCGAGCTTTGCCTTACAGGGGATCGTCCGTTTTCTAATCAGCATGACTGTGCGGTTTGGCTGAAGAGTTTGAAACCAGATTACGTGTAGAAGGGAGATAGATGAAGATATTTATGAAAAATATGTCTCCTGGGATGGAAGAATTATTCGACGCTTTAGCATGGATTTCGCTCCCTTGAGGGCATTCGGGCATTGAGACGGAAACATGTTCTTCGCTGAATTTGAGTTTATTTTCGGTGGGGTTTTTTCTTTCTTTCCTTCCTTCTTTGGTGAGACACTCGCAAGATATTTCGTTCTTTGTTTCATAATATTTTGTTTTGAGTGCGTTCAACGTTCGTTTCATTAGGTTTGTGCCGTGTTTTGCTAGAGGTGTCAGAAACGATGAGCCCTGAAGAAACGAAGAATCAAAGTAAACGGTTTGTTGGTTGTGGGAGTGAAGCAAGAGCTCCCCAAAACGCATGTCTGCTAACGCCCCCGTTTCCCGTTCAGTTGATTTTGATATTGGTTGATTCTCTAGTTACGAAACGGTAATATTGGCGAACACGATGTCTTTCAGGGTGAGTTCCATCTTGTGCCACGAAAGAGGAGGATGACATGAAACACAGTAGCTACACGTTATATTCTCCACGGGGGTTAAGAAGTCCCTGCGTGGCTAGACCTGAGGGGCCTGAAAGGGCCGAGCTGGGAAAATATTTCGCAAGTGGACTAGGGAGTGGATTTTGATTTTTTGCTGCCGGCCAGTGAGCAGCCGCCGACTGGCAGCAGGCCTGCTACCATCGTTTGTGCTAGCAAGCTAGGGCGGTTACAGGGCAAGTGGATACACAATGTGTGTGCATGGCGTGGGTTGACCAGATGGCAGAGAAGCCATTACTTACTTTTATCTAAGATAACTAATTTGGGTGATATGCGGCGGAGGCCCGCCTGGATATTGTTGATATATTTATATCTGTAGATACAGACGGTAGTTTTGTGAGCGGATGTCCGGATGAGATGAGCAGACTGGAAAGGGAAAACAAAACAAGCAATCAAGCACTGACCCGATCTCTGAGACAATCAATCGGTGCGGGGAGTGTGATTGGCAGCTGGCTGAAACAGCGTCGCCTGTGTTCTGTCGCGGGTTGAAACGCTCGGCGGCGGAGAAGATGGACGTTGAGGCCAGGAGCAGAAACGAGGGATGTGCAGACAAAGAGCCGCCTCTCCCTTCCGCCTCATCCTTCCTGCTCCTCTTCCTTTCTTCTATCCTCAACATCCTTTCTCCTCTCCCTCTCTTATCTAGGCGTCTCCTGGACGGCGTTTGCTGCGAGTGCTCGTCCTGCCCATCCTCCTCCCAACACCCCCCCGCCACCTACTTAGCGACCTCTCAACCATCGCCCACCAACCACCAACCACCAACCACGGCCAGCCACCGGCCAACAACCAACCAACCAACCAACCAACCAACCACCAACCCGCCAACCCGCTCCCTCGTCTCTCACCCCCCAGCAACAATAAGCATCTGGCCTGTCAGCCTGGATGTGTCTGACTGCCTGATTGTTGGTAACCTGGTTTGAACCCCCTTCCACACCTCTTCTTTTCGTCACCCCTTCCCTTCACACGAGCTGGCGGCTAACTGCATCACAGTCCGCACCCACATTCGTTTCGTTCATTTACTCGATTTGAAGCCCGTGGGAAACCCAAGGCCAATATACGAGGAGGAATCGAGGAAGGGGGATAAGAAGTCATTATTCATTCATTTATTTGTCATTATTCACCAGTCTGTCGCTCCCTTGGATAAGTAATCATCGTGGAATCATATATCGTTTTGTGTGAGGTCGAGTGAGGCTACACGACAGCCTCAATACACACATCCTCCTCCATTCTCACCTCCAACCACCAGATATATTTCTCCGTCGCACCAAACTAGATATGTCCACCGCGGTTGCTCCACCCACCGCTGCTCCCCTCCCCCCAATGGTTGACCACAACCGTGACCACAACCGTGACCGCGACGGTGACCGCGATCGTGACAGAGACCGAGACAGAGATCGAGATCGTCTCACTGCCCTTGGCCGTGTCAACGACTCCTCCGCCTCATCGTCCTCCTCCAACTCCTATCCTGCTCCTGCTCCTGCTCCTGCCATGTCTTCTTCTTCTCATCCTGCTGCCACTTCCACACCGTTACAGGCTACCACGGATCGCGCCTCCGGCAAAACCACCCCCCCTGATGGTAAACGCTCGCCAAACATGTAGGTTTTTCTATCTTCTCACTCACACGTTATAATTTTCCTCTGGAAGCTAAATATCTTGTCTCTTATAGTTCTCGAAGCGGGGGCGCTGGGTCGTCCAAAATACTAGTCAAAAAGGAACCCTCAACCTCTCCCAGCCTCCACTCCAACTCCCGTCATCGTCCACGAAAACTTGATCTCTCCTCCAGCACCCTCTCCGCACAATCCGGTTCCTCCACAGCGCGCGGTCCTTTGACTGCAAGGGAAGGTGGATTGACTGCTATGCATGATGTTGGCTTAGCTTGCCTATCTCCCGGCTTCCAGACCCAAGACCCGATCATCCACGAGCAGCTTCAACGTAGCATCTCCGTCAGAGACCAACAGAGATCGATAATCGAATCTCGCCTGCAGAAAACAGCCAAGGGCGATGGTCCCGATGGCATCAAACCCTCAGAATCAAATCTGTTCGGTTCTCTCAAAACCCCGTCTTCGTCCAAGAAACGCCCTCCTCCGGGTTTGTCGATTGTTCCCCCATCAGCCTCGCAATTCGCCAATGAACGAGTCATCCAGTCCGCCCCGCTAAACCAGACCTTCACAGGCCGGCACAACCCACACCCCATCACCCGTCATCTTATAAACCACGCTTCAGACCATCGTATGAACTCCCCCATCCACCATGTCGCCCCAGCAAATCAGACAAACAATCGCCTCCCACCCATTGCCGACGTTTTCGGCTCTGATACCCTCGTCCCCCGCAATCAAGAACGCGATCACCGTGAATGGGATCGCGATGACAGGAATAACCCCACGCACAGACGTAGCAACAATCCAAACAACAGTAACAATGGCGGCTTCTACCAACCTAACAGTAATTCTAATACCAGCAGCAACAACAACAACAATAATAATAACAATATAGGACCCTTGTCCTCTCCCTCCCTTCCTGCAAACCACCCTACGTCCTCCTGCACAACTTCCACCACCACCACCACCACCACCGGTGGCAGCGCATCAACCACAAAACGTCCCCGTGAATACCGCTCCGCCGAAGAAGCCGTGCATGAACTCGCTGGTGGCCGCGAAGATCTCCTTCCGCGAATTGTCCACTACAACAGTAACACAAACTCAACGGTCACCAATAATAAGCAAAGCAGTACTACCAACCAACGTCACCAACCTGTCTCCCCACGGCTCCCCAGCACCAATACAAATGGCATCCAGCAACAACACACCTCCAGCTCGCTCCACTATCATCATCACCATCACCTCCACAATCAGCATCAGCAACAACAGCAACAATACCCTCACTCAACCGCCGGCCGCCGTCGCACGCGCAACGAATATGAGCGCGATAACGGCAGTCCACCGCTAGGTTCCGGGCCGGCAGATACGAGGTTCCGCGGCGCGCCTGCACCTGTCCCAGGCCCCACATCTGCTGCAACTCGTGGAACTGCTGGAGGCCAAGGGGGGAGTCCTGGCGGCGGTGCTGGCTATCCTACAGGTGGTGGCGCCGGTGCAGGTTCAGGGACTGGCGTAACGTTTGGGTATGGAGGGGGTCCATTTGGGGCAGGAAGAGATTCGCCGGAGACGCAGAGGAGGAAGAAAGAAGAGTTTTTGGGTTTGTGTGCACGGGCATGGGATTTGTTTCATTCGTAGGGATGTGGGGATTGGAATAGATTGTGGGCACTGGAATGGATGGAGCGAGGGCGGATGTGCTGTTTGCTGCTCACGTTTTGATGTTTCCTCTGTTCTTCAACTTCATTGTTGATTGATTGATCTTCTGCTTTGATCGATGCCGTTTCCGTCCTCGTTCCTCTTTCACTTCCTATTTCCATCCATATTTCTTTTCCGGTTTCGGTTTCGGTTTCGGTTTTCATGGTACCTGACCCCTTTCGTGTTTCGCCTTGGTATTTTTTTTTTTTTTTTTTTTTTTTTTTTTTTTTGGCTTTCGTTGCCACTAGCGGAAGGATTGGGGCATGATCTTGTCTTTGCTATTCATTTCTACCATATGCTGTACTATGCGATCCATCTGCTATTTGCGTGGATATGCTGGTATGGGTATTGGTATCGATATCGATAGCTTGGATTTCAAGGACGTGGTCGTTGTAATGCCCCAATCCTCCGAGTTTTGCTTTCCATTTTTGATAATGCTGTTGATGTTTCGGTTATGTCTTGCTTTTTTATCATATCCTCCTCTTTTCATCCTTGGGGGTTTATTCTCTTTATATTCCTTTGCGCTCTTCACCTTTTTATATATTGCTCACCCACAACTTCTCATTTTTTCATTTGCGCTTATTTTATTCCTTCCAAATTTTTTTCCTCTTCCAGCTTTCATACATACCCCCTATCAAGATACTCCATTGCTTCATCTGTCTCTTGTTCTCAAATGTTGCATTCATATCCAAACTTTTGAACTGATGCTATCCATTTGTTGTGTCAGTGGAAAGGTTGGCTGGAGTCTATTCTACTCATATCTTTGTTGATATCTCACATTTATGTTTTGTTACTTAAATTTCAGTTATTTCATTTTTCCTAGATGGGCTTTTTGATTTTTATTTTGGTATTTTGTTGTCGACTGAAAGGTGTCTGGTGCACCTTTTTGTCATTTCTTTTCTCAAAGTTTCTGTGAATCAGACATAACTTTTTTATATAACTTTTCTGTGAATAGTGTTTTCTCTTCGCTTTTGATTTTTGAATTTACTTTCATCTCTATCCATGTATCTACCGACTACTCATATCCCTTTTCATCTCAGTATTTTAACCTGTTCAATTGTTCATCTGGATACTGTTATGCCTGATTTTCTACATATCATCCAGTTAAAGCTCATTGATTCTTGATTTTGACTTCTCAGCAGATAATTGTTCCGTTCCTCATTATTCATTATCAATCCTTTCTAGCCCCTGGATTTGTTTTTGACAAACCATCGTGTTTATTTAATATCTAATGAGAAGGGCATTTACAGGACTCAGCAAATTTTTACTAGGTCTAAAAAGGTTTTAAAACATCTGGGCATGTGATTCATTTATAGATTCAGGTGGTAACATCTTTCGAGCTTGAGAATATTGTTCAATATACTCTGTACATGAGCATGAGTAGTAGGATAAAGAGACAAAAGGTGTATATAGGATTCTTGTTATGCAGAGTGCGGTCGTCTATACCAGCTATGATGGTTTGTCCTACTTTCTCTCGTCACCACTCACTTTCACGCAGGATTTTGCGTAGTGATTTTTCGTATTCTTCCTTCCTTTCTTCTTTTTTTGGAATTGACAAAGGAGACAATCATTTGAAAATGAGCCGGCTAAGAAGATAAGTAGGTATATCGATGCCTGTAGGATGTGTGCGCCGTATAGATGATGTTTGAAAATCAAATCCAATTACATTCGGCTCCTCACTATGTTACAGGGTATCAACGTATAGAGGAAAGTACACGTAGGTTCTAGAGTTATTTCTATTATGATACAAAAGAGAAAGAAATACCCAAAGAGGGTACAGTAGGAAAGGGTAGGTCAGAGGAAAAAGAAACTTCACTCTGGCCCCCAATGCCCCAATGCAAAAATGCAGTCCGTAAATCCAACGCCCAACGTAAACGATAGCGTCATAATTATAAATCCCCAGTTTCATATGCGCCAAAGCTCACGTAGCCGGCCACTCAGCTTTCGGAACGCGACGCAGTCCTTAATTCGTTTCAACTCGAGCCCAATGCAACACCACCATCCGTCTCGCTATCTCCGTCCCGCTCCCCTCCACATATACTCTCCTCGCCAGTAAGAGTAATGGCATCTGTAGCAGCTGTCACATCGCGCCGTTCAGCCTTCTTCTGCTTCTTTACATGGTTCTTCTTTTCGACGAGGACTCCTGCTTCTTCGTTGCCCGTGTGGATTTGGAGATGCCTTTCGGTCAAAAGGATGCGTGAATGCCCACGCTGCGTCGGCGACGGCGTTCGCTCTTCGCCATGACTCTTCTGGATTCGCCCTTGAGAACCCTCCTCCCCCCCTTGACGATGGGGTATCGATATAGCCGCGGTCTCAACACCGGTCTCCACAGTATGCAGATTACCAGCGCCGCCCTCCTCCTCCTCCTCGTCCTCCTCCCTCCGTCCATCCATCCGTCTAATAGCCTCCTCATCCCTCGCCAACTGCACATCCCAGAACCTCTGGATATCCTCTCGCGAATGCGATTTCGGCAGATGCGCTTCCACATTCCCATCCCCATCCTCTTGGGCATTTCCTCCACTTTCCCCCGCCTGCCGTTGATGTTGCCATTGCAAACCTCTCCTCAGCTCCTCCCACTCACGCACCTTGCAACTAACATCCGCATGGCGCGATAGCACGCGCAGTTGCCGTAGGACGGTGTCAAGCACCTTCTCCTCATGCGCGGGTGGGTGCTCGTTTGCGAATTCGGGGATTTCGATGATGTTGTACGGCTGCGCGAGGGCTTTGAGGGCGCTGTCATCGATGAGGAGGGTATTTGTTTGGTTCCAGGGTGTGTCGTCAGATGGCTCCTGGTTCCTCCTGTCTTTTCCTTTCTTCTTTTTCTTCTTCTGCTTCTTCATGCCGACACTGACGTCGCCGCCGCTCATAGCAGGATTAGCCGTGGTGGTAGACGTAGTCGTAGCATTACCCTCGTCGTTTCCATTCCTCTCATTTTCAATTGTTGCCGGGTAGGACTTTGCGATTCCCTTGTGGGCCCACACCTTATCCAGTCTCTTGTAAACCTGCACCTTCTCTGCATACTGCTTTGCGCTCAACCCCAACGTATCCCGCGCCCAGACGGCGACAAATTTCTCCCTCTCCTCCGCCACGAATGCCCTCTCCAGTACCTCTCGCACCGTCTGCGGTCGTGAGCTCGTCCATACCATCACAGTGTAGTTCTCGAAGAGCTCGTTGATAAAGTTGTATAGGCCTGGGCGTGTCTTGAAACGGAGTGGCCGCCGGCCTATGCGATGGATCAGAGTGCCGTTTAGATCGAGGATTATGAGGAGAGGTCGGGTGCTCGCCGCTATGGTTGGTTGTGAGGAGGATTGGGTAATGTAGGCGGTAGTTGCACTGGCGACAGTTGGAGGTGTGACTGAGCGCGGACTGGTGGAGGTTTGTGGGCGCGGGTTGGAGTCGGAGCTGTGGGATTGGAGTGGGCCGGAATTGAAATGATTGTGGTAGTGGTGGTGTTGTTGTAGTTGATGAAATGTGAGTGCGCGGGGAGCAGCAATTGTTGAGCGGTTTATAGGTGTGAATGGGATTGTGAATGCTGAGGCATATAGACGGTGTTGGAAGGGTGGGGATTGATATTGGTTTCGGTATTGGTCTTGATATTGGTATTGGTTGTGGTATTGCTGCTGTTGATATTGATGATGGGAACGAGTTGGTAATACCCATGGTAGTGGTCGTGATGCGCCCGCAACTGGTCTGAGTGTCACAATTAACAAAACGTTTGAAATGGTTCGCAAGATAAGGCAAAGTAAATATTCACATCGACGCCGTCTGCGCATATACAGATTGAGGTACAGGGACGTACCCCCGTTCCTGCAGGGAGTCCTGCACTGCAAGGGAATGGTATGTGGGCACACCAGCATCTAACGTTCTGTCACGCTCTCGCGTTCCCTGGTACCTTGAAGATGTCGGTTCGTAGGGCTGTGCCAGTTCACTGCCGCTCTGCTCATGTGCCGCCCACTTGAAATCATAAGGTCTCCGTGAGCTTGATCTAATGCGTTGGTCGTCCTCGCGCGCCAATGTGGGGTTTGGAGCATTCATGCTAGTATTCGTGGGTTGTTGAACCGGGGAGTGAGGGTGTATCGTGGCAGCAGAGGGCTGTGGGACCGGGTGAAAAGTTAGACAAAGAAAGAGGATGACTGAGAAGCACCATAGACAAAAGCGGGTAGAATAATTGTATAAATACTCACCATATAGCGGCCCGGCGTGTTTGTCGTCGTCCGTGATGGCTTCGAAGGGATAGGAACGGGCACTTGAGAGAGCAAAGGTCGCAATGGGACCATCATATATGAAATTCGAAGAGAGCGAATAGGAGACGGATAGGACTATACAGAACTTAATTCTACAAAAAGATCAAATAACTTTCATAGAATCAGCTGTAAATCATAAATTATATCTCATTGACCTGCAATTCTTCTTTCGAGGAGTCAATATAATCACATGACAAGTTTCTGAATTTACTTTTCACCGCTTTTGATATTAGGGCAAAATAATTTACACAATTCGACACTGCAAATATCTATCTGCTGTATACATCCCGAAGTACCCAGACATGCCAATTTCAAGTAAGCTCAACCAGCGGGTAAGAGCTCGACTAAGAGAAGAAGATTTTGAGCATTTCTCGGACGAATCAGTTTCAAATGAGTCGTTAGACGAAAGGGAATCTAATGAAGACACAGAGCAAGATAACAGAGACCAGCGTGAGACCGATGATGATGATACGGAGGATGATGGACATACAGAGATCTCTGACATAAACCCCTCGCTAAACACAATCTCCTTCGGCGCTCTCGCCAAAGCTCAAGCAGCCCTAGGAAAGCGAAAACGACGTACCACCTCAACAACGGACATCACACCGAAAAGGACAAAAGTTCTCAGCAGACAGTCTCCAACTCCCTCTACCTCCTCCAACAAAGAACATGATCAGGGCCAAGGACTATCCGAATTCCAGAAACACCTGGCCTCCAATGCCAAAAAACCTCCTCAAAAACTCACCCACCGAACCTCTAAACATGCCCCCACAATCCAATCATCCCGCCACGCCGTTTCCCGCAAACGCACCATCATCGAACCGCTCGCTGCCCCCAAACCCCGCGACCCGCGCTTCGACTCCGTCGTCCTAAGCCACAGCACCAACGGCAATCCATCCACAGCGGCTAACGCTGACATCCACGCGCGCAATAACTACGCCTTCCTCAACCACTATCGCACAGATGAAATCGCAGAGCTACGCAAGCAGGTCTCGGCATTACAAACCAAGAAAAAGAAGACAGAGCGTGACGATCATGAGATCGTGCGTCTCAAGCGAGAGATTACGTCCATGAGTGATCGGCAGCGAGCGTTTGAGCGGAAGGAGATGGAGAGGGAGGTGTTGGTACAGCATCGGCGAAGAGAAAAGGAGTTGATTCGCGAGGGGAAGAAGAGTCAGCCATACTTTTTGAAGAAGGGGGAAGTGAAGAAGGAGGTCATTGCGAAGCGGTTCACGGAGATGAGTGGAAAGGAGAAACAGAGGGCGTTGGAGAGGAGGCGGAAGAAGGTTGTCGGGAAGGAAAGGAAGGAAATGCCGTGGGGGCGGAGGGGGGTGGAATAGTTTACTTTATTTCCTTTCTCAGGGTTATAGTTTTATTGCGTTTGCTACTCTCTGGATAAGGTAATAAATAGGTGGCGGGTGTGATATCTTCTTTTCTATATTGTTGGCTAGGGACACATTCAGGATTATATTGTGGCAAAAATAAAATCATTACACGTATAGAGCTTGATGAGAAATATCAATTGATATGAACAGGTTTTTCGAAATTTGTAATCAGGTTCTTTTAACTTCATTGAATCGAATCATTATCATATTACTTCGTCGTAACATCTTCAACCGAAGCTCTTCGCGTTGCTGAAAGGGGAGAAGAAATTATAGAGGCGCTGTAGAGAGCAGCGCGACAAAACGTAATCGACTTAATAATCAATCCGCTCACTCTTTATTTGCAGACACGACCATCAGCATTGGGGTATTCCGTGCCATTAATAGTGATGGAAACGTCTTGGGCCCACTGGTCCTCGACAAACTTGCGGTCCTCCGGGTTGTTGGAATCCAGCTTGGTGAAAGTGTAGCTTTCCCAGTCAGGAGCGACATCAAAAGCAGGGGCAGCCTCTTGGCCGCGGATGAGAAAGGCACCCATGATTGCGTTGTCATTATTCTTTCCGTAGACAGAGACAGCGCCGAAGACGTACTTGCGGGAGGCCTCGAGACGGGTAAAGAAACCGCCTACAACGGGGGATGTTAGTAGTGATGAGCTGAAACCCGAATGAGCGCATTGGACTAACCAACTAAGTTGCTTGACATAAAGGTCAACTTGAGCTCCTTAGGGTACTTGTACTCAATCTTCCACAAGGAATATTCGTCTGGTTTGTAGTGTTCCCAGAACCATGGCATAGCTACTGATCGGGTGTCCTCGTTGGAGTACTTGCGCTTCCAATCGTCAAGGATCATGGTTGGCTTGCCGAGGGCGTCGAGAGGGTGTTTAGGCTTTGGAGCCGGTTTCGGCTCCTCTTCAGCAGGCGGCGGAGGTTGTGCCTTCTCTACTTTCTTGGGGGGAACGTTCTTCAAGCCCTCCTCAACAAAAGTTGGATTGGGGACAACAGCCTCGTAAACGTCCTGGTTAACAACGGTCTCATACCATCTAGTGACAGCTGGGTTATCCAAGCGCCAGGTCTTGCCAAGAACAAATTCAAAGCCACGAGAAGCCATCGAAGCGGCAAAGAGGTCAGCTAGAGTGAGACGTTCGCCAACCAGATAGGTGTTAGTGGTAAGGTGCTTCTCGAGAAGGGCAAAGGCCTTTAGAGCAGCCTTGGAACTAGCCTCAACAGAGGCCTTGTTGTATGGGTCACGTCCAACAAGAGGACGGAACCAACCACCAAGAGTAGGGACAAGTTCACTGTTGGCGAACGACATCCAGCGAAGGATCGAAGCATAGTCTTGCTTCGTCTTGCCTAGAAGGGTGGTCTTCTCATTTTGGGATGCGACTACAGCAATTTGCAATGTCAGTCATGGATACGAATCCGAGGGACATAAGCATCTCAGTCCAAAGGGACAAAGGCTGTACATTGCTTTTCTTTTTTTAAAAAAGACAAGAAAAAAAATACAAGTGGGATCAGAGTTCAAAGAAGTCAACAGCAAAACAATTCTGTCAGGGATAACTGAATGATAATATGACTCATCATATAAAATATGTCTGTGTGTATGCACGTATACTCGGGAAGGAATCTATACAATCGCAACAAATGGGGAGCGGGGGATACAAACGGTAAATAGCAATGGCAATGCACTCAGTCAAGACGTAGTCATTGGCGCCCACGAAAGTGGGGATCTTGTTCAGAGCATTTAATTTCTCATACTCAGCAGACTTAACAGATGTCTTCTCAACGAGTTTGACGTCGAGGTTGTTAGCCTTGGCTGCTATCCGGCACGCAGTGGTGCGAGGATTGTCCTAGAGGCGAAGACCTGTTAGTTGTGCTCTGTTGTGGTGCTCAGCAGCCCCTCCTTGCTTCAGCAAGCAATAACACACGAGGGTAGATGCCAGGAGAGCACGCCTGTCTCAGGGATAATACTTACAGCGAACCCGTAAATTGTGCCGAAAGCCATCTTGGAAACCACAGAAGGATTGGAATGTTCTGCAGTGGGAGGGAGGTGACGAGGATGTTGGTGTTGGTTGTGGAGAGAAAAGCAGAAAGTTTTCGTGTTGAAAAAATTGCCTGTTTGGGCCCGCCTTCGGAGCGGAGAAACTAAATTCGCGGCTGCTAGACACGTGATATACTCCCCTTCCGATGATTGAAAAAATCCAAGAAGAGAATAACAACGACGAGGAGGAGGAGGACAGTGTCAAATAACAATTAATATAATTTCTCACAGGCCTATCCTTTACAATGGCATGGCAAGGGCCGAGCTGTGTTGCTCGCGCTCTTAGATCTGCGCAGAATAGCTTTCGACGGGAAGCTCACCTCTCCCGCACAACATGTCTATCCGCGAGCACGACACATCCGCAGTCTCAAAGACGCTCATTATCGACATCACCCGAGCAACAAGTTGAAATCACCGCTGCTCCTCCAATTGACACGACGAAACTGAAAACTACCCCCCAACGCATTCTCCCTGCTTCGCCTGCCTATTTTACCGGAACTCCGAAATTTATCGACCATGTGTTGAAGCTGGAACAGATACACAGTAAATACTTCATGCTACCTACTGTCCCTGCAGGTGAAGCACCACGGACGGCGTTTCTTAAACACTCAGATTACAAAAATGCAATAAATGAGGAGGTGCCTGCTGCCAAATATCGCCAGCTCCAGAAGATTCTCTCCAGATTAAACCAGATCCGACCGGACAAGGTGCCCCAGGAAGTGAAAGATATCCTCAAAACTTTCACACGACCTGGCGATCCCTACCAGCAGAAAATTGTACTCAAGAAGCTCGATGAGATGGGCAGGGCTAGAGGCGTTGGCAGACGAAAAACATCGCATGCGACAGTGTGGTTGGTTGAGGGCGAAGGGAAAGTGCTAATCAATGGCAAAAACATTGTCCAGGTCTTCCCTCGCGTCCACGACAGGGAGAGTGCTCTCTGGCCTTTAAGGGCGACGAATCGGTTGGACAAATATAACGTTTTTGCTGTCACGCGAGGTGGTGGTGTTACGGGTCAAGCAGAAGCTATTACCGTTGCTCTGGGGAAGGCTCTATTGGTTCATGAGCCAGGGATGAAGCCAATTCTGAGGAAAGGTATGTTGATACATTATCTAACCATCCTTGCATGGCTGTATGGGCTGAAATCCCTTCCGCTGACTGCTTACTTTCCTTTTAGCCGGTTGTATCTCGACGGATCCTCGACAAGTCGAGAGAAAGAAGCATGGTCATTTGAAAGCCAGAAAAATGCCCGCCTGGGTCAGACGGTGAAGGAGTCATTAACGTTTGTCGCACATTTTCCACTTCTCTTTTCTCCTGTATTAGACTCATACTTTTACGCCCCTTCCCCCCCTTTTCCCTTAGCGCGAACCTGTATATCAAACGTTTTCCATATAGCCTTTTTTTCGTTTCTTATCCACCTACGCGCGGCTTGTTGACGGCTTCGGAGAGTAATAGAGAATAATTCCATTTCAAAACCTACCACTTAACCGTGGAATCAACAAATGCTCTTGTTTTCCTCGATGACTATAATATCATACATGGGATGATGTTACGAGAGGATTCCAAAACAAAGAGAACAGCCCTCCCGGGAATATTGGAGAATAGCTATTCCTAGAATTTAGAGTTCGATTATGCAATGCTACTGTGATTCTCTCACAGATAATTCCAGAAAGGGTTTGAATACCTCACTTCTCCTCTGCAGCCACTTTCCTTTTATCCTCACGCATTATCCGCATTGAAAATGCAAAGATCAACCCACAATATGTATCAACATTTTTCCATCCTTAACCAACTGACAAACCAACTTCTACGTTCAAGAAGAAGAGTTACCAGGCCCAAGTCGAAGATGTGTCATTCCATGTCTGCCCTATCCTTCCGAATTGGTATCCGCCTGTCGATGTATATCTTTTTGAATTACAATTGGAACCTGTATCTCTCTCGTTTGGAGATTCCCACAACAACAGATATACGAGCAGCCGGGCGGACTCACAAACTCTTTGAGCAAAAATGACGATATTCAGGTCACAAAGTCGGCGGCGTCAGAACCACGGCGCTCTTGTCTTTAGATCCTTTATCTTGAAGAACCTCTCTCCAATTCCACATCTTGTCATGAAACCCTCTAGAGTCTTCAGACAGACCCACTCCAAATGTCTCCCTTATATTCCTACATATCGCCGAGCCCTTTAACCCCTCCGAGTCTCTTTTCTTTGAGGTGCCGAGCATCATGCTTGGAGTATGCTAGTCATTGTTCTCTCTCGATAATCTCATGCATATTCCGGTCGCCATATTTTTGGTTCCATCTAGGGTTGGGTGGTGGGAGAGCAGCCAACCCAGCATGGGCTCCGCGAATCCTAAATTCGTCTCCTACATCTCTCCTACATTTTTACCGAAGCCTTTTTTTGTCTCAGTTCATTCTACCAACCCCCACAAGAAATACAAATTGAACATGCCCGCGACATCGCGCATTCGGCTTGAGTTCACATCCATTTCGGTATCGGCTGTTGCGTACACATCCCGCTTCGCACAAAGAATATCGCACACCAACCACCACGCGGTATGTATACTCTGCCGTCAACCCGGCACCTGTACCCTATCGACAGGATGGAAACACAAATTTGCCCGACGGATTGCAACCTGTTTACTGCCACCTGGCCTTTCTTAGATCAAAAGCAATGCCACAATCGTCCTTTGACGGTGCATAAAGCCACGTTATCCACAGAGGCCCGCTCTCGGACGGACGAGCGAATCTTGGCTAGTCGCCAAAATGTCACCTACTCATGGAACTCGGTTACTTTCCGTGAAATAAACTCCACAATAGCTTCGCAATGCATACTGGTGTGGGGACGAGCCCGTTTTCCCAGACAGGGCATTAGAGAGCACTTCCTCTATGTTATTTGATCAGACAGATGAATGTTTCGGAATGGAGATGTCTATTCAACCTACTTGGTATATTCTTGCCACTTGTGATGGAAACCGTTTTTGGGAGCGTGCCCGGTATTCTTTGTTTCTAGTTTTGAGAAGGTGTGAGATGAGGTCGGATAGACAAAATGAATCCGACAAACACATATTTCTCTACGCAAATGACCTCCGTATACATACATTTTTATTTTTTGTAATCTAGATCCGTGTTGTCCGTTTTAAACGCATAAGAGTTCGGCGCCGCGGCTTCTATTGCATTTCACTACGTTCTCCTGGGACTTCGCCATATTGAATGACATCAAGATGATGAGTATGGCATCTCGCTTTCCAAAACTCCTTAATCATACAGATCCAAGTTTTATATATAAGGATACTGGACATGTTGTTCAATCGACATATCCTACTACAGCAGCACCACGACTTTAAATCCGACAAGGTTAACGTGAAACTCCTCAAAAAAGGTAAACATTGACTTTTATAACTTCAATCCTGCTGCCCGTGGTGAGAAACTCTATCGATGAGAATCCAACCTGCCGAGCCGGCATCTCTAACAAAACCGCAGCCCAAGCTGTAGTCCACTATTCCCTCAATCATTTACTATGCTGCCAACTTTATCCGTGGATATAATCGAAACTGGAAAAAAGCAAAGTGCATGAGGCGGTATGGAGGCGCGTTTCATTTCTGGATGCTAACGGTTTATCAACCAAGGCAATTAAACTCAAAGGTCCCCCGTACTTCCTCGGACCCGAAAATAGCTACGTCGTCGTCATTCACAAAGACCGAGTGTGCTAAATCGATTGCCTAGAAGCCAGGGGAATTTGCTTTCAAGTCTGAACATCGGATTCCGATCACAAATCCTAAAAAAGATCTCCCCTTGGTACGAGGTATCAGTCCGTCGTCAATTGTCAACTTCACCCAGTGTATTTCTGATATCTGATCATCCCTTGTACCAATGTGTATTCTCGTAGACGACTTTGCATGGAATAATAACTAAACATAGAGCGAGGCTTTACCTATTTCAGTCACTTATGTGTTACCCAGTGAATAACCCTTTCAACGCGAATACCTCCCGACATAAATATGGGTCAAAACGGAGCAATAATGGTTGAACACCATATAGTTAAAGCCCAAGACGGCTCAAAATGTCAGTGGATACATGGGCTGTACTGTACTGAGTACATGCCTGAGTAACAGTAGAAAATATCCAGTATTTGAAATTCAAAGTGTACTGTACCATCGCGTGTTGGGCCGGATGGCAGAAATAGCCGAGTTAAACAGCCTTCAAATTAATTCATGCACTCCTATCTTTCGCTTCTGACACATTGGCCAAGCATCAAAATTGACGCTCCGAAACCACTCGATTGTGCTAGAGAACGCTATGGAAAGTGCCCTCGCGGCTGAAAGAGAGGCATTGCTTGATTCCTGTACTAGGCTTTGCGGTTAAGATGTGGGCCTCCCGTCATAGAGGTGTCTGAACATCGACTGGCCAATCAATATTTTGCTGGCAGAGGTTGCGATGAATCTCGGAGGAAGTAAACACTAATTTCCCCTGACAGATTGCAGAACGGAATTCTTTCGGTGCCTGATGCAGGCCAGACGCCCTTCAAAAGAAATAAATAAAATGGAGAAATCAGGTGGTGAAACCCTGGGAGCGGACAAGTGCTACCACTTTTTTTCTGTGTAACTTATTCATTGTTTTGGATATACGGTGTAACTTCCGGGATTGGTCGGATCGTCCAGCCGACGAGCATTGGATGACGCCGTGTGGTTAGTCGTAATTTCCCCGTTGCTTGCAAGTTTTCATCGCTATTGAAATACCGGTGAAGATGAAGAAATATGAGGGTTTGAGCAAGGATGTCAGAAACCGAGATTGATTGTGGAAAACATTTTTTAAGAGGTTAATATTTTCGTATGCGTGAAACGTGATCCCCTCCACTTGTCCCGTATTTTCATTGGGCTGAAACCACTTTTGTGATTATTGTTCTTCTTCATGAAGTTAGCTCTGAAAATCCGGAAGATGATATGCATCTCACCGCCTTATCAACGTGGCTTCTCATCCTTGAGAGGAGATCACAACAGCTAGTGACTTTACTATAAAGAGATAAGTCAGGAGAAGTCCCATGTGCAGGGGTTTAATAAATCTGCTTACCACTAACTAGTTAACAAACCCGATTTCAAGTTTTTGCAGCCTGGCTGTGAAACTTTTTGAAATTGCCCTCAGCGTCTCAGAGGACGATCTGACGTATTAGTGGGAGTGAGCGCTCCAGTGGGCGAGCTGCGCTAGTCGATGACGGCCGCCGCTAAGAGGACAAAAGCTGCAGAAACTTTACAGCGGGTTCTCCGTACGCAGCTTAGCCGGCTGAGGTCTGACCTGACATTGATTGGCTTAGCGACTCCTTTTTCCTTTCTGGAAGAATTTTGGAGGTTCGATCATGTGACGGCATCAACCTCCCGCCCACCATTGCAACGACGGGGTCTCCGGCGGGTTTTGTGATGGATGGTAACATTTGCCAGAGGGAGATAATGATGGGGTGCTTCCAACAATAGCTTGGACGGCTTATGCTCAGCAACCTTGAGGAAATCAAGCGTCACAATGTCCCGAGGCAATGACAAGGTTGTTGCATCAACTCTGGCCCTAGCATGTAATCTTCACAACCCCCTATTCTTTCAATTCATCAAATTTTGTACTATCCGTTCTCAGAGCAGGCAAATTCTATTCCAGGTTCAGCTGGCGGCGGTCATTCTTGATAGAGTAGATTTCGCAAAACTAAATGCAATACCATGCATGCCAAAGTAAGATCGTTGTGAAATCCAAGTGCCTTCGAGAATACGAGAGGAGCAATCCAAACACCCGTTTCCAGTGGCGGCGTCCATTCAAGCTCAGGTTGTTTGTCGCTGCTGCTGAGATATAAAGTTAGAGTACAGGGAAAATGCAAATTTATAGATTGTGGCCGATCCAACTACCTACCATGTCAAGAGCAATGGCCCCTTTGTTCTCGAACTTTCCGGCATTGGAGAATCGATATACAGGGATGCTGGGTGACGGTCCAGGTAGCGAGTAACTCAGACAGTGGCTGCATGAATTCGAGGTCCAAGGTGTTAAAATGAAATGGTGTTGGAAATGGTGTTGCATTGGGGAGCCATCGAGATCTGCCGCATCCCTGAACCCAAGATTCTCCAGTTTGAAAAGAAAATCATCACGGCTTGCATTACTCCAGGGCCTACCACTCAAATTCGAATTACAGGGCTGATTTATTAGGAACCAAGCTAGGGTGGAGCCCATCAATATTATTAGTTAGCATTTTCCTTCACCCGTTTTCAATGCTCGGATATTTCAACCGTCGTGAAGAGGATCCCATTTGCCCAGCCCGTCTGGGTATCCTTGCCGTTATTATTGACAGACATACATTGGATGCCAAAATGTTCTCCTTTCTTGAAAATATAATTATGGAGACCACTTATACTGCGTTTAGTCCTTCAACGCAGGGGAAACCCAATCCAAAATCAGAATAGATTCCCTGGCAAGGATATTGGGCAGGATATACTGACATTTTAGCGTAGAAATTCCAGCCAGCGATCGAGTCCGTTTGCGACGACAGCACGCGCATCAAACCCAGGATAACCTTGAGGTGACAAAGTGAGGCCAGTCTTCCACTAATGAACCCGCAAAAAAGTAGTATCTTGTTGTATCCACATAACAGGTGATGAGGTCTGGTTAGGCCTCTTACGATTCACTTTTCTGAAGCACCCGAAATATGATCTGCAGTCAATGATAGTATGTATATACTAGTAGTCGCCCTCAAGAAGCAGCTTAGATATACTAGTGCAACGGTGCAACCAGCGGCTGCGCCAGATTAGTCAGCCCAAACAACATCCAAGCCATGCTCCAACCTCCAGCCAAACCACGGACGGTAGACAGACCTCCTGCATGTCAATGGCTGAGGCAACCGGCAATCTAGGCTGGAGCCACAGGATCACAGCATAAGTCGACTTTCATGCAAGGGTTTGTGCTCGGTGCCACACTCCAGGCCTAATGCATCAGGTAGACTTTGCAGGTTGTATCCCGAGTAATCTTGACGATTCACGCGATTTTGCCCTTGCATGTATGATAGTTGCTAATTCAAGCTAGTTACCTGCTGTCATGCTTCCAATCGGAGTCTCGACGATTATTCCAATCAAGATGTAACATGCCAGCCAAGCACGCTAGGAACGGAACCCCTTCTCGTTTTCAGGGATCAGCATGTTTCTGGAAGGCTACAGTCATTCAGTTTCGGCACTGGTGTCTGGTGTTCGTTCTCCACGTCTGAACTCCCACAGGACCCATCGCTCGTGCCCAATGCTTCTTACAAATCTCACTCCCGATCGTCCCTTCCGCTAATTCTGCGACAGGCATCGGGTTTTGTAGCAACGTTGGCAGGCATGAAAAATATTAGGAAGTTTTATTGCCAAACATTTGGCGAAGAGACAAATTCCATATCTATCAACAGCAAGCGGGCCGTAGGTTGCTCAAAAGATGATGAACAAACCCCAAATCTCCCACGGGTGTTTCGATGCGGAAGTCTCTTGTGCACCCTGAAACATGCATACTGTGAGATATATTTTCCACTGGTATGTGATGCTGCCGTCCACAATATCCCATATACGCAGGATAATATACCATGATGACCCTGTTATGACAGGTCCTTGATCTTCGTTTGATGCCTGCTCCGATCAAACTAGGTTTTGAGTCAGTCTAAACTAATGAGAAAAACACGCAAAAACTAACAGAATTACCACGCTCTTGGCTTGAACGATAGGGCCGAGGCACATCTTACAACAGTATTTGTCAGGGCGTAACTTCATTTTGGGCAATGTTCGAGAAGCATCTTACTGAGAAATTTTATATTAACTATTTTGTCTTCTCAGGATGCTGGAAGCTGGAGCACCAAAGTCTTGCTCGGCATTCCAGTCGCTCGAGACTATCCAACCCCAGTGAAGTAGAAAACCCCAAATAGCTAACGTTATTGTTAAGACAATCATTGCTATCCTTGGCTAGCTCATTAGTCAAGCAAGGGGTCAGCAAGTGTGCTATCGTCCTGGACACCATCCGTGAGCACTGTGTAAGCCTGGATGCTCCTGGCTAAACCTTATATTTGCTCGTTTACTATGCTTAATTACCTTTTGACTGTCATGTCATAAGTCAACCCTAGCCGGCATTAATTATCAATGCTGCATTACCAGGCAGTATTTACAGTCTGGTCGGAACACGCGAGCATAGGGGCCGGGTGCTAGGACCTGAAGAATTGAAGAAATCAGATGGTAAACTAAAACGCTGTGCTGAGCAGATACATGGTAACCGGTCATAACTTGCTGTAACAACAGAACCGGAACTTTACAATCGCTACATCTCCTGACTAACAAATTATGTATATCTCGTCGAAGTTACGTCCGCGCGTTCCATTCATCTCTCGAGTGCCCTACGTTTTCGCTATTCAGCAGAAAACTGGGTGACTTGGTTTTCTAGACGTTTGCTATAAGGCACTCTTTGCTCCCATACAGCCGTGAGGAGTGCCCCAGGGCCGAATGCTCCCATTCTGCGCGCGGCCGTTCTTGTCCTCGAACACCTGAGTTAGCACAGCCTCTGCCTATTTTTGGTGTTTCTCCAGATGCAAGCCCTATGCGACTCGGGCGCTGCCAGCTGGCTTGTTAGCAAGGATAGCCCCTGCTTATTTCCTCAAATTTTCTGTCGACCTAGCTAGCTTCAGTTGTGATCGCAGCATCCCGTTGACCGTTGATCAAATCCATTTATCTATCCGTATTGTCCTTCCTATTTCCGAGCTTAGCGCGAAGCAGAGTGGCACTTAATCGGCATCGCTGCACTTCTCCACTAATTATTTCTATAAGCCCGCATTTTTCAATATATCGGTTTTTGGGGGTGGGGTTTGCTTGATGATTGATTCGGTCCTCTTGTCGCCCTATCTCAGCAAAAAGTACCCAAACCACACTCCCTCTTGCGAAGTGAACCACTAAACTTAATCGGACCCAATCCACTGTTGCAGCACCCAGATTCAACTTCGTTGTTGTTAAGTGAGGACGGTCTCTCTTCAACATGTTGTTCTAACACTACGGTTGTTTGTTAACCAAATAGCCTAGATCCTTCCAACAAGGCCCCACAAAGCGCGAAACGCTCTTTTGTCGTACAGAGTAAGTATTGGCTTGGAAACGGGTGACAGAAATCGAAAATCTGTAAATCGACGCTATCCCCTTTTCTCGCCTCCGGCGCATCGGCCATCTTACCTCGATCCGCCGCGGGGCGGGAGCCTTTAGACGATATCAAGGGGATGGATGGCAATAGTCAACAACGAAAGAAGTATGACCCTTCTAGCTACCAAACAGGCTCTGGCGCTGGGCCATATCCTATTCGCAATTTGTCTGGAAGCTCTTCGGAGCGCTTTAGACAACAGCAACAGCCGGAACCAGCTGGAGGACCTGGTACTGATGAAGTAATATCTCAAGACCGGACTTCTTCAGTCTCGGCCTATGGTAGTTATGGATATACAGAATCACTGCCTTACAATACACCGCCGCTACAGGGCGGGACTTTGCAAAGTGGAGGGATACAATACCAGTCGAATTTTGCCTCTACTGCTGCCAGAAACCAGCATCCTAACCAACAACAGCAGCGGTTATCACAATATGAGGGCGATATGGTTTATGGTATCACCCCTCAAGTCCAGCCAGCGTCTCAGTATGAAGGGGTGTCACACTACCAACCACGACATTCTGCCGCTATCGAAGTGCTAGCAACTCAATTTGGTGTTCCACAGTATTTCCAAGAGGGAGAACCAGCAGTTGCAGGAGGATCTGATAAGTACTTAACTGTTTCCCAAGCTCAGACCACGCCGTATTCACAACCGGCTGCTCTTCCGCGTGCATCTACGGCATCGGCATTGCCCGAAATTATGGCTGGCCTCCCCGCTTCCACAGCTTCTGATGGCCTCGAACATTCGGAATTTCCTCGTCAATCATCTCGTTTCGATGATGCCTATATCCAATACCAACGAGCCCTCAGAGAGACATTCGAAAGTACCCGATCTGGCAGATTGCTAGATGCAAGTCAATCATTATTGGAGATATCAGAGTGGCTTCTGGGGAATGCGACCGAACTTGGTATGTACGATCCGTAAATTCTGATTTTCTCCCTCGTTGATTCGTGTGGCACCTAGGCGGTGCAATACCTTTCGAGCTAATAGCTGATTTCAGGGCTCGCTCGCGACGAGGAAGAATTGCACTCGGACCGATTAAAAATGTGGAATGAGTTTAATATTTGCTGGCTTGCGGTATGCCAGAAACAAAAGGATATGACTCAGGAGATGTTAGAGTCCCGATCCGGTACTAGCCCACCAAGCCTTCTCACAGAAGAGACCCTAAACAAGATGGGAAGAGAACTGGTTCGCTTATGTGATCGAATGGAGCAGCATGGGCTGGTAGATTACCAGATGGGTGTATGGGAGGAAGAAATTTTAAGCGGTGGGTAGTTGAACCTAACACATGCCACTCTGCCGCGCTTCGGCCAGCTTTGCCACATTCGGGGGTCTGTCAACTGATCTGATTGCCTGATCCTAGTCCTAGGCCAATGTCTTGACCTCCTCGAAGGAAACGAGAACACTCCTGCGGCAGGAAGTTCCTCCAGAACAACTACTTCCGTCGCTCCACGATGATCAATCCCAGTTCTCCTTTCACCGCTCGTCTGACGACTGCCACGGTTCTCTTTTTTCGACGCACATTTTCGTATTATACAGTACCTCATGACGATGGAGCATATTCATGTTACGTTTGCTCCTTTTCTCGATCCGCAGTGGGCCGGTCCACATTACCCGATCATCGCAGATACCTACATGAATGAATACATGTCGATTGGTTCTCCATCTACATCTGCATGAAGCGAAACTTGCAGGTTGATTAACGAGCAAGCACTGCAATCGTTAGGATACTGGACCCAAGAAATCCGCCGAGTGCGGTTCATATACTTAGTTTGATTACCTACCATTAAAGGCTAATACTTCTTGCCAGCGAGTTATCGCTATTCGCCATCTACTTACTCTCCTTTTATGTACTTGATTGCAACCGCTTGAGGATGTGAAATTCCAGTTGTGGCGGTGGTGTGTATTTTACCATTAATTTTTCCTTACATACTAGATGTATATTGCCCCTTTATTTGAGTTGCACAATCCGCATACGGCGCCGTAGGCAGCTTTTTGTTCTACTTTCATTTTCTTCTCTTTTCTGTTTTTGGTGGAATGCCGCAACGAACTTTCATGCATATTTCACAGTTTCACGCTTAGAGGGCATAACTGTATAGATCAGGTAACGGAATTGGCATGGCTTGCAATCTGTTTTTGATACATTTAATATTGTCTTGAAGTTCCTTTTCTTTGTTCTCAATCCTGTGTTTCCTTTATCGGTCGTTCTAGCCCAAGTGGTTACATCTGCACGTTGTATGTACATTGCTTATTCGCCTCCGTTTTCATCTCCCAGTTTTTTTCAACTTTGGCCAATTGCATACACATACCCCTACTTTCTCGAAACTGTCGCCAATACCATAATATATGCTTTATTTCCCGTGACTCGGCTCGAATTGCTTCTTGGAAGCTGGGAGTGAGTCTCTGTTTTCTGCTCGCTATAGAAATTGTCTGTATGTTTTTTTAGATAGCTTAGAACACCGGGCCTGCCTCTATCGATAGAGTCTTCAGAAATCCAGGGAGATGGACGGATGGTTATCACAAAATCGCACACAAGGGATAGGGGTCGTCTCGCATAGTTTACTGGCCCCTCCGTGTTGCATTTCGATTTAGGTAGGCATTCTAAGCTGAGTCTGGCATGCAGTCATCGAATTTGTCATTTCTTATAGCGTTCCGAGGTGTTGGTAGTTAGATCTATGTTTTTTGCCTCGAGGCTAAGTGACAATCTCCCCTCCCCCTCCTTATCTTTTCAAACGTGTATCCCCGCTGCAAAACAATCCGTTGTACTGTTCGTTTTCCCCTTTGGTTTCTATTCCTCGTTTTGGTATTGCAACTACTCATTCATGCGTTATTATAACTCCTTTGGCGGTCATAAGCATCGGCTAATTGCAGGCAGTAGTATATCATACAGTTACATCTGTACTGTGGACTTGGTATTTTGGTCTTGGGAGAAACATTTAACCCGCAAACCCTCCTGCTCATTTCCCCCCCTTCGAACCAAAGGAATGGCCGGTATACTCTCGGTGAAACATATTTTCACTGTCTAGGCAACGAGCTTCTTCGTTCCTATATCCCTTTTTACTGTCTGACCCCCCTACGTTGTCCCTTTCTCGAAAATTAATTAATTCAAAGCCAGAAAACAAAAGTGGGAAACAGGCCACAGCAGTCTGCCGTTTGTAATGTAATTTTTCTCTTTTGCGCGGTTCATGCGCTGCATTGCGTCCAACAGTTTCCTATCCCCAATATCCCCATACCCCCTTCCCCCCTAAAAGGCCAAGCCAACCAACCACCAGCGCCATAGGTCATTTTTTACCTCCCCTTTCTTTATTTGCGAATCTACATTAAGGATCGGTCTACATATACCGCGTTTCAATGACTGATTACAGGCCAGAGAGTTGGAAAACGTATACACATTTCTATTGCGGGTGTTGTGAGTTAATATACGAACATACGAACGAGCTCTGTTCTACCAATCCTCATGCAGTATAATCAGAAGCGCAGATGCTGGCTGACAGTGAAAATGTTTCACCCATATACCTAGTAGACATCGTGTTGGGCTTTATATATTTATTCGTATATGCGGGGTAATAATTCTTTTTATTTCCCTTGAAAAAAACAAACAAACAAACAAAAAAAAAAAAAAAAAAAAAAAAAAAAAAAAAAAAAACCTAAACCCCGTAATCGAAGAGTAAGGGTGGACGGATACTCTTTTCGTAAATCCCCCGGGCCCTTGGACATTTTTCTTCCGGAACTCGAACCGGACGGCAAAAATATACTAGAGGTGTGCTTCAAGATAGTTAAGATTGTTCAATGATTTCTCAAATTCGATCTCATTTTATTTTCTGCCATTTATAGCTAACTTACTTTCTTTTGCAAAGGGTTATTCGAATTTGCCCTAGTCGCGGTGATAGATCATTTTCATTTGCTCGTTTCAGGTTTTCGCCCGTAAACAATGTACCTGATTAACGGCTAATTAGCCATACACATGACTAGGTTGGTTTTCGCAGGACTTGGGGTTTTGGGGGCCGGCTGCACTACTCGGAAGATGAGTAAAGAAGGGAAGGTATGTGCACTTACAAGTCGAACTGTGCATGCATTTTCGGATTGCGGAGATCTTTCACTACCTCAGCAACAAAGGCCTGGATGGCATCAGGAGACCATCCTAACACACGAGAGAAGAGGGCCATGGAAAACCCTTCCATGCCCTCGATGACTTGCAGGAGATTCCAGGTCCCGACCGTTTTCTGTGTCCCTATTTATTAGCCTACTGATAAGTGGCGTTGCGTTGAGTTCCTCCCCATTTTCTTTCCGATTATACCAGGCTAGGTTGTGGAAGAAAGGACATGTACACACCAATTTCGGATCTTTTGGCCATCTCCCAACAGGAACCCGCAGCTTCTTAACAACCACATCGGTGAAGCCGGCACCGCGCACCCACCCTTCAAGTTTAGGGCCAGGCGACAGCTCTCGACCATGTTGGCGGGTGGCTTTATAGAATAATTTGTACCATCGACCAAGTGATGATTCGGCGTCGTACGTTCCATCGTCGGAATACCAAGGAACATCGAAGTCTTGGAATTCCGCCCAGCAGCCGGGTGTCAGGTGGCTGAAAGGAAAAGGTCTGAGATCAGTATATGTCCTCCCACATATGCATATACATAATTATATGTATATCAGTATGGTTGCTTGTGGAAGGAATGAGCATCCAGTTACGAGACGGAAAGACTTGTTCTCACTTAAAGCATCTTTCAACCAGCTTTGGCCAATCTCGTATTGCAGCGTACATGTAACGGCAGTGGATGTAGTCGAACGAGTCTATAAAAGTCCAGTCGCTTTCGATGTCGTCGATCTCGAATCTCACGTTTTCTGGAGTGACATGTCTTCAACACGGTGGAGGTTAAAAAAGCTCTGCTTTGTTTCGTGAATGTGCGATCGCTTTCTGTTCCTCGCGGGGGGAAAGGCTAGCTACCAACTTTGTGTCCCGTATTGCGCTTAGGTCAACGCCTAATATCTGATGAGTGTGATGATCGTGGGATTGTTAGTTTCCTAGCAGGTCTAGTCGGCCAGAAACAATAGCGTTTGCGGCCGGTACGTCATAGCCATACCTGTGCAGACGGATAATCATCACCTGGGAAATTTTTTGAGCACTTTGAGATTGTAGAACAAATAAGGGAGGTCATCAAGATATAGTATCTTAAAACGTACCCATTTGACAGCACCAAATGCCGGTCCCAGCTCCAATATCAAGGATGTTCTGGGGGCTTGAGCCAATGGGTGCAAGGTGAAGCTTCTCGTCGCAGAGTGCAACTGTCATATAATGGACAATATCCAGTCTGTTGCTCTCCTTCTGTTGGAAGCGAATGTGCTGTCCGTCAGAGAAGCGGTGCCTATAATCTGGAGCGAAGTGTCCATAATAAATGTGTGAGATGGGCTCGACTAACCTCGTCATTCGGAAAGACGTATACTGGCGAAACGGTTTTCAATTAGGAAAGTTATCGAGTTACGCAATTTTCCATATGCGAACGTTAATAAACACGCAACAACAGAAGAATAGTACTTACAGCCTTCTCTAAAGGAATGGTATCTTCTTCCTGTGACGGAAATGGTATGGTAAACATTCTGTTGACATGGCATTGTGTCTCCTATTCCATAGAGAAACATTGCACTAGAAGAAAACATACCATTTTCATAGGTCTCGTTGACAATAGTTGAAGCTAAAGATTGTGCAAACGACGAGCTTTCACAGCACAAAATAAAGGAAATCAGCAACGCTCTCAAGGCATTTACTTTGTGATGTAAAATACGTCGTTATCTGCGCGACATCTACTGACAGGTCGTCATCAAAGATGGGGTCACCGCATGTATCACACTAGGGATATTTGTCAGAATGATGCTTGCACATGATATAAAGGAGACAAAATACGAGGTAAGGCAGTTGAAAGAGGGGAGTCCACCACACACAGCACACACCTCAGAATCAATCGAGATAGGGGGGAATTCGTTTGCCGACGACATCTGCGTAGAATTGGTCTGATACATGTATTTCTCTCTTTAGGATGCTTGGACGTCAATGTCCCGCGATGCTAAAACTGGTGTGATTCGTGATAAATTCGGCATCGAGAAAGGAAGGAGATTTCGCTACGCATATATATACAGCCTAAATATATATATATATATGAATATGGAATGCCTGCCTTCTGATCCAGAAATACCGAGTTGAGAGGAAAAGCAAAGATGGTGAAAAATATGGCGGAAGCATCACCAAACCAACGTGGCAAAACAGCAATTTAATAAACCTGTCATACAGAGGCCCCGTTCCATCTGGCGTTAGTATGCTGAAAGTCACCGAACTATGGTCTCTTTAGTGCTATGGTGGGTACAGGTATCCTGGTGAATCAGAAGTTTCAGCGATCATAACCCGTCTGTCGGAGTAACATTAAGTTAATGCTCGCCCATGCCTGGCATCGGGGAAACCTTAAAAGGTGAGCAGCAGAGGATGCGGCCGCTGGTTAGCCAGGATGCTGACCGCTGCACCGCAGCAATTGTCGCTGTTGGTGGCTCGATAGTGGAGAGCGAGAATCAATTTCGTGCCTTAATCATGGCGCGCGGTTCTCAGCACCACACCATGCGAGGATCCAAAGCCTTTCGCGGCTGTTCAATTATCAACAGACCAGAAGCAATAGTTGCTTGACTCGTCCAGCTAAAACCAAACTGACAAGCTTGTCCTGATGTGGTGCCTCGCTGAAGCACCCGGTGAGGAAAAGTCACTCGGGGGTCTCGGCTGTACCCTTCCCCCGGGACGAAAGGGGGCTCCTCCCATACCGCTAACGGCCCTAGGGAGATTCTTTCGCTAGGGGGTTTTGACAGAGGAATTGCGGGAAGCCGGAGTAAGTCTGACAGCAGATGACGCCGTGGAAACCAACCGCGCTCCCCAAAGTCGGACTCGGACTCGGTGGAATATTCTTGATCCAGCGCCTCTTATAGTTCGCATCGATTATGTGGGAATCGACCATTACGGGTTTGCGGAATTCGCATACTAATGTAATGCATTGATTGGACTCAATTTTTGGTTTGGATCAGAACTTGACACAGGACGACGAGATGGCCAGAGAATTTTGCACTCCTGCCGTTTACTCGGAGGCGAAGTTTAAATCCTGGCTTTTGATTATTTTGGGATTTCTGATCTCGGCGGCAGACAGAAACTTGGCGAAAGGGTGCAGGCACTGCAAGCCACAGCGACGAGGATCCTGGTTGGTGAATCCAACGCTGAGCTCCATCTGACATGGAAGCACTAAAGAGTCTTTCTTGGTTATATGAAATCCGTAGGCAGGAAACTACATATAGACGAACAATGAATGGTTTTGATATCGCTATCAATCAGACAGAGGGGGCAAACTGGTGGCCATTCGCGCTTTTTTCCTTTCCCCTATCCTCCTCCATTCATTCGAGTGGCCGCCCGTCCTCCTCCCTTTGAGTTCAAACAATTTTAGGTGACTGAAAAAGACTATATCTATGAGGTAACGATGGTATTCCATAAATTGGGTGTCAAAATACTGCTGGCTTCAATATATGTGTAATGTGACGTTTGTTGATTAACTTGTATATGTTCCCAGTAAAACGAAAACCCTTTCTTCGCCATAACTCTCGGATCAACCGATGTTGTGGAATGTAACGAGCTAGACAAGGTGAAGAGCGACCGTACGGTCCTGATGGACCTAGTAAACTTGCGCCAGGTGATGCAGAAATGAAATGTAAAGGATTTCAATCAAGTCGGTTCCAATTGTAGATGTTCAGCAACTCACCCACCGAGGGTCACTGTATTGCGGTAGGCGGTTAGTTGCAAGCTAAGATGGTTGTAAATTCTTTGGCTGTTCGAGCAGTGGCCCCCCATTTCTACATCACAAGTCTCTGGTATTGCATAGCGGTTTGAGAATGAAACAAAAATTAAAATAAAAAAGTAAAATAAAAATGCAGAGGGAAGTCAGAAATAATAATTGTAAATGGGTGCTAATCAGATCAGCAGGAGGGAATCAGGATAAGAACAAGAACGAAGTCATGATAGCAAAAGTATGATTAGAATTGATCTGTTGTTGTGGTTTCAAAGAGTTAGCAAGGCTGAATCAAAAATGCGAAACGGCTCGGGGAGAAACAACGCCACGGGACCAATCGTTCCCTAAGCAAAGAGAAGATTCAAAACATACCCAAAGTCATGCTCATGCTGACATCCGTATTTTCCACCATGCGCGTAAATTCCTCAAAACTAATCTTCCCATCGCCATCTTTATCAGCCTCCATAATCGTCTTATCCACGATCTGCTGCAGCTGCATATCCTTCAAGTTGCTCCCGACCATCATCTTCAAGACAATGAACAGCTCTCCGTTCGAAATGTAGCCATCGCGGTCGATATCGTAGACTTTAAAGGCAAAGCGCAGCTTCTCCTCTTTATTCCCCTTCGAGCTGAAGGCTGATAGTCCCGAGACAAACTCTTGGAAGTCCACGTCGCCGCCTCCGTCTTCGTCGAATATGGCAATCATTCTGAGTGTTGATTGGGCGGATAAGTGAATGCTCAAAATTGACAGAGGTGAAGGGGATATTCTCGTTGACTCGAGGCTTTTGGATCGAGTGCGGCGTTGGGGGAGGATGTGAGAAGGGAAGGGGGGGGGGGAATTACCGTGTCGCAAGAGGGTTCGAGGAGACTTGAGGAAGAGAGAGGAATTCATCACGCTCAATTGTGCCGGAGTTATCCTGTATTACACTCAATCGTATTAGCACGTATGAGACGATTTTTGTGGGCTGCGGCGCCGGCCATCGCACACCCAAAGTATCAAGAATGGAGACTTCCCTTATCCAGCTTCATAAACCGTTTCCGTAGTCTGTCGATCTCATCTCGATTGACTGGCGACATCAAGAAAATCAAGGGTTAACTGTATGCGGGGATAGAATATGGAGATCGAGTCTGCCACGACACTGTTTTTTACGCACAATTGGAAGCTGATACTATGTTTTCTAAAACCTCTGAACCCGAGTTCTGCTCTCTGCGCCTTGCGTCATACATCGCTGCGTTATTAGGTTCTGCGGCCATGATGAGAGTTGGAGGAGGGAAGTAAGGAATATACGTGGAAGGGGCAATTGCAAGGGAATATGAAATCTAAATCATGGGTATCCTAATAAGAAGGGAAAAGAATGAGAAGCCCGCTATTATCTGCGCAATGGCATTTGAATACCGTGATATCGAGATATGTCGTTTAGATATCCTTCCTCTAGTTCTGGCTGTTAGAAGCCATTTTCCGCTTTCCAACAAATCGAAGATGACGAAACAGGCGCTAAACCCGAATAGGCCCACTAGCGTCGATGAGACATTTTGATATTGGCTCTCCCCGCACTAGCCGCATTCGGCAACCTAAGCGGGCCCCTGAGGCTGTTGGATGCTCAAAACAGGCCTGTTGTTAGGGTCAAGGCAACGTCAACTCAAGAATTCACTGTTTCGCCACCATACCGCCTACCGCTTTATCTCACCACAACATCCCTCGATCGTCCTGAAAATACTTCTACGCGACTTTGCATGACCTGGCCTATCGATTCATACCAATTTCAGGGAGGGTTGCTTATGACAGCCCGGATATTTTCGCCCCAGAGTGATGTCCCGGCTTGGGGGAATGATGCGCTCCACGCGTCCAAAGAAACTCACCTCCAAGCAACCTATCCCTATATTCCGTGAAGATCAAATTGATATCATCGAAGATGACCTCCAAACTACTCTACAGGCCATTGATACTGGTGTTGAGAAGGCTGAGGAGACTGTAAGTCATATTCCCTATTGGTGTTGTTCGGTTTTTCGGCGTTGCCTGGTTACCAGATCACGTGCTTTTTTTTCATAAAAAAAAAAAACTTCAACACCGAAAGAGGAATCATAATGATGGAAACTAGACCCCCTGGCGAAAAGTGTTGGAAATTGCGCTGACATCTCTTCCTTTCTGTATTTTTGTAGGAATACCATCTCCAAGCCGCAATAAACGCTGCTGCCCGCGGGAACATTGCACAGGCGCATATCCCTACCCCCGAAACTGTAACAAGCTCTATCAAATATGATACTCTGTACAAGCCCACATTCTCACAGCCTGCGACGTACATCCGATTTTCATCAACGGTGGAAGATTGTAGTGGGTGTAGTTATAACTTAGTCGAAGAGGACGATGTTGCTCTCAAGATTATGAACCAGAAGAAGGGTGCTTCCACGCAATGTACCGAGGATCAATTCGAAGAGTTCATGGCCTTCTTCGAGGAGACCGCCCAAACAAAGCAACCATTTGCATCGGTCGACAGCCCTCCAGTTCTCTCATATTCCGAAATGGAACATTGCTTTGACGGGCTCGTAGACGAAAATGCAAGGAGGTTTGCCAGGGATATATATGAACATTGGAAATCTAGGAGAACTAAATGTGTAAATCGACCCCTGCAGACTGGGCTCAAAGTAAGTACTGCAAATCATGCATTAAATGTAGACATCCAGCGCTGACACGAACTTCGCAGTTTGAGACTGGTCAGGAAACAGATGATGGAGATCCCTATGTGTGCTTCCGTAGAAGGGAAGTGCGACAAATTCGCAAGACCCGTGGTAGGGATGCCCAGAGTGCCGAGAAGCTGCGGCGACTGAGAAAGGAGCTGGAAGAAGCTCGGGAGTTGGTCGCCATGGTACGACAACGCGAATTAGCAAGGAAAGAGCTGCTTGTCGCTGAGCGACAAGTGTTTGTCCAACGGGCTGAAGTAAAGGAGATGAAAAGAAAACTTGGTATCAAGGACGATGATGATGACCTCGTCAACCAAAGGGTAAGAATTGTGTTTGTGTTTCGCATACGATCTGAGATCCCTCTTGCTAATGTCCCATCACAGCAGCCAAAGAAACGGCCGCCAGAAGTACCAGCTAGCAGTCGTCCAGGTGCCACACAGCTTCGCATGCCCCCCCGACCTAGTGGACAGCCAGGAGAGGACTTGGTGCTGCTGGAAGATGTACAAGCAGATAAAGAAAGCGAAGTTCTGCGAGAAATCAAGCAAAACATTGCGAAACATTCTAAATGGAATGAGGGATACGTTGATTGGACGACAGCACCACTTACTCCAACTTCAGACCATAGCTTCGATGCTGAGTTCCGCCCAGCAATAACCACAGAATATCTCCCCACGCCTCCAGCTTCGGAGTCCTCGGATCATTCTCGAGACGCCTTGGAAGAGCTAAGCCGTTTCGATGCGCTGACCAAATTCGCGAGGACGGTTCAACAGTGTATCCCTTCAGACGAAGAGTCTAGTAGAAACATGCCATCCTTCCGGCGTCGCATAGGACGGGGTGGGAGGATGATGATCGACCGCCGCAACCTTCCATTCCGAAATAAGTCGGAGGCTGATCCGATAAAACTTGAGCGGTTCAAGTATGATCAAGACGATGAGGACATGGATCCGATATATGAAATGGATGAGTTTGACATCCAGATCATGCAGCATCGAGCGTATCTGTCAGCCAAGTCGAGAGACCAGGCGGCAGCGCAAGCCCAGTTTCAAGCCCATGTGCAAGCCCAACGGCGCTTACAGGGCGAAACCCCTGTGATGGCGGGGCCAAATAATTCCCACAACGGAACGAACAACGTAGTATTGAAAGGGCCGGCAGCTCAAACTCCGTCTTGATGTGTTTTTTCTCCCATTTACCCGTTTAGCATGGTCGGCGTTTGTGAATGGTTCGGTTTTTCAGGTTATCTGTGTTTTAAATCGCGTTTCGTCGTCGAAATATCTAGAGAGGAGTTGGTCAGGTTTCATATTGAAATTCTCACTCACACAAATCACCTTTTGGGAGGGATCCTGGACTTTCGTGCTTTTTTTTACCTTGACTCTTTCCCCTTGTCATCCTGAATACACAAAACTTATTCCACCTTGCATCCAGCCAGGCGGTATAAATCTGCCGTGGCCTGAAGAAAGTTGAGTCTTCCTCCCCAGCCTCTATATACCTTAGTGCACATAGTCCAAAAGGGTATCGTTACTAGCCATGTATAATAGTTACTGCTAAAATTAGCTAAAATCCACAAAAAAATGGAAATATTGTAAAAAAGGCTCGAAATCTCCGTTCTTTTGGTCTTTCCTTTTAGATAATCTTGTTTTGTCTCTCTATGTTAATTTCCATCGACTTATAGCTTCCTTCGCTTCTCGCCCGAACGCGTAACGATTTCCGCACTCCTCTTGGAGTTGTCAAATACTTGACCTTGATGCGCATCGAAATCTCCAAGAGCAGTAAGAACTTGTGATAATATTTGTTTTTCCCCGATTCGGACTTGCAGCGCCATCTTGAATCGCCTCGCCGATGCTGTGCTGTGAGTCGATTCCTGGATATTGGAAATTGAAGTTAAAAGATCTTTATCCTTTTCGAGCGTTGTGGTGTAATCCCACAGTGTCTGTTGCACCGCGGTTGCAAGTAAAGTTGCTTCCGTTACCCCTAGCCTAGGTTTGGGAACCTTGTTATTCATTTTTAGCTGGTTGAATTGATCGGGTGGCATTGTTAGGACATTGAGAGCGATCAATAGCTCCTCAGGGAAGACTTCCATGACAGGTGTATTGAGGTTGAGTCGAGGAATGCTGTAGCCATCGTCGAACACTCCCATATTTTCTAAGAATTCCAGCTACTGCAAAATCAGTCATGTACTTGAGTATACAAAGTTCGGTGGAGCGGAGACATACGTGTGGGTGCTCTGGGCCAGGGATCGCGGATGGAATCCCGGCGGCATAGCAAATGCTTCGCATCGAGATTTCGACTTCATCGTACTGGGCATAATTGTCAGTGACGTAACCATACCGCCTCAGCAAGTCTGCACGAGGCAGTTCGCCGTAATCGTTGAAGATTTCCTCCCCCTTTCGAATGGGTTTTATTGATCTCATAGAGAGATAGCAATCTTCCTGGAATAGTCGTGCCTTTTCTCAAAGTTAGCACGTGTATGTAGGTACGATGCTGTCAAGAGCAAAAATACCCACATTATTTCGATCTGCATCCGCGTTCAAGAGATCGGCCAAAGGGACCATTCCTTTGGATAGCTCTTCCTCGTCATCCGTTACATAACCATCTTGGCCCTCCCTCCCATCGTTTTCTCCTTTTTCAATATCAAAGGCGTAAGCCATTACCAATGAGCCCATGCGATGAGCAAGAGAGAGTAGTGCCGCCTTGCCCTCTGGCGAGTCGAAGGATGCCACACCGCTCATTGGTGGAAAAAGGGAGGGATTTCCAGAAACGAGAGGAAGAATATTACGAAAAATATTTGCTTCTGCATCTGATCTACCGATCTTGTTTAACACAGCGCTGCCACTCAATTCCCGGAGTTCTTCATCCGTCCAAAACATCAGGGTGTCAAAATTTGTGGGAAGCAGTTGGAAGTATCGTGACCACGTCGATGCCCCACCTTGGAGGTACTCGTATATCATTACAACAATGAGACAAAGCCATGGGTCAAAATCTCTCTCATTGAAATCCAATAGATCTTTTAGTCTCGAATTTTGAAAACTAAGCACTAGGCTTTGTGGGATTGCAAAAAGTTCTTCATCTTCGCCTATATCGTCATCGGCCACTGGATAACCAGAAGAACCATTAGCAAATAAAGGCAACAATTAAATGTTTTAAAAGGGATAAAAGCTGAACAAACATACCAATGCCTCTTCCGGCACCCTCAGACCTTAGATCTGCAATTTTAATCTTCGGACTCACTTTGACTCCAGGTCTCTGTTTTAACCAGGACATAAATTCGTCTGACAACTGCAAAAACCTATTGCACTCTCCAAAATGACTGGAATCCGACATTGTGTGCGAATTTTGAACATGGAAATCGACTAACTAAGAAATATAAGGACAAAACTATACGGGAGAGTACAAGATGAAGAGGATGAAAGCTATCACACTTAGCCTGCAGATATAATAGTTTCCAAAACTCCTCGGTGTTATTCGTGTGGACGAAGAAGGGAGTCCGCCCGGATAAACTGTTGCCAATTATTCCGTCGAGGACATCACGTGTTCCCGACTGTTCTTACCCCACTTTATATAGTTGCACCTCAACATAAAAGTTGACTCGACACATTGCCATGACTGAGGTGCCTCAATTCGCAGCTTTAATTAGCGCTTTAAATGCCAGGGATTGGCCACCATGATCGCTATAGGCCTTGAGGGCTCAGCTAACAAACTGGGAGTTGGGTTGATCCTACATCCTGACGATGGTGGTGCGGCGCAAGTCCTTTCCAACATCCGCCATACCTTCGTTTCTCCCCCGGGTGAGGGGTTTTTGCCCAAGGACACGGCCAAGCATCACCGCGCATGGGTTGTGAATCTTGTGAAGCGTGCTTTGAAAGAAGCTCAAGTTACAGTGAACGATGTGGACTGTATATGTTACACAAAAGGCCCCGGAATGGGCGCCCCTTTACAGAGTGTAGCAGTCGCCGCGAGGATGTTAAGCTTATTATGGGGGAAAGAATTGGTTGGAGTAAACCATTGTGTTGGACGTACGTTTCTACGTTTTTTGACCCCTTTGCGCGATTTCTTGATTTCACAAATTTGTGCGGGAGCATGCTTCAACTGGCTTTTCTAAACCCTTGAATTTCGGGGATTACTTGAAAAATAAATACACAACGCACCTTTTCTAATTAGACAACAGATATCGAAATGGGACGTTATATCACAGGAGCTCCTAATCCAATTGTGCTCTACGTTTCAGGGGGAAATACCCAAGTCATAGCCTATTCATCCCAACGATATCGAATATTTGGGGAAACGCTCGACATCGCTGTTGGAAACTGTCTTGACAGATTCGCTCGCACGCTCCATATTTCCAACGACCCAGCACCTGGATACAATATTGAACAGCTAGCGAAAAAGGGTCGGAAATTGGTAGACCTGCCCTATACAGTCAAAGGGATGGATTGCTCTTTCTCGGGCATATTGGCATCTGTGGATGCATTGGCTATATCCCTTGGGTTGGGTGGGGAAGATCAATCCAATAAGGATGCCGCCGAGAAAGCTGTAGAAGCCCTGGATGACGCCGCGAATGATGACCTTCCTACTCGCGCAGATCTCTGCTTCTCTCTTCAGGAGACGGTGTTTGCAATGCTCGTCGAAATTACGGAACGCGCTATGGCGCATGTCGGCTCTAAAGAGGTTTTAATTGTTGGTGGTGTTGGTTGCAATGAGCGTTTACAGGAAATGATGGGAATCATGGCTCGTGACCGGGGCGGAAGCGTTTATGCGACTGACGAACGATTTTGCATTGACAACGGTATAATGATTGCTCAAGCAGGCTTACTGGCGTATAAAAGTGGATTTCGGACTAAGCTGGAGGATTCGACATGTACGCAGCGGTTTAGGACTGATGACGTTTTAGTCAAGTGGAGAGACGATTGATGTGTGTGCTCCGGCGTTCTGGTTAGGCATTGAGCATTTACAGTGAGGCATTGGGACTGGCCATCATATTTTGGAATCGATTCCTATGTACCGCCGAAGATTTTGGGGTGACTAATCAACAAATAGCCCAATCTGATTTCATCACTACCCCAATGTAAGGGAACGACTTTCTTCTTGTACGATGATGTAATATAGTGCATGAATAGAAGGCGTTTGGGATCAAGCTTCACGGAAGACCCGAAAGAGACTGATAGACCAACAGAGAGGATGTCATTTCGGATGTGCTAAGCCCACTCAACCCGGGAAGGATTCAAGCGTCTCTATTCTGGTTTGACATTATACGGTCGAAAGTTATCGAAAGCCCCTTGGCAGGCATTAGTTAACGTCGCACACTTGATAACCTCAGCAGCCACTTAGCAACGCACACGGTCCCTGTTAGCAAATCCATGAGAGATGTCCTTGATCGAGCCAATGGCTTGATTGTTGCCGTTACGTTTGTTTAACAGATTTAGCGTCGTTGAATACCGGAATCCTAGTTGCGCATCAGCCATCGTCCATGACGTGTGGTTCGAGTGCGGAAATCCATTATGTTCGCTCTCATTAGGACCCCGCTCCCAACACTCCCACTTTAAGCCAAGTCACGCAAGCTTAGGTGAGGCTCCACTGAAGCAACGGTTTATGAATTCGAAGCGTCAGTTACTGTGGAATATATTATATCCAGTATGCACGACTTGCTGGCTTTCCCTGCACTACAATTCCAAAAATCAAAACTACGGGCAAGAATCCCCATCTATTTTAATAACTTTTTGCCTTAACTCTAGCAGGGAGTTCTAACAGCTCTCCCCCCGTTTCCACAGCATGTGACAAGGATTGCAGGGAAACGGGGATTAAAGGGATAAAAGGCGAATGGAAATTCGATATGTATTTATTATTTCAATGTCTATGTCTATTTCTTTTTCATTTCTCGAACCCCTAGCTTCTTCGACTATACCCATTTCACGCGCTCTTCATGTCAAGCGTGTTACACACTAGCGTCCACCTCGGGTGTGTGTTATATTATCCATGCCTTGGAAGGAGCCTCGGTCTCGGTATATGTCTTCGTCAGTGGTATTGTTGGTTTATTGTGAGTGAGTTCCACGCACTACATCACCTCTCCTTATGGCATGCGCCTTGGATGTATTTGAAAAGTGTGGAATTTGCAGGCTTCGGAGCCGTTAGTTTGGACACTGTCTTGTAGGCGAATAGAATTCGTTTGTTGCTTGAATGCGGCTTGTAGAATGAGCCGTGCTGAAGGCGTATAGCACAGTATATTTCTTCCTCATCATCGAGAAAAGCCCTCACACTTTCCATGTCGATGTCTGTAATTTTTATATTGCGAATTGACTTTTATTCTCTTCTCTAATTATGACATCATCCGACCAGACGGATATCATGACACTAGTCCGAAACAGGATCAGTTACGAACTTTAAATTATCTCCAACCCGAGCCTCTAAAATTTCTGGATTTTGATTCTACTTCATAACGGAAAAAACGCGGCGGCATTATACCAAAATCTATCCTAGCCCGAGGAGTCAACATTGCTGGCGGGAGGGGCTGTCCACGAAGGCTTTTGGGACAGAATACCCTGGAGGGCATATGTGGTTGTCCTACTAGTAGAGGAACGACTCAGACACAAGAGAGAAAGGCATTTCGCAAGCATTCCTCGACCTGTTGAAATTTCTATAAACCCGATATATCCAACGTCCGTATAGCCAAGATTCAATCATTAAAATGCCGGCTTCTGCCCACTCCCAAGATGAACCTATGCCGGACGTTGCGCCACAATCTCAAGAGCAAGAGCAAATGGAGGACGAGGATGATATGATTGAACTTGATGGACTGCGAATTAGCATTGTAAGTGATGGTTTGTTATCTCCCCTAGTTTGATATTTGGTTGGGTTTGGTTATTCCCAATGTGCTACTAAGCCTGTCCTATATTTGAACTCTGAGTCTTTGACGACTATTATTTCCCCCTCTCAAGTAGATATATATATATATATATATTATTACGTTTAATTTGCCTTGTTTTGATACTTCATATTCTCATCCAATGGCGCCTTGTGCTTCTTTTCTTTTTTTGAGCTCCTGCTAATATTACTTTTAGTTACCTGGGGCCGAAGAGACAGCCGCATCGTTTCAGTTCGATAAAGAAGACCATACACTTGGTAACGCACTAAGATATGTGATCATGAAAAAGTGAGTATCCAAAAACAAAACTTCTACCATCTAGAATCACAGGATCATTCCAGGCACGCGGGAATCATTGAGATCATTTCCATTCCCTACGCGGTGTGTTTCAAACCATGAGCCATAGATGTTATCCGTTTTACCTCTGCTTAATTTTTGGCGTCTCGTGGCCACAAGTAATCAGTGGAGCGAGCCCATTGGATTCGCACATAGCTTATTATAGAGCAGCCACCAACTCAAGCTTCTAATCTCACTCATTCTGCAGTCCCGAAGTCGAATTCTGCGGATACACAATGCCACATCCGTCAGAAGCTAAAATGAACTTGCGCATTCAGACATTTGGTATGTGTATATGGACCTCTGCTTCCTTTCTTATGTTCTATTTCCTTTTACCATGCGCATGGACGCATCTGCAATACACGGGCGTCATTCTCGCGGATTAAATGACTAACGAATATATAAATAGACACTACAAACGTCTTTTCTGTCCTAGAAAAAGGACTTGATGACCTCATGAATCTGTGTGACACGGTAACGGAAACTTTTATCGAGGCAAAGAACGCTTTTGGGGAGATTCAGAGCCAATGATTTAAAATAGTGAATTGTGCATTACTATAATTATTTTGTTCCAAAACATAATTGTTTTGTTTTTTTTTATTGCTCTCGATTGTATATTTTCCGTTATGTTAAACATCATGGGTCAATATGGAAAAAAGGAGGAAGGCAAACCTTATAGAACGCAGTGGCGTGTGGAGTTTTGCTTATCACTTTATCGATTTTTGTTGATTTTCCTATATATGCTTTTTTTTTGGTCATTTGTCTTATTCATTCCTTATTTCTTATTTAATAATCGATTTTGGATGGGTTCAACAGTTTCGTTCATTCTGGTAAAAAAGGTTTTTGGGCCCTTTGTAGGCCACCCTCCAGCAAGTCCACCAGCTTTGACCAGGGCCAAGAATAAAACACGCACTACAAGGGTGCTTATTCAAGTGGAGTCGAAAAAAAAATCCATTTTGCTAAATTAAGTAATCTATACAACCACTAGTTATATTTAGCATTCCCAGCAACAGAAGTAAGCCGACGAAGCAAAAAAATAAAAATAAAAAATAAAAAATAAAAAATGAAAAATAACCAGTTAATTACGGCCCTAGGATATTTATCACATTAGAAGCCTCGCCCAGAGCAGTATCGCATCACTTCCTCAACAAAACTCACCTCCAGGAAGCCAGACATAAAGTTCTTCGGCAGCTTTACAGTGGGGCCTTCTTCGACGCGGAAGTATTTCATCACATGTGAGAGTTGCTTCCAATAGTTGAGTGTTTCCTATTTGAATTGTGTTATCCCATAAACGGGATTCGGCCATTAGCTATTCTTATATAATTCAAGAGATACGCAGGGTATGAGGCAAATATTGCCGCCTTCCAGCGAGGTCAACCAAGACTAGATAGGAAATTTCGTCCAGATTCCTTTACTAAGGTGCGGAAACGCCATTCATCATACCTGGTACTCAGAATTGCTCTTGGCTACCAATACATCCACAACTGGTAATTGGTTCACGTATCGATGACGTTCAAACTCCTGGCGGATCTTTGTGCGGATAGCAGAGACGGGGAGATTGAGGGAATACATGTTTTGGATCTCAGGCGACTAGAATTAAAAGAATAAAGTTAGGTCAGCCATTTCCATGACACATTGCATACTTCAATCAGCTCGAAATAGGAGTTGTCTCGAAGAGGAGACTTGTGCAATTCGAATATCCGGGGCGGACGCCTCATGACGATTAGACCTGCTCGTCGATCGTCCACGAAGAAAAGAAAAAACTTGCACTAACCGCTCGTAACCACTCTCGATATGATTTCAAAACTCTCCGTCTCGCATCTTGCCAGTTGATAGCTGGTTTCTCTCATCAGCCGGACTATAGATCAGTAACAAGGATGGGTGTGGGGATGTGCGCTGTGGAAGATGATCTCGGGATGGAATTAAAACATACAGGATCGCGTCCGCTGCGCTAGATAAGTGGGATTGAGTACCATCGTGGACGGTATGTGTAAGGAACCGGACGTGAATCGCGGGCGCGATAGATGTGGTGAGTGCGTTCAACTGTTACATGGAGCTCGGTTCTCTTCATTGAGATGCCGTGACGCTACTAACTTAGGAGACTCACCGCTTTCAAGATAAATATTGCCATGAATTTTTTGCAGCTTCTATGAACCACGACTCAAAATGCGGGACGAGTTGTTTTCGAGAACATAGTAATAAATGTACTAAATGCGATATCCGGAGTTCCATGCCGCTCCCTAACACTTCTTGACTCCGGACCCGTCCACCAACCCTCTGCTGTACAAAATTCGCATATTCCACCAACAGTTAAGTACAAAACCCGTGCTACTCTTTTCACGATGGCGCCAAACAGAGGCTCCTCATCCAAGTCCTCCTCCAAGCCCTCAAACAAGTCGTCCTCTTCCTCCAAATCCAAATCCAAACCCCTCGCTTCTAGCTCCCGCGTCTCTAAGCCAAAGCCAAAATCTTCCATCCGCCGTCCCCTGCCTAAAGAAGTAAAGGCCAAACCTCGCACCGCCCCGGAGAATCTAAAAAAGAGGAAGAAGCGCATATACACCGAGAAGGAGCTGGATCTGCCGCAGCTGAATATGATTACGCCTGTAGGTGTGACGAAGCCTAAGGGGATGAAGAAGGGGAAAGTGTTTGTGGATGATCAGGTATGTTTTAATCGGGATTGAGTGAATTTGTGTTAAGAAGGGAATGGGAATTGAATCCTGTTGGCGGATAAGTGGGCTGATGGAGGGTGTATCCCCCCCTTTTTTCTCCGTCGTTATACTATAGGAAAGTATGATGACTATCCTAGCCATAGTGAATGCAGAGAAAGAAGGCCAGATTGAGTCGAAGATGATGAAGGCGAGGCAGATGGAAGAGATCCGTGAAGCGAGGAGGAAGGAAGCAGAAGCTAGGCAGATGGCGAAGAAGGAGAAGTTGGTATGTTAACTTCGCATGATTTATGTATTCATTTTCTTCTAGTGTTATGCTTTCACCATATTTACATCTGCATTTATTTTAATTCTAACGGTCGTTACCAAATAGGAAAAAGTGAAAGATTCTCTTCGCAAGAAAAGGCGACCTGATTCTGGTGAGGGTAAAGGCGATGGGAAAAATTCGTCATCAGGAGAAGCTAAAGAGTTCTCATCCTCGAAAACATCGAGGTCGAAGCCCAATCGGAAGCGGGTGTCGTTCACATAAAAGGAGCTACTGAACTATATGTTGTGGGATAGGTTGATAATGGAGTCCACGGAAAAGTATCTTATTTACTGGAAGGGATGATGCTAACCATGATACCATTTCTTTTCTTTTGCTTTCTTAATTTTGATTGACTTAGGTACTTGCGTATGTACAGCAGTGGCATGGAGTTAATCACGCGCTTCAATTCTACTCTATTATCAAAATATATGTCTTAAATCTAGAATATTGAGGGGAAAATATCAGTCATCATATAATACAGATTACCTATTCGCAAGGCAGCAAATCCAAAACATAGCGCCAGTTAATCATCCCTTTCGGCCCCCATACTCTTCCGCACCCCCATGAAATGCACGATCGGCAAGTCCATCTTCCGACGCATGGCAAAGAATTTCGGCAAAGGGTCAACATAAGTGTCTTGCTGCTGAGTCTTTCGATTTATCTCTTGGGCATCAGCACGTTCAATATTGTAGGGTGCATCGAGGTCGATTTCAGTTGCCATTTTGGTCAGAAAGGTTGTTATCTGTCATATTTGGTTCTATGTAAGTATGGAATACGTTGTGATGTTTGTTTGGACATACCGGCTTCGTAAACCACCTGGTGCTCCCATATTCGAACCAAGATAAATGTCCGCCCCAGGACGTCGTGCACATGACGCCATACGGTGTCTGCTTGATCTCCTCATATGGTAACGCTTCACCAACAGCGATCTGTGGGGCTCACATGTTAGAAAATGAGCCATACCGGATATATATGGATAAGTATACATACAGGGTCATCCTCTGCCTGGATGGCGAAGAATGGAACCTTTATGGAGAATATAGAGTCGATGGAGGAGGCGTCACGATAATAAGCGGTTTCTGTAGGGTAACCCCATACGGGTCCTTGGAGTTCTCTGTTTGAGATATATTTAGTTTTTGGCAAAAACCAAATAGTGACTTTCTTCTATCCATTGCCTATTGCACTGTCCATGGGAGATAGGGATATATAGTATTTGACGAGTCCCGCGATGGAAATAAGTAAATGCACACGCACCTATCAAATTCATGAAGATATTTAATATTTCGAACTCGCTCAACGTTGACAGCCGGATGTTTGGAGATTTCGTCGACATGCCTATATGTTAAAATTTGAGTTTCAATCGTTAGCTTTTGTACATTCTTTCTCACCTCACGAGAGGAGCTCCACGTAAGCTCCAAATGCCATAAAGCTTACTGTTCAAACAGGTTTTTCATATTACTGCCCATAGTCTTGGAGTACACTTCCATTCCCATCCATGTTCGCTTCAGCGCTTTTGAGCTGACTTCTAGATTCCAGGGATTGGAGCAGATGACGGCGGCTGAGAGAGGGCAGGATGCGCCCTCTTCACCGAGATACTGGAGGAGAAAAACGAAGTTAGCATCAATAAAAGAGGAGAAAACGAAAGAAAACCTACATTCGTCAAAACATTAGCCCCCAACGAAAACCCAATCCCAAACAGCCTCCTTTGCGGAAACGCCTCTTTCACCCACCCCACAAGCTGCCGCACATCCCACGTCGCGCGCGCATTGTAGAGAATCGGACTCGTAATGCGCGACTTGGCGCACCCGCGGAAATTCAGCACGCATGCTGCCCACCCAGCCTCGAACAGCGGCGCAATCACATGGCGGAGGTAGATCTCATGCGAACCGCCGGATAAGCCGTGCAAGACCACCAGCATAGGAGTTGTGTCTGTGGTGGAGGGGAGCGAGGCGAACTCCTCTTCTGTGAAGAAGGTGGTGCGGGGCGGGAGGAGATGGGGAGGCGGAGCGGCATTCTTGGGTGACTTACTTATCGTCTCCTGGGTGCCACGGTTCGTATCTTCGGTTAGCGAGATTTCATAGGGCGGGACGACGAAGTCGACATCGAAGGTGCCCCTGTAAGCTGCACTGTTGGACTGGAAGGTCCAACGTTTGTAGTAAACGGGGATGTCGTCACTTTTAACGGCTGTGTAAGCTGTTTGGAGGTGACCGTTGAAGAGGAGTGGGTTTAACTGGCATTTCTTAGGGGTGGAGGTTTCGCAAAGTTCTGCGAGGGAGATGTAGGGTTGGTCTTGGTCTTTTTCATCTTGTGTGACTTCTTTTGTGTCTTGTTGAATGGGTGAGGTGGATGAGGTGGCAAGGGATGCTGAGCGTTTAAGTGCTAGCTGGAGAACGTTTGGCGCATAGTGGAAGGAAACCTTTCCGCTGGGTAGAAGGGAGGAGAGATAGCCCATTGGCAAAGAAGAGATAGATACTGGGCGAAAGCGTAGGTACTTGGTGATCCTGCTTCCGCTGGATATAACGCACGCGGAGGCAGTGGGATGCTCGTGGAGTATTATTATATCACGACATTCGTATTGTATTACATTAAATTTCGAAGGGGAAACGACAGGAACAAGAAAAGACAAGCCATTTTATAGAGCTTAAAACGAAGGAAGTCGGCATCTTACGCCGACCAGCTCGGAAAGCAATCTTGGGAACTTGAAATTTTTAGATAGCGCCATGGTTCCATGGTTCCATTGTTGCTCAGGATAGCTGGTCGGGCTTGGGCTAGCAGAGACAGACTAGACTGCTCCAGCAGCAAATCGGAGGCAGCTCTGGCGGCGGCAAGCTGGCGGGTGACTTTGATGTCTGCAGCCACAAGCAACACGAATGGGATGTTACTGCATTTTTTTGTCGTTGTATTTATTCGGGCAAGAGTTGAAAAAATGAACCTCGGCATTTTGCGAAAGTCAAATTCTGTTCGTATTCGGGATTTATGCATGCAGCAGACACGGCGGCTGGAACGGGGCGGAAGTTTGTTGGATGGATGTATTTGGATATGAATAGCTTGGAGGGAGAGTTAGAAATTTCGAAATAATTAGTATTCTAATAAAGGAAAATAAAACGATGTAACGGGCTCGTCGTATTCACCCCCGTCCTGAAGTTCGTAACCCGCTGGCATTTACACCCACTACCATGAACCGGGAGTGTTCGAATATACATTTCTACGCACACATAAATCAGATCAGGTAGGCCAAAAAAAAGAGAAGAAAAGAACCAACAAAAGAACAAGGTGATGCTCAGGTTATATGTGTAGGGTGCCAGGAGCATAGGCTTGGGTTCAGAAATATGTAAAATGGATCGCTAGATCTGAGGGGCGAGGCGAATAAATCAACGCAGTGTATACAGTATGGGCTTGGAAAACAATACAACAAGTCGGCCAGGAAGGATTAAGTGACCTGCAAAGTAATAGCCAAAAATCGATCCGCCAAAACATACATATTATGTTCAATCGCGAGCGGATATCACACATGGCACCCGCGAATGCCATATTCGTCTGCGCTTCGGGGTATTTGCAATAAAGAAATTATCGAAATATGGATCTGGCGCAGTGGCAGCGGAATCCTTCAACTCTTCCGTAGCTCCTTGGCCCAGAGCGACCTCTGGTGGAGAGGGATTCAAGCGTCGGATTTCCTCAACGCTTGCACCGATTTCATACTCTCCATGACACAAAGCCGTAACACCCAGAGTTACCTCTGTGGTTTGGTGAGGTTCGAGAATGGGCAGGGCGCGCTGTAGCATCCCAGACCACGCGAGCCGTTTGGAGAGATCGAGAGCGATGGCATGTGGGGTATGTCGCAGGCTAGGCTGGAGGCGGAGGAGCGGGTGAATTGGTTTGGACGAACGGTTTATAATTGTGGCCGAGAGTGTGAGGAAGGTGTTTGTTTTCACAGTGAATTTGGAGTGGCCGGTTTGGGAGACGCTATCGATGCCGTTTTCGATTGTCTTATCGTTACTGCTGTCTCCTGTGTACGGTCGCAAAGAAAAAGTGACGTCAGCATCATCAATTCGGAGAGCGTCAACCATCCGTGCGTTCAGTCGGATGGCTCGCAGGTCAATGACCCCCCCACGACCAGTCGCCACGTCTTTCCACGACCCGCGCAGGTGCTTGAGAAGTTCCTCTCGAAACCAAAAGCATTCCCTCGCGGAAGACTCTGCCTCGTAATCGAGTTTATTTGCACTGATTACAAATTGACGCTTGTTGCTGACGTTTAATGATGGGATGGGTTTTTGCGCGTTCTCTAGGTAGACACGGGGAACGACCAGTAGAAACCGGGAGATATGGCCTGGCTGAAGTTCGTCGAAGATCTCGTGGATGCCAACAGGATTGTGTTTCAGTTTGTCATCAGGACTTTTCGCACCGTCCGAAATATTTTCGTTTACAAATAGCGAGACTGTTAGAGGATTGGGCCAGGCGTTGCGCAAATCAAGAAGTAACAAGCAATGGCCGAATCCGAAGGAACTGAGCCCAATGCGGGAGAATGTCTGTGAAAATTGTGCTTCTCGAAATTGGGTGATGGATCGTGGTGTTGACGAGGACTCCATTGATTTAATGGCCTCCTTGTCGCCAAGTGATGTGCGTGGATCTTCGCTTTGCTGCAGCTTATTATTATCCCATGCAAAATCACTGGTAAATGGTAGCACATCGCATCTTGTGACGTCAACGCCTGCATTAACGGTGACAGTTAATGGTAAGGAAATCTGTCTGCAGTAAAATGTTTCCGGGAGATCTGCTAACGAGGTACAAACGTTCGCATAGTCAATCTTGAGTATGGCGTTATCAAGGCCTGGCTTTCCATATATGTCAATCGTGAAAGTTGCAGTTTCTCCCGGAGCGATCGAGAGCTCATAATCGTGGAGCTTGTCACGCCGCCATGTCATGGCTGGGTTTGTAGAGAGCCGTAACTCTAATTCGTATATATCGGTGGGCAGGTTTTCTTTATTGTTAAGAGCTGATTGGAGTTGGGGTGTTGAAGAGTCCTCAAAGCTAAATGAAATGAAATCCAACGGGCAGGTCGAAATGTTCTGAAGCGTAATATCGAATGATCGTGTTTCTCCTTCCAGCAACATGATAGCCGATTGCGAGAGCGATGTTGAGTAGATGATGACTGTTGGCTGCTTTTGGATAACTTTAATAAGCACGATATCCGGTTCTGGACCTTGCCTGCTTGCCCCTAATCTACTACGTGATGCATTTGAGCTCCAAGACAAGGGACGTTCTGAGAAAGGTTCCTTTGCGGCCAGTCCTGTTCGTTTTATTTTCTGTTCCTTCTGCGGCTTCCAGAAGTTTTTGAAGATAGGAAATATTCTTTCACGGCAAAATTTGACCTTGACTGTACATCCCCTTATTTCCAGAGTACCTTCGGTTGCTGCAACGCCAGAGATGTAATATTCCTGAGTAGTGAATGGTGCAAGCCATAGTCCATGGGTGGCTGCTGCTTCGAATGGAACGCCAGTCCCATCTATCCGCAAACTCTCGATTTCCACATCGAACTCGAAAGGGTTTTGAAGAGTGACCTTGAAGGTAGCAGGTTCCTCAGCAATCAAGAGATCTTCCGAGCGTTTTGTGGTAGCCTTGGAGAAAGTGCTGTATATAAACGGATTCTTTTTCTCCAGGCGCTCCTCGACAGTGGCAAACCCGAAGTCCGTTCTTGACCGTCTGACGGGCGATTTGAAGTCAGAGGAATTGACAAGTTCCACACCTCGCACCATGAAGTCATCCCAATATTCAGCCTCTAGATTAGAATCGCCAAGCTTCTTTGCAGCCGCAACGGTTCGTTTCACGTTGTTAAACAAGTGTACCTGCTCCTGTAAGGGTATGACAGGTAGTCCGAGATAGCTGTCTGGAAGAAGCATGAGAGTGCCTTTGACTGTTTGAAGAAGGTCAACTGTAAATTGCAGGACACCTTGGAAGTCAGGCAGTGCTTCGCAAAGATTAATGCAGGCCTTAAGAATTTCGACTTTCAATGTGTGGTCCCCAAACCCATTCATTACCGAATGACGAAATGCTCTGTCAACTATTGAATCAACGGAGTCATATTCAGGTACAGTTTCACTTTTCGCAGTTGAGATATGCCTGGAAAGATCTCGTCGATTGTCGGTGCAAATCATTATTCCCGGGACGCCGTAGATCTTACCCACCAAAGCCAGCAAAATCCTGATGCTGTCTTCCATATTTCCCGGGCCAGCATCCAAGGCATTCATTTCAAAAGCTGAATAGTTGAGAGCGGATAAGCCCGCAGCGGGATGGATTCCAACTTCAGCAGCGCCAATTTTCCGTGCCTGGATCAACCCTGGAATTAAGATAGAAAATAAAAGTTGCAACACATACGCATTTTTCCGATCTAAACCAAGTGAGGAGAGTACGGACGCCATACCAACCAAAATCGGAGTGGAATCAGTAATTGGAACATCGGTACCTAGCGAAGCCGGTAAAGCACGGAACAAGAAGCTAGCTATATCTGACTTGCGGAGTGACACGGTACCTCGAGGGCGTTCTTGGGAACGGACAAACTTCAACGAGTCATTCATGACGATATTTCCCAGTGCGCTATCATCAAGAGAACCATCGCGAATATAAACAGTGGCGAGAATACGTGCAAGTCGAATCACGGTTTCTGAAAATACAAGTTGTGGGACTGGCTCATCTGTAATATTTGCTGCTCGAGTGTAAAGATTCAGAATATTGTTTGCGAGATCGGGAAGGAGATTTGCTAGGTTCTGAAGTGAAACTCTGCGGTTTTCGGGATTCGATTGCCCAATACTATACAGTTCAGTGTGGCTCAGAGATGGTGTTTGGGAAACAGATTTTGAAAATTTATCTGCTGTTGGATAGCAAATTTGTGGAATCTGAAAAGATGGGACCACTGTTAGTTTGCGGTTATTTCTAACCAGGATTTTTCTACGGCGTAACGGCGTTTGTAAAATCATACCCTAAAGTCCATCCCAGCCCACCCTAACATTAGTAGACATTGTAGAATTGACTCCAGAGCTTTTGCATGCCAAATATAATCGCTGTTTGCCCGCGCTATTGTCGCGCCCTCAGCCAGTTCCTTGAGTGAATCGGGCCACCGACCAGCTTGAAGAAACAAGGTGCCCATGACTATGTTCAAACGGCCTTTAACTCGACTTTTGCTTCTCTCACTTGCAGCTACAAACCCAAGTCCTTGTGCTGACATTCGTTCACGGCTATGTTCCTTTGAACCTGGTTTCGAAGACGCTTTAATGGAGGATGTCACACGGTTGGAAACTTGAATGGATCGGGTGATTTCATCAAAAGTTGTTGGGGAATCATGCTCCGCCGGCTGGAAATTGGCATCAGAGGCATCGATGAAAGTTCCGTTAGCCCCTGGCAATTGCGCAGGCATAGTCATTCTATGTTGTAACTTCTCAGACACTAGTGGACGGACTTCGGGCGTTCGTCGTGGACCCCAAGATGAGGCCTTTGGGGATTCAACTGTTGGCCATTCTTGAATCCTTTCCGCAAGTCCGGATAGTTCCCCGAGTAGTCGCGAAGTGATATCACACATCACTGTCTTCACCGTTGTTGATCGAGCGGCTTCAGGGCGGGGAACCCATATCACCGTGTCAGGACCTGTAACAAGCTTCGACACGGTAGCATAGTCGAATACTAGTAGCTGTTGAACTAGTGATTTAGGATAGCTGTCCTTGAGTGTATTTAGCTCTTGTTGGAATAGCTGGAGCCCCTCTACGGTGGGATAATTACACGGCTTGGTTCCATTCGACTGAGTTTGTGAGTATATTCCCGTCCCTTCGGGCGGGCCAGGTAACTCCGTTCCGTCCGCAATAGCTATTATAACAAGGGGTTCTCGGAATATTTCGAATGGATATAGGTCTAGGTGGGAAATTGGAGGAACAGATATGGAAAGGTCGTAAACTATCATGCCCGTCGGAAAGGCCATTGGTGAGAACGCATCTGGATTTACAGCCAGCGATTAGAGATCTTGTAAGAGCAGGGCCAACAATTTACAGACATAAAATAGAGGTCAAACCACTGCGCATACTTCTATTGGGGCGGCAATCAGGGCTAACATCCCCCAACCGAACGACATTTTGATCCTGAAGCCGCTTGACAAGGTTTAAAAAGCGGGATCGCTTGATATTTCCCACTGGTAGCAGTAGAGCTCGTAAACGCGCCGGCGCGACAGGAGAAAGGGGGTCAACTGCCATGCTGACATCTGGAATAAGGGACAGAGGAGGCAGTCCGTGATGCGCACAAGACCGCTCCCTGAGATGGACGCAACAAACAGGAGCTAGAAGTCATAGATGGTGTACGGGGACAATTTGCAGGTGGCAGATAGCGCGCCGAGAGTCCAATGGTCGCCGAGTGAATAGCTATAGGCAACCAACGGGATGCCCAAATACATGAGGTGCCTTCTGTTCCTATAGCATGTATACTGCGTAGTGTCCCTGTAAACGTTATTTCTTTCGCGGCGAAGCGGCTCTTGCGCTTTGTCACGTGAAATACAGCTTCCTCCGCAGACCAACTCCGCAGGCTTGGGGCAGTTCCGTTGCTTTCGGATTTGCTTCATCAAACAACAACTTTCGGGGCAGGGAGGCTCGTGTCTTTGGAATAATACGCTAGTTGGGGCGCCAGGGCCATACCGGAGTTCCTTTATTCACATCTTTCGCCCTTAGTTTGCCCCTCTGGCTTCTGGCAATTCAGTCAACAAAATCCATCAACGTCATTTTCGTAAGGCGGCCTTGAACCCCTTGCATGATATTGGAGCTTATACTCGCCGTTATTTTGCAACTCAAATGAAAGTACACAGTTAATCTTAGCTGTTTGGAGTCCTTTAATACAAGGTTTATTCTTAAACTCTCGCTCCACTCTTACACTCTGATCGTGCACTCGCTTTTGTCATCATGTCAGATATCGATTTCAATGCCTTGAAGGCGCGGACTTTGGGCTCCGGGAACGACGAGGAAGCAGTAACTGTGAACACCCGCGCACTCATAGATAAGGTGTTGGCTCGATACTCTGGTGAATGGTATGCAGAGCGTTTAACCTCTCCGCGTAACCTTGCTTTCCTCATGCAACATGCTGACTGATTCTGTTCCTCCAGGACCGTCCTTCGAGAACTACTCCAAAACGCAGCTGACGCCTGCGCCTCAAGCGTTACTATCAAGTTCGAGACCATCCCTTCAACAAGTGTCCCAGCCCCTACTGAGGCTGATCCGTCGGCTTCTCTAAAACATGTCATATCTCACCACACCCTCAAACGTTTGATACTTACCAACAATGGAACTCCCTTCTCCCCAAACGACTGGGCTCGGCTTAAGCGGATCGCCGAGGGGAATCCGGACGAAACCAAGATTGGGGCGTTTGGAGTCGGATTTTACAGTGTATTTTCTGATTGCGAAGAGCCATTCGTATCCTCGGGCTCGGAGGCTATCGCATTTTATTGGAAGGAGAATGCCCTGTTCACCCGTCGGCTAAAATTAGGGGAATCAGATTCAAACCCAAATACGAACTTCGTTTTGGATTATAGAAATACTACATCTCCAGTCCCAGCTCTTTTGCCTTTATGCCAGTTTCTCGCCAGTGCCCTAACATTTGTTGGGCTGAAGTCTGTGGAGCTTTGGCTTGATGGCTGGAAACTGCTGCATCTTTCTAAAAAAGTTGCCCCAAGTGTTAAAATCAAAATACCCAGAGATGTTGAGACCAAAACTGGTGAGGGTCATATGACAGTATCCGGCGTGATACAGGAAGTTGCTCAGATGGATGCAACATGGATGGAAGCAGTGTCGTGGAAAGCCCCAAACAACACGTCTCGATTCGACAGCTCCAGACATTATGACCCTACATCGTCTTTGAAATCCTTTTTCTCCCGCCTGACTGGCTCTTCCTCGACTGGCCACTCTGCCAAAACCTTCAACCCAGGGAGGGCGAGCAATCAAGAAGCTCAGGAAGACCTTATCTCCACGAGAACATCATCTGTATTCCTTCACATCAACACTGCCACTATCAACACCTCCATCGTTTCGTCGTTTGCTCGTGAGCTTGAGCGTGCGACAAAAAAACCCCCACCTAAGATGACGACGCTTGCAATTTTAACGACATCGTATAGCTCCCGGGAACCTGGAGAAAACAACAGCTCAAGGAATGCAGATATCTTTGCCTCCGTCCTGCCTTCAAGGTCTGGTAGAATATTTATTGGCTTCCCCACGCACCAGACTACAGGCTTAAATGCACATATCTCTGCACCGTCAATAATCCCGACAGTGGAGAGAGAAAGCATTGATCTCAATGCCTGGTGGGTTCGCACTTGGAACCTAGAATTATTGAGAGCTGCAGGAATTGTTTGCAGGATCGCCTTCTCCGCTGAGATGTCGTCTCTCAATAACCGGATTCAGTCTAGAGTAAACCAGCTTGGTCGGTCGAACATTCGGATGGAGGACATAACCCATCTATTACCGGAGGCAGTGCATACTTTCAACCAGTTTGTCTTCCGTGAATCAACTCCAACATCGAAGGTTGGCCAGGTAATCGAAGATTCATTCTGGACCTGTAGCAAAAATGCAACGATTGAGGTATTATCTACTTCTGGGATCCTTCCGTGTCACCAAGTGCGAATTGCACACAAGGATCTCAGCTTCATGGGTTCCATACCGGTAATACCAGACGAGCTTATGACAGGAGCAAAGGATTTTGTGAAGCGCTTGGCGGATTTCGGCCTTGTCACCGACATTAACGTCTCAGATATTATCAAAGAGTTGGAGTCTCGTCCTCTGACCTCAAAACAATTGGAAGAATTCCTGTCTTGGGTGACCAAAAAAGCTTCCACCCGTGACATTGACATTTCGACTGTTCGATCATTACTACGAGTGGCAGTCGCAAATGACGAATCTCCTGGCGGCGTTTCCTCCCATGTTATTGTTCTCAGTGATGTGAATAGTTTCGTGAATCCGAATAAAATTCCTGCCGAATTGCCAATGCCACCGTCCGTCATGCCTTTCAAATATACGAAAAATTTGCCAAGGCATTCTCTGGAGGCCTTGCAATGGAAAGAACTGCAGATTTCTACTTGGATTACATGGCTGGTAGAAAATGCGAAAAATAGGGGCTTGCTTCGTCCAGACCAAGATATTACGCAGGCCGCCTCATTTGCTACCCAGGTGCTCCCTGTGCTATCTAAACAATGGGATAGCTTAGATATATCCACAAAGGGTACTCTCACTGGTCTTCTGCGAAATACTACAATCATCCCCACCAAGTCTGGGATGAAACGGCCACCTGAAGCATATTTCCCGTCTGTAAGACTATTTGACGATTTACCTGTCGTAACAGGGCTAAACAACGTCAAGGAGAAATTCCTCGGCGCTCTAGGTGTTCGGAAGACCGTTGAACTCAACGTGATTTTTGAAAGACTACTGAACAAGGATGATAAATCGACCGACGAGAAAACCCCAACCCTCAAGATGTGGAGTCATGTAGATTTGATCAAATACCTGACTTCCGTTCGAGACGATATTCCACCAGAAGATATTCAAAAACTGAAACAAGCAAAAATATGCACTGCTGTAGCCAATGAAAGTCTTAACTCGGATGGTAAACGGTATAAAGTTTGCGAGCTTTATGTGCCCGATGAGTCATTGAGGGCTCTTGAATTGCCGATACTTTATTGGCCGGGAAAGTATTCACCAAGTAGCCCCGAGGGGCGGTTTTTGTCGCTGCTGGGACTCAAGAGCTTTCCAGCAGCTCAAGAGGTACTACAACTTATGGCTTGGGCAGCCACGGCAGACAAAGCCAAACTCCGAGATAAGGCGATGGCGTATTATATAACCCACCATATTTCCAATGGATATGTCAATTTTGATGCATCCACGGTTAACATGCCATATCTTCCAATTGAAGGACAAAACAAACTCAGCACACCGAAGCATTGTTTCACCGATGAAGGAGCTACGCTATTCGGATTTGATCTCCTAAGAAGAGATCTTTGGCCCCATGCCTCAAAATTTGGTGTTAGCCAGCATCCGTCGCTCAGTGCCTGTATTGATATTCTTGTTAGTAACCCTCCTCCCTCGAAAAAGGAGGCCAGAATTTTGTTTGAATATTTCGCCAAACGTCTAGGAGAGATCAATTCACCTCGATCAGAGCGTATTGGTCAAGCACACATAGTCCCTGTAATCCGAAAGACGTCCAATTCTAACTTGTTCCCGAAGGACAAGTCTTCACCAGTCACTCATATTGCACCACGAGATTGTTATCTCGGCGAAAGCGAAGACTACGGAAACATATTTGATTTTGTTGACTTTGGACAAGAAGCGAATCTGTTTCTCCTTGCGTGTGGCTCCAAGCGGGAACCGACCAAGACTGAAGTTGCGAGCATGTTGGTCAAGGAACCCGCTATGATATCTGCAAAGCTTCAAACCCCTGAAAAATATTTGAATCTCTTGCGGAGTCTCGCCGAAAGCATTCCATTGTTAAAGAAGAACAGAGATTTGTTCAGGGAGATGAAAAAAGCACCATTTCTACTCGCGAGCAGAGAATTGCCTTCCAAACCGACTGCTTCTCGCAAACCGGACGAAAAATTAATAGATATTGACGATGAAACTTATGAAGACGATACGCAAGCCATTAAGGAATGGCAACTAGTAAAAGCTCATGATGCTATTATCATCGATGACTATTCCAGTTTTAGCTTGTTTAAGCAAAATATCCTTGCTGCGCCGCAAGAGGAGCTGCTTGAACATCTGTATGTTGCCCTAGGCACACCGTGCTTGAGCGAGCTTGTGGAGGAACAAGCTCGGTGTGGCAGTCTGGCACCCGATCAGCGCGTTGCAGTAAAATTGCAGAAGCAAATTTATGAGCGGTCTCGCTTATTTCTCCACGACCTGCCCCGCGATATGATCAAACATGATACCAAGTGGCTGGAGCGAAATCTTTCAGTTCAAGTTGTGCAGTCTATCTCCTTGAGACGGACCCTTAAGGGACATCACGCTTCACATGTTGAACAACGGAGCGCTGTTGTCATGCAAACCCAGACCGGCTGGGTATTATCGATGGCTTCTGGTCGACCAAATTTATACCAAGTCAGTCAGGCACTTGTTCATCTCATTCTCCATAGACCGAAATTACACTTAACGCTCACACTGGAGATGTTGCTCAAAACCGACCTCCTCGAGCTGCGTGCTCGAGGCTATAATGTCGAGCGTATCCTTCGCCAAAAGGCTGCTGAAGCTCGGATGGAGGAAATCAAACGGCAGCAGCAGTTGGAAGAAGAGTTAAAACAAATCCAAGAAAATGAAGTTGCTTGGAGAAAAGGCCAGCAATCTGAACAGTCACAGGATCACCACGAACAGCAGTTGATGCCTGGAGATTTTCCCAGTTCGTCCCCACCTCATGAAAGGAAGCCGAGCCATAACGCAGCATCTTCAGAAGCAACACCTACCCGCCCAAAGAGCGGAAGAGGACTTTTCTCTGACCTGACTCGTCGATTCGGATTAGAGGATTTCGCGCGATCAAATAGTCCCGTGCAATCCGCCATGCAAGGTCTCCGCGACAGAAGACATCAACCTAGCTCCTCGTCTGACGCCCCTCCACCACCGTACACTACTAACGAACCAGATTCGACAAAGAATCCCAATCCACTACCAGTGACATCGCCCCATGCACTCCAATCAAACCTGATGTCTGCCATCCAAGCATATCGACCGCACGGATCGACAACGCTCTACAGCCGTGGCGAACAGAATAAAGTCGTGGAGACCAAATCATACTGCGACGAGAGACCCAGCCACGACCTTGTATTTGCGGCCGATTCTACCTCTAACATCCGGATATTCGTGGCGAAAACAGTCGACGATCGCTCTACGTTCCTAGCTGCGAATTCGAACGGCCTTAACGCCTTCTCCTCGATCTTGATAGATTGCGCTAGCGTGTTTTCACTCCGGCTAGACAGTGTCAACATATTTTACGATCCGGCTGGCCAGACGATTGCGTTTAACAGCCAGGGCAGCATTTTTTGCAACTACCACTATTTCCAGTTGCTGCATCAGCTGCGGATGTCGAGTGGAGGGCCGGGGTGTCGCGATGAGCCGTTGGTGTACTGGTGGGTAATTTTTTGTCATGAGCTGGCTCATAATTTGGTTGAGGACCATAGCTCAGATCATAGTTTTTATACGTAAGTTCATCTATTTATTTCCTCTCTCCCGCTTTCCATTTGTGACTTCAGATCGACTTTGCTGTGTATGAGATAAAAATGTATAGCTCTCTTGCTAACTCGTAACTGGTTATCAGCGAGAGTTTCGTGGGGCAGTATTTCCCCAGGGTTGCTAGGAAAATAGTGGAGTACACGGCGTCCTCGACTTCTGCGGCGGTACCCCCAGGCGTCTCTTCTCCCGCTGCTACCGGCAAATGATAATTTCGGTTGCTTTCATTTATTTCCCTTCTCGTTGTCATTGTTATAGATTAGATATTTGTCGCGGCCCATTACAATCAGGCATCAGTCAATGCATCTAGATATGTATAGACACATGTAAAGGCGTTGGACACCGTGGAGTTACAAATGATGGCTCTTTTCTGGAATGCATGGTAGCATGAATGTATAGGACTTGTGTTAATGGTAGAGGAAAGACTAGGCCCTTCAGCACTTTTGGCTGTGGAAAACTATAAATTTTGGCCGAAACTGCCTGCTCCCCGTTACTTAAATCCCCAAGTCAAAACGAAATAAAAGACCACACCAGCTTCGTTGAATATATAATCCATCCCAGAGTCCACGCTGTTTTCTTTTGCCTGTTCAGACACCTTAGTTATTGCACGTGGTTAGCAAGGGAAAAAAACGAAAAAAACTAGGACAGGGTTTAAACTCTATCCATGCCTTGCGGCGGGGAGGCAATTTGAGTTTCCAACTTTTTTCTCCCAGATTCAGCGCCTTTCTTGATATTTCTCGCGATGGAAGGATTGGTTCATTGTAACTATGAACCGGTACCACTGCTTCAAATAGGGGTGGTCACGTGGCATCAGCAGTGATGCAACCCTTTTTTTTTTAATTTTTTAATTTTTTTTTTTTTTTTTTTTTTTTTTTTTTTTTTTTGACAGGAGTTGGGCCAGCGCTTTCTTCAAATCAACTATTTTTAAATTTTCTCATTGCACTGCTCGAGCTCATCCGACCAGGGAGCCACTCTCTGTGCGTTTTCAATTTATATTGCGAACTGTCCACTCCATTTTGAGCAACTGGCTATCCGAGCATATACTAGGGTCTCAGATGTTTCGAATCTAGAACGGTCAGCTCCTGGACCAGAGGCAAACGAGCTTTTACCCATATCAAGGATACAATTGGTCTTGTTCTCTCACTCTGGCTGGAGGGAGACAGGGTATGTTGCGAATTGGACTTTTTTGGGCGGTTGTAATCTTTGCATTTGACTAATCTCACTCACTATCATTTTGCCATCGCATGTTTCCCCTGTAACCCCCTCTTAATCCGAAGCCATGACGTGTAGCCGTTCCAGAATGAAAAGTGCGGGGCATATTTTATATATTGATGCATACGACTCGTTTACTGGTAATATCGTTGATTTGATCGAATGCACGTTAGATGTTGTGGTTACGATTGTGAAGATCGATAGCAGCTGGCCAGTGGACAAGGAAGCCTTTCTTAGCGGATTCGATGCGATTGTCGCTAGCCCCGGGCCGGGAACTGCAACAAATCCGAAGGATGTGGGCATTATGAGTGACATATGGGAGCTGGATAATATTCCTGTTTTCGGTGTCTGTCTTGGATTTCAAAGTCTCTGCGTGAAATTTGGTGCATCCATCCGCAAGCTCCCCGAACCCCGTCATGGTAAAGTGGTTTCGTTTACGCATTCCGGAACGGATATCTTTGATAGCTTGCCGGCGAGTTTTGAGGTTACACTATATCACTCATTGCAAGTGGATTTGGGGCATGAGGTGGAAGCGTCCGGGGATGTCGCTGACAGTGAGCTATGTTGGGTTGCAAGTACAAAATGTCCAGATCTGATACCTCTCGCGTGGTTCCGTGATAGTGCGACGCCTGGTGAAGCCAACGCGATGGCTGTGCGCCATCGCAACAAGCCTTTCTGGGGTGTTCAGTTCCACCCTGAATCGTGCAAGTCTGATCCAGCCTCTCGTAAGATGATCAAGAACTGGTGGACGTTTGTGCTTGAGCATAACCGCCAGTTTCGCAGGATCAACAGGGGGTTGGTGGAAATTCATGACCCTCTAGCTGTAAGCGATGTACTTCTCGAGACCGGTGATGAGATCCTCGAGTGGTGCAGTTCGTCGATAAGCACGTCATCATATCGAACTCTCGACCGTGGCTCCCTGACAATAGAGGAAATATGCGAAGTTGTCGATATCCCAAAATCACCATGTGTCGTTCTAGATTCAAACGCGAGATACAACATTATTTCCGTTCTCGGCCCTGGCTCATGGACACTCGAGTACTCGCTTTCCACACGGAAAAGCACTATCTCTCGCCTATGCGGTTCAATGTCAAGCAAGGAATACTGCCATGAACATTCCCATGTTTGGGAACTTTTGACTCGCATCCTCTCTAAAAAGAAAGTTCTGACAGGATGCAGTTCTCTACCTTTCTGGGGCGGTTTTATGGGCTATCTCTCTTACGAAATGGGCCTTGCGGACCTGGATAAAGAGGCTACTCCGATAACTACGGTCAACGACGGCACCAGGGACGTAGGTCTCCTATGGGTTGAACGAAGCATTGTGGTCGACCAGGAAACACAGAAAATTTACGTTCAGTCAATACGAGAGTTTGATGAGCGGCCGGGTGAATGGATTGATATTACCGTGAATCGGCTTATTGGACTCACGGATAAAAAATCAGGGGACGATATCGCCTTTAATCTCACAGCTGCTTCCAATCATATTGCGGGAGATAGCAACAACGTCCCACGAATGAAGTATTCCGATGAGCAACTGGGCGAAATAATGGTCAGAGGATCTAAAATCATCAAGCCTAACGAACAGGTCTACAAGGAGAAAATCGCAAAATGCCAGGAATATATTCGTGACGGCGAGTCGTACGAACTTTGCCTGACGGATCAAACGAGTGTGGTTCTTCGCCCGTGCCAATCCCTTCTGGAGGAAAACATCCGCCCCTGGATTTTGTACAAGCGACTCCGGAAATATACGCCGGCAGCTTATGGGGCGTTCGTGAGAATCGGGAATGCCGCAATAATAAGCAGGAGCCCTGAATGCTTTCTTGAATATGACAGGAATTGCCAAATCGACATGAAGCCGATGAAGGGTACAGTCAAGAAAAGCGAAGACATGACGTTGGAAAAGGCCAGGGAAATTTTAAACACGCCGAAAGAGATGGGTGAGAACTTGATGATTGCAGACCTGGTGCGACATGACTTGTTCAATGTGTGCAACTCTGGTGGCGTCACTGTTCATAAATTGCTTGAAGTGGAAGATCATCCTCGGGTCTACCAGCTGGTCACCCATGTTAAAGGTATTCCGCAGTCTGTTCCGCTAGCTGGGAAGACGCGGGACTCTATTCAGTTAAAAGAAAAGGTCAACCCGCATGATTACTGCGCTCTTCGGCAATGTCTACCCCCCGGGTCCATGACCGGTGCGCCGAAGAAACGGTCGTGTGAACTGTTACGGAAGATTGAAGGGGAGAAACGAGGCATCTACTCGGGAGTCATGGGCTACTTTGACGCTGGGGGTCGGTCATGTTTCTCTGTCATCATCCGCACGGCTTATTGCTGGATTAACCCGGCGACTAAGGAAGAGGTGTGGCGCATTGGAGCCGGGGGAGCAGTCACAGCACTCAGTACACCAGAGGGGGAATGGGATGAAATGATCACAAAGCTGGATACGGTACTGGGAATATTCCACGGTTCAGCAGAGGCCGATGAAAATGCGGATGGCGGTGGGGGTATGAATGGAAATGCTGCTGAGAATTGCCAGTGACGCAGGATAAACTCACCGATTGTCCCGCTAGCGCTGCTGGAGTTGAACGCCATAACAACGATTCAGGGCGAGGACGATGATTCTTTGGCGCTTGCCAACCAGAGTAGCCCCACGACGCTTGTCAGTAGAGTTCAGTGACACAACTGGTTAAGCAAGATGGATGGCTTTGGAAATTACCCACTGTACAACATTTCAAAAAACTGTTGTTCTTCTCGATTATATGGTTGATCAACCGACTGATATTCCTCCTACCTCTTCATCATTAGGCAAACCATATGACATCGCATGAATGAACGAATTATGCATGTTTCTTTTTCTTTTCTTTCCTTTTTTTCTTCTTTGGATTGGGTGTTATCTAGTTTTCTAAAGAAATTCTACAATCGAAGCGTTTCAACACGTTGGGGTTTTACATTCCTTGCACTTATCACTACTATCACAACCCCCATTGGAATACTATAGAAGAGATGGATTCCCATTTTGCTGGTCCTCAAGCTGCTATTGTGATTCGAGTTGGTCAATTTAGCCGTGGGTTAGATACGTTCATGGACATATACTTATATACAGAGCACTTCATCCGTATTCACCATCACCATAATCGAAATACGTTCAAGTTTCCATTGAACTGCTTATGCGTGCAATCATTCCCCGCCGTTTGTACTGTGCCTTTGCATAGACTACCAATCTCCGTAGGCCGCATGGGCACGATATGCGCTACAAATGAGCCTGTGACCTGTCGGTTTTTAAAAACGACTTCATTGAAGACAGCGTATTAGTAATAGGGGTGTGAGTGCAAATGTGGGTGCATTTTAGAGCCGGCACCTCAACGTTGGCCCGCATCACGATCGACGGTGTTCGTTTCTGCTCTCGAGGACCCTTTCTATACAACTTTCTGGCCGCCCATTCTGTTTTATTCTTTATTATTCCAATCTTTTTTCGTTGCACGCTCTCTCAATCATCAACCCACAGTATCCTTGACGCTCCGTTTGGTCCAAGCATGCAGCCTGACGGTAGCTGCAGACTTGGGTAGTTTTTCAGAGGAAATCCCAGCACGGGTTGGGCATCTTAGGTTCTTGTTGGAGGCCTCAAGGCTCCAGGTGTTGTTGTCTATTTCTCTTGCATTTACTATATTGGTATTGACGCTGCTCTTTTCTTTGTTGTTGGGATTCTCTCTTGCCTACTTTCCCTCCATTCTCATGTGTTTCTACTCGACCTCCTCTAGTCACTCTCTACAGTACCATGTGTCCCTTGTTCCCCAATTAAAGGGGCTTTTGTCTCTCTCTCTCTGAGGACATATCGCAAATAGGCTAGAGGTTCCCTTGGTCCTAATACTTCAACTTCTACCTGTTCCTGCGCGATGGAGATCTTCTGTCGAAATGTCCCAGATCAGGTGCAGAACAACCACTTGACGCGACAATTCAGACCTGTACTTGCACCCTTTGGCATCCACTGTTTCCACTGCCGCAAGCTCCCCAACCGCAATGCCATTTTGACTATTGGCGATCTTAGTAAGGCCTTGAAGCTGCTTGCTACATACGGTCGGAGCAGTGGCCCGGGGAGGGTGCGAAGACCTCCCAGACAACAACTGAGGATGTTTGGGCAGGTCATCGTCATAGAACAGGGCCGCAATACTCCAGACGAGTTTCTACTTCGCTCATTAAAGAATGAGGAAGAAACTAGGCTTGCGCGTGGAGCAATATCCAACAACGTACAGAACCATCACCAAGCGCCGCCAGTTAAGCGAATCAAGAGTTTTTCCATCACCGCCATGTCCTGTGGTATGTGGGACTATCACCAAGGCAATCCAGTGTTTATTGAGTGTTATCGCTGTGGGAAGAATGGCAAGATCGCGTTTGGTAAAACCGCTGTTCGGGTTGCACTAGAAACGATGCAAGATGTGATCTATCACTTAGAGTTCACCTACTCTAATATCCTCGGATCGATCTACACGGGCACGATCAACGCTCCCTCTATTACTATCACCGCTGATACTGCTCCAAGATTATACAAGACTGATCCAACAGATGTGTTGGCGGCTGGACTTCATGATATGCTTCAAATCCAGCAAAAGTGGATGCGAAAGCGTCCCCTAAAAACTAGGGTTGGCCATTTCGGTGATGAACACGAGGCTCTCGCCGGTACTTGCTTTGTCTACAGGTTTCTCCTGAAAAGTTCGGATGATCTAGTTGTCGTTCGAGATCTTGCCAACGAGCGCCATATCCCTGACATTGCCAGATGGGTCGACCATCGAGCAAAGTACGATGTGCCTTACTCCACCTTAATGCAGAGGTTCATGGCTTTCTTATCTCAGGAAAATATGCCATATCGCGTCAGGTTCCAATTACAAAAGCTGGTGTGGAACGGTGACATATCTCCCGCCAAAGCGATCTCATTTGCATCCCGTGTCCGAGCCACACTAGTCATTGAAGATCTGGATATTGTCGTTCGAGCGTTGATGAGACTCTCGTCCGACGTGAAATGGCCATCCCCAGACGTGGAAGCCTCAGAGGTTGACGTACCCGCGCTGGTGGAGGTGTTCAAAAATGCCCTTGAGAGCACCGCCCGCGAGCGCGAGATGACCCGCTCCAACCGCCCCATGAACCCCAATCACATCTCGATCCACCGTGCTCAGATTACTCCTTGCGGTACCTACCTTGATGGGCCTCACGCGGAAACAAAGAATCGAGTTTTGCGCCACTATTCTAGCCACGTTGACCATTTCCTCCGGGTTGAATTTGTGGACGAAACCGGTGACCCTGTCCGATATGACCCTCGTGCATCTATCGATATGATTTTTGAATCTCGTTTCAAAACGGTCTTGAAATCAGGAATCAACATAGCCGGTCGTAAATTTGAGTTTCTTGGCTTTTCTCATTCGTCACTGCGCTCTCAAACGTGCTGGTTCGTCGCCCCGTTTTATAAGGACAGAATTCTATACAATGCCTCGACTATCATTCAGAACCTGGGGAGGTTTGATCATATACAATCTCCAGCAAAGCAGGCTGCGAGAATTGGACAGACATTCTCTGATACCCTGACTTCCATCCCGATATCCGACAAGTATATTTCAATAGGAAAAGATGTGGAACGGAACGGACGGGTCTTTAGTGATGGCGTCGGTACGATATCACCTTCTGTGATGTATATGATCTGGAAGGACCATTCGCTACGGTCCGTGGTGAAACCTACTGTCTTTCAAATTAGGCTTGCGGGTATTCATTTCCCTTTCCATGTCACATCGAACCTTTGAAATTTGTTTATAGTGTATATTCCTCTTTTGTTCCTCTTCTAACTGGCTCTTTTAAATGCAGGTGCTAAAGGAATGATATCTCTTGATAGCAGAAAAAAGGGTAAATCGCTGGTTCTGAGACCATCCATGATCAAATTCCATCTGCCAAATTCGTATAATGCTTTCAATATCGAAATATGTGGATCAGGACTAAAGCCGCTACCTTTCTTCCTCAATGCCCAGATGATCAAGATTCTCGAGGATCTTGGCGTTGACGAAAGTGTGTTTTTGAGGTTGCAGGCAGATGAAATTTCACGACTCCGTGCTACGGCGACCTCGACGGCAAAGGCTGCTAGGTTTTTAGAAGACACAAATATAGCAAAGTCTGTAGGGCTACCGTGGCTTATTAATGTCCTGGAAGGCTTTGGGCTCCGTCACTCAAACGACGAATTCCTACGTCGAGTGATGGAGCTTTCTGTTCTGATCAAGCTGCGAGATCTAAAATATCGTGCTCGAATCCGAGTGCCCAATGCTGTGACACTCTTCGGTATCATGGATGAGACTGGGATCCTCAAGGAAGGGGAGGTATTCTGCACAAGTTTGTCCGATAAAGGAGTCAGGGAGGTGCTTGTGAATCCTAGGGTCGTTGTGACTCGCTCGCCGGCCATGCATCCCGGGGACGTCCAAATCGCAAGGGCTGTCGATGTCCCCGCCGATTCTCCTCTACGCCAACTCCACAACTGTATCGCTTTCAGCCAGCACGGCCATCGCGATCTCCCCAGCATGCTGAGTGGTGGTGATCTAGACGGTGATCTGTATAACGTCATATTCGATAATACATTACTTCCGAAGCGAATCGCTCGACCGGCAGAGTATCCTCGTGTCCAGGAAAAAGTTCTTGGTCGCACAGTCGTTAGAGAGGATATTATAGATTTTTTCGTGACGTTCATGCAACAAGATCAGCTGGGGAGAATTGCTACAATTCATCAGGCGCTTGCCGATCAACGGCCTCTTGGGACCTTTGATCCGGAATGCTTATTGCTTGCGGAGCTACATTCTACCGCCGTGGATTTCTCAAAGACTGGGGTTCCAGTACGTTCAATATCAGCATTCCCTTCAATGCATATTGGAGAGGCTTTACGACATATGTCTAGGTTATATACTGACCCCATATTTCATACGAAATAATAGGTTGATCTAGCACGTATCCCCAAATTCCCTAGCTGCCGTCCAGATTTCCAGGCTCCCAGTCCCCGCATCCGCATTGCAGAAAATCTATCTCTACTGGAAGGAGATATGGATGCAGTGCAAGATGGTGGCGATGAAGATGACGACGAACGCCCGGCTGTAAGATTCTACAAAAGTGAAAATATTCTGGGCAAACTATACCGGTCCATTGATGAGGTGAAGTTCCTTCAACATCGGCAAAGTGTCATGGAGTTGCCGTCGGCGATGTGTGCTCCTAGTGTACTCCGAGGCGTCTGGGAGTTTGTGCAAAGGGAAGCAGAGGGGTTTTTATGGGATCACCATATTGAGCATGCGCTGGATATTCGGCAAATGTAGGTGATTTGGGATCGCTGTTCCCTTTCTTCTCATTTTCTCTCCTTTTCTCTCCTTTTCTCTCCTTTTCTCCCTTTTCGCTGACAGCTTTATTTGCTCTGCCTGTTTTAGTTACGAAGATAACCTCTTGGAAATCATGGCTCGGTTCTCCTCCACTCCGTGGAAGAGCTCCATCACCGAATACGAAGTGTTCGTTGGCACTATCCTGGGCCATGGACAAAAACTCTCCCAGCGGCAGAAGGACTCGTCGAAGCAGATGAGGGAGGGTAAGTTCATTTCCATGCATACCCTGCACGTTTCCATGCTTAATTAAAATAATACACATCTTGGCTTCTTATATTGCATACACTGCCATCCCTTATAAGATTCCTTAACTAACCGGCACGTTAAAATTAGAATATGAGGACCTCGTCCAATTCGTCACCGCCCTGATCCAAGACCGTGAGGCCGGTGGTGTGGAATCACTCGAGCGTTCCATAGCCTGCCTTTACATCGCTGTCGAAGAAGAGAAGAAGGATAACCACTCGTCACGGACTGCCTTCGGACCTAAACATGATTCGTCTGTTGCTCGTCACTATCATAAGTTGAAACAGCAACACCAGGATCAATTGGGACATGGCTACGGGGCGGATAAACAAGGTAGAAAGCACAGGCTACTCAGCTTCCCGTGGATTGCGGCTATTGTGTGTCTTAAAGAGGTCGATAAGTTGCAGCGGACTATGCCGTTCTAGTAAAGCCGGGGGTGGGGGTGGATCTGCCGGGGCTGACTTGATCACAGTTTTGAAGGGGTCAACGATATAATTTTCTCTCTTGATTTTGTTATTCTCTTTCCTTCACTTCTTTTTTATTTGATGGATTTCTGAAATTTCGAAACGGAATGGATACTCGCACAAATCGTGATTCTCGCCAGGTCGAATATCACTTCGATACGGTGTTGGCGGAGGCAGTTTAAGACATGCCGTGCACTTAGAGCAGGCGTGGGCCGATTTATTGATTTTGTTCTTTTCTGTTTACATTTGTGCTGGCGATGGTTGGGTGGGCGGCTTAACTGCTTTATCTTAGCTATTTCAACCAACCTCTTCATCTTCTCTTCCTTCTAAGCTGCTTCAGTGATTACTTCTTTACAATTGACGCATAATTAATATCCCTTGCCCCAACGTCTGGCCTTATCATCAAAGAGCTCCTGATATGACTCTTCACTCTATGGATAGCGTTCTATTTTTTACTTTTAGTTATTCCACTTTGGGCTGAAGAAATAGCATGTGGATCATGTAGATCTGGATGTAATTTTCCTGAACACGGAGATGACGAAATTTGATACACTAGTCACTAAGTTAACCGGAACGAACTCATCTTCCTAACTGTCATGCATGGATTTTGGATTCGATGAGCGAGAAACAATTGTCAGCCCTTTCCATGGCACTACTCAATATATTCTAGTTTTCCAGCTCTCCCCTCACTTTTCCTCTTTAAAATCCCCATGCCAACCTCACCATGGCCGCGCAGCCTGAAGTCCCACTGGAGGAAATCACCTGGCGATCTCCGCAACACGTACAGATGATGGGCGGCTACCTCCATTCAAACAACAGTGGGTATATACATATCCAGGTCGCTGTATCTCTAAAAAACTGGCGCGCTGAAGACTAATATATCAAACAGTCCTCTTCTACTTCGCTGAATCGCCCTTCTTCGACAAAACTTCAAACAATGCTTCCCTCGCCGTCCAAGCCTCCTATAATGAGAATTTCCGCCACTTCCTCGAGACGCGCGAGGCCTTTGAGGGCCGACTGAAGGGCATGCAAGGGTTGGAGTTCATGGTCGTGCATGATCCGTTGCAGGAGGCTGCGGCGGCGGGCGGGATTCAACAACAACGGGTGCAGCAGGAGCCTTCGAATGTGTGGGTGATCCGGAAACAAATGCGAAAGAAGCGGGCGGGGCTGGGATCAGGGCCTGCTGGTGGTGATGATGAGATTCAGGTTCTCGCAACGTATTTTGTCGTGGGGGATTCGGTGTATATGGCACCGTCGGTGTTGAAGATTGTGGGAAGTCGGATAGTATGCATTCAACTCCGGAAAACCTATCGCATCTTGTCTTCTCCTTATAAGCGATAGTACTAACAACACGTAACTCCGCAGCTGTCAACAGTCACATCCCTGACAAAAGCCCTCTCTGCCGCGTCCCCGTTACCCATCTTCTCCCCTTCATACGGCCACACGTACATGCCACCTGTTCCTAAAGCCCTCGAATCATCGCGCCCAGGTGTGCAACAATCCGACCAGCAGAGCGTCACCGACACTCCCATGCCCGACGCCCTCTTACAATCCAAGGACGCAAGCGCCCTATCATCAACAGCAGAGCAGCCATCCGCCTCTACGTCCGTATCTCCCCTAACCTCATCATCTACTACAATGCAAGATTCCCGCAGCCTTATCGAAGCCTTCAACCTCCTCTCCCGCTACGGCGATGAATACATGGACGACGCGCCTTTACTGGGCGAGCCAGGGTCTTTCATCATCGGGAAAACATCCACGGAGCCGCTGGTTGTAGGAATGCGCCAGCCTGTGAATAGCAAGGCATCCAAAGCTCCCACTCCTGCTCCATCTACTGGTGTAGGAGGCAGTATGAGCAAACCAGGCACACCAGCGGCAACCGGAACAACAACAGCAATATCAGCTATTAAGACAGATCCGGCTACGATTGGGGTAGGGAAGGCGGGGAAAGGAGGGGAGAAGAGTCCTACTACGCCGGGTGGGATGAAGGAGAGGACTAAGAGGAGGAAGAGTAAGATATTATCGACTGCGGTGGTTTCTTCGGCCACGGGGCCTGGTGCTGGTGTTTCATGAGTACTATGGATTGGATATTTAAACTTGACGATTGGCTGTTCTAATTTTATTTTTCAATACACTCATTTTGTGGGGTACTTTGGGGAATCAAGGAGTTAAATAGCAACTTATGGCGCATACGGAGGGGCACGCCAATATTGCCAATTTGTAAAGTACATTAGCATTTACTGCAATGTCCGTTTCAGGAGAATAATTTTAGCTATCCGCCGCGGCGCACGAACTTCCGTGTTCCCGCTTGAAACCGGTTGGGAATTTGCCCCTCTATACTTACTTCTCCCTACACTCACCATCGGCACCCTTTACTTAACCCAGGTGCTCGAAGTTCATAGATATCGGGTTTTGAGTTTTGAGAAGGACTATTCGCATATCCATCCCCTCGCGACGCGTAAAGGCACAAGCTCTTATCGACATCGAGAATTGCTAAATATATCTCGCCCAACATGGCTACAACTGCGGCCACCACTACACGGCCCAATGCAGATAAACCCACTGTAATCTGCGTCTTGTAAGTATATACCTTATCGTCATCTATCTCCCTCTTCATCTCCCCAAAATCCTCTCTGTATATGACACAACTAACCGTCCATCCTTCAGCTGCGGCGCATACAGCGGCAACTCCCCGGCCCACCTCGCCGCCGCCCGCGCCCTTGCCCACATCTTCCACAAAGAAAACATCACTCTCGTCTACGGCGGCGGCACGGGCGGCATCATGGGTGAGCTCGCACGTACCCTTGTCTCTCTGTCGGGTCCCAAGGCTGTCCACGGCGTGATTCCCACCGCCCTCGTCAAGATCGAGAATGGCTATCGGACATCGCTTACGGCTAGAGATGGGGGAAAGGCACCGGAGCGGGTTATTATTATGACCGATCACAATGCAGAGGGCGGGGCGGAGGCGGGGTCGTCGATGGGGGAGTCGGAATATGGACTCACGACGCTGGTGCCGGATATGCATACGCGTAAGCGAACGATGGCGCAAAAGGTGATGGATGGGGGTCCGGGGAGCGGCTTTGTTGTTCTTGCGGGCGGATTTGGGACACTGGAGGAGGCGATGGAGATGGTTACGTGGAATCAGCTTGGGATTCACAATTGTGGGATTGTGCTGCTGAATATTGATGGGTATTGGGATGGGTTGTTGCAGTGGGTGGAGAAGAGTGTGGAGTCTGGGTTTGTGAGCCATGCGAACAAGGGGATTCTGGTTGAGTGTCGCAGCGTAGAGGAGGTTCTGGGGGCGTTGAGAGGGTATAGGCTTAGCGGGGAGAGGTATTCGCTGAATTGGACGTCCAATTAAGGGATAGCTGGAGCATGAGGGAAGGGAAGATGGGATGGGGACACCTTGCGTTCCCCCTGTTTGCGCTCTTTTATTATTATTAGATTAGAATGTTGAAATTTTATGGCGTTTTTTCGGGGTAGAGTGGGTAAGTGATAGAAAACGTAATCTATTCCGATAAACAGAGCATGACTGGAAAACATGGAGTATCAAAAATAGACATCGCATTCAAGTAAAAGAAATCAAGAACCAGTCTCATCCATCATCATCACATCATCATGAATCAACCTCCATCGACTGCCCCTCTGCTCCCTCCGCCTCCGCCTGTTGCCCGTCAGTATTCGCACTCTCTAGAAACCCAGAAACCTCCAAACCCTCATATAACCTAAATGCCTCAACCTTCCCCTTTCCCACACCAGTCCCAGTCCCGACAATCCCGACCGTCGTATTATCAACCGTCAGCTCCTTATCTTGAGACAAGCTCTCCTTCAACGCCCTCAGCCCATGCTGAATCAACTCCTCCCGCCCACAATCATTGAATTTTTCCAAGTGGCGCTCTAAGTACGTCCGCGCCATCTGACTTCGTGCCCCAATGGCACAAGCAACCATCTCCTGCGTCATCCCGGACGGTTGGAATTCGTATAAATGGGGCCCCGCGTCATCGATGCCGGCCACCAGAAGGCCGACGCCGTAGGGCCGTTTGCCGTAGAGTTGGGTGTTTGTCTGGGCACGCTCGCCGACTTGGCTGACGATGCGTTCGAGCGGGATAGGTCTGCCGTAGGTCATTTTTGAGGCGAGGGATTGCTGTTTCATGTAGTTTGAGAGGACGCGGGCGTCAGAGGCCAGGCCGGCGATGGCAATGCCTAGGTGCTGGTCTATGGGGATTATCTTCTTTTGGTAGGAGGAGAGTTCTTCGGCGTTGCGCTATGTAGATACAAACATGTATAGGTTAGTGCTGGGTGTCCAGGGTGATTTGTTGATTGGAGTACTCTTCCTACCTTCAGAGCCACTAGGACGGCATGTGTTTTGCTGACGATTCCGACGACTACTGAGCCCTGCTTTACGGCTTCTTGAGCATATTCAACTTGGAAGATTCGGCCCTGCGGTGAGCTGTAGTATCCATTGTCTGGTTAGTGGAATTGGGTCTATCGAATGGTGATAAATAGCAGTTGGGTGTCTGGCGACGTACAAGGTCACCGAGTCGTTATCGTAGTTATTTCTAAACATTGCGAATAGATACTGACAGCTGATGGATTGGTATCAGAGGAGTAAAACAGCTATACCAGGTATATCCTCTTGTAATTAGATATTGCTGCGTAGCGGAGGGAGTAAATCATGTCTCCAGGCTGAGCCAAAGGTGACGCGGGACTTGGAGAGCTTCAGTCCAGATCGGGTTAGGCCGATAGTAACTGGCTTATGTAATTGATGACTGTTTCTCAACTCGGTGGTTGTAAGTATTGACAAACTGCGGAAGTATCCAACAGCAGTATACCCTCTGGAGCGAATCAAGTAATTTACAGAGCCATTCCTCCTTGGCCTCAAAATTCCGAGAAGATGCCTTCTCCGTGCAGGACGATTACGATCTCGAATAGCAGTCTTACTTCCAAGCAACCAAAATCGCACAGACAAAAATCGCCCGTGCCATACGCGCGACCACAACTTGAAATTGGTAGGCGTGTAACAAACCAAGTCTAACCCCGTTCAACTCTATGTAGGTATGATATGTAGTCTTAAGAAATAGATACATATTTTGAGGTATCTTCCTCTACGGAGTACTGGCTGGAGAAACCAGGAATCTATACCAAATACCTTTCTGTGGTGTTTTTGTAAAACATCATTTTAAAGCTACGGGAATTTTCGTCAATAATATATATTGGCTATTCTACCCCTATCAGGGCTCTGGATTTCATCTTGCTCAGGACCCTTAACCTTAACTAGTCGTCATTCCATCCTATTATAGTATTGGAAGTGGGAGTACTCCGTATGGAAAACTAAGATGTAAATATTTATGTTACTGTATAAATGTTACAATACAGCAGCAGTGCCACTGCAGCCTGTTATGTTTCGTACGTACCAAACCGCCAGCGCTTAGTTGCCCGCCCCAAGTATTCAACAACCGCACTTGACCTTCTCTGCCGCAACCGAGATATTGCTCCAGAAGCTCGCTATTTACTTCTAACGATACTCCCCTTGCTGTGGGATGCTCCATTAATGCTTTTATTGAAGCTGGATCGGGTTTGACATCATCCACCACTTCCACCTCCCGCATCCCCCTCCCACCCTCATCCGCGCAGACATCATGACGGCAGGGCTAAAAACCATCATATCCCTCTCTTTCGTACGACACCCTCTTCTCCTCGCTTCCATTTGATATGCTCCAGATCTCTAACCGCTCCTCCCCTTCCGAATCACAAACAGATCCTCGCAATCGGCTTCCTCCTCGTCATCCTATCCGCCGCTCTGTGGCATAACTTCCTCCCCCTCCTCGTCGTTGCCACATATGTGATAGCCCCGCTACCGAACTGGATATGCGGCCGCTGTGCCAACCCGGATGATTTCATGGAGAGCGCGGGGAGCGCTGTGGTTGACTTTGGGAGGTGGTGTACTGGATTCCTTGTTGTGATGGGTGTTGGTGGGTCGATTTCTTCCTTCCCTTCATAGAGTGCTTCCAGCGGCAGACATTCTCAACCACCCTCCGCTTTGACCCCTATAACAACTTGACTGTATGCAAAACACCTGCTTACTGAAAATGTATTTGTTTCAATACAAATAATAGCTCTCCCGGCTCTCCTGGCACATAGCGGCGCCATCCAGATGTCCGCGATGGTGATGTCGATCCTAGGCGGTCTGTTGATATACGGCACCATCATCAGTTTCTCGATGTTTTTCCAAGAGCAGGAGGAATTCTAAGAAATAATTAGAATCATAACTCTAACTTTTTGTTGTATCCCCTCGTTGCCGCCGCCTGTTTTACCGCTATTGTCTCGGTATTCTTAGCTTCCTCCATATTGACCTTTTCACGTCCTATCTGCGCTACGTGTCCAGGAGCCAGTGATTTGGCTATTTTAATTTTTGCGCTTTTCTTCTGTCTCCTGCGTCTCATGATATTGTTCTGACTGAGGGTCTTGGTTATTGCTGGTTCTCTTTGTTATTATCGTTTTCTTCGAGCATGTGTGCACGCGATGCTTTTCCTCCTGGTGTTAAGATTATATTGCAAGGCTGGCAGATCATATTCGAGCTGTTTTATGGATGCTAATACCAACTTGAATATACTTGTCTCGGGGCTGCGCCCAGATGTGCCTCAGCAGAATGACCCTTACCCTGGATTCACATGAAACATCCATAGCAGCCTTATTATGTACTGTACAATTGTCTAATTACTCGATCATTTGTCCGTTTGCCTTTTAACTTTATATATGTCCAATATCAATACCTCTCGTCAACATCTGTCTTGCGCTGGGTGAGTTTTCCGTAAGCACGTGATATCGCGTCTACATCAGTCAACGTCATTCCATCTCGTCGCAGTCGAATGTCGCAAAGTTATTAAGGTCAACTTCAACAAATTTTCAAAATCCACAAGCTGTGTGACTTTGGGTCATCCCGATATATGGTAGATATGGAATAAACTGATATAACTATCCATAGGAATTATGTTTCATATCAAATCAACTCCACCCAATTTCCTTCGTATGCAGTGAGACACGCGATAAGATACTATAGTTGCCCGCAAATGGAGGTCTGGTCAGGTCCAATCACTGGCGTTGGGGACATATCCCAAGGGAAAGGTATGTGTGATGTTCAAAGTCAAGTTTCATTTTCTACCTACAGAATTGATAAATTAACCACGCTTATCTGCCAGGCATCTCACTCCTGGTCGAACCACGTTTGACGGGTCAATGCCCACTGCGCAAGGATGCCCAGCTCTCCCTTCGCGCCTTTGTGAACCCCTCCCTTATTCCTTATTACGCTCGATTAGGCCCCGCTCTCAAGGTTTACGTCAAAGACTTCGAAATGATAGAATGGTGGAAATGCAGACTGTTAAAGGGTGTCTATGATGAGCACGAGGAGAAGGACGGTCTCCTGGATGGCTCGCTGCCTATACAATGCCCAACAGGGATGCTTTTGGCAGTTGAAGAACCGCAACGATGCCCCAGCGCTGCCAGTGGCTCTGACAATGATGTGACGGATATCCTTGTTTATGGGGAGCTTTGTTTTCCTTCCCTGCATTCAAAGCGGTCACCATCTCCTCCATTGCCATCCCCTGCTTTCCCCAACGACAACTTGGGAGCCTCAAATGACAATAAAGCCAGCACTCCGGAAAGGGAATTACGTATTTACGCTGTCATGCTTTGTTCGGGACTCATTACGAAGGCTGAAGCTTTAATATCTCCCCCACTTACCCCGAAGCCAGGTCCTTTCGCATATAATGACGACGGTAATGGTAATGACGATAATAACGATCACGGTAACGAAAAATTTGCTGAATTCTTCCCCGAACATCGATCTCCATGTCCCAAACGGAAGCGGATGGCCAGCATTTTCGACGCGGCGACTGAATACCATAAAAAGGTTCGACGGAAAGGCGGCGAGGCGGTTGCGCAGCTCATGTCACGCAGGTTGTCGTCAGTGGCGGCGGCAGCAGCCCGTCAACTGCCGAATTCTGCAAATATGAAGATTAAGAAGGAGTCTTCGAATATATCTGCTTTTAATGATAATAACATATCTAGCAAGGTCATAGCACATAAACCTCGAACGCTGTCGATCAGCAGGATTATGAAGGTACCCAAGCAACCTTCACCTGCTACACCACGCAATCCCACTTCGAACATCGGTGCACGACCACGAACGGCGAATGTCTCGAGTCGAACAAGCACGCCTGCGACTCTTCCACCACAGCAACAGCAACAGCAGGATACGCAGAAATCCCAACCACAGCTAACCTCAGCGTCGCCCACGGAAATCATCGCCACAAACAAGGCACTATTAACACGAACTATTCTAACATGCATGCGTTTATATGGGTTCCATAGAAATTCGCGGACGAGCAATCCAGTTCCCGCCACTGGTCAATCGAAACGATCCTCGCAAGCAGAGACGGCGGATGCTGATTCCCTAGTTGTTCCCCCGACGAAGACGGCAATGATTCTGAAGGAATCTCAGTCGCACTCAAGACCATCAACAGCTATCTTTATACCTGCCGCTGCTTCCCCCGAAATAGATGATGACGATGATTTCAAGGCTATGTATCAGGCTACATATCGCGCGGCGTCGTTCGCCCTAAGGCGGTATTTGAAGGACGTTCTCAATGGGTCAGCTGCTACTGGGAGTTCAGTGGTTGCGGGAGAAGATGGACTAATCAAGGCGTCTCATGAAGTGACGGCAGCGAGTGTGCCGATCTTAGAGAGGGAGAAAGCTACGGATCTTGTGGATGGGTTGCTGAGGTTGTTTTGTGAGACATAGTATATATGGCGGCAAGAGACACCGCGTTTTGAAGAGCCATGTCTTCTTGTCAATGACTAGAATACGAAGAGGTGTGGCACGCTGCTTGTTCACTCTTCGCAATATATGAGATTGTGAAATAGGATCCCCTGTGGGTGATTTGGAGCGTATTTATGGGCTTGATGCTCGAAACTTGGAAAACCATTTAAGAGTCCCATCCTCTGTAACTTCTAACCTAGGGATCGATGTGAGATTTCATTTTAGATTTATTACGTACGAAATTGTGCATATCTTCATGCCGCTCTCTGGGCAATATTTAGTTAAATATAGAATCAGATCTTGGCGCTGTAAACGCCAAATCACATGACTAAAGCTCCTTCTGACGTCGCTGTTCGGCGGTTGGGGACAAAGTGGAGGAGATATCCAACACAAAACATCCACAGACTACAGTGTTGTAACAGCGGCTTCCTGCTTGAACCAAATTCCAAATTAGATACCAGGGCGGAACTATATTCGGTGGCCAATCTTTCCCTTTACACTCTTTAACGAACGGAAGAAAATATTGACCTACCGATCGCTGTATCTTGACTACATCAACTATCAGAAATCCCGTAATATTTTCCCTTCCGCAATGGACGACTCGGATAACCGCCTTTTCCGCTTTACCAAACCGCGATGGCTAAGTAGTTCCAACGCGCGCACGGCTGGAATCTACGCTTCCGGCTCTCTGGTACGTATCTTTCCTCAGCCAGCCCTCAGACCCCTCTTATACCTCTCATCTTTACTGTTTCGTCCGCCAGCTAACGAAGGGACTCGTCTCTTGCCCGTCCAAACCAGTTCTCTATCGGCTTCTTCTTCCTCATCGATGCCGCCGCCTTCTCCCGCAGCTCCAGAAACGGCGGCTTCGTCCACGTAAAGTTCGTCGACTGGATCCCAGGCATCTGCTCCGCGCTGGGGATGCTGGTGATCAACTCCATTGAGAAGTCGCGGCTGAGCGCAGATACGTACAGTTATTCCGGGAGCGGAGTAGCCTGGAAAGCGCGCTTTGTGTTATTCTTAGGCTTTGCGTTGTTGGCGGGGGGGTTGGCGGGAAGTGTAGTATGTTCTATTTTTTTTATTTATTTATTTCCCCTTTGCAAATTGACAAATATAGAGATATTGAGTTGATTGGGGCCTGGATGGAGAATTTGAGAGATATGGCTAACATGTGCTATTTTGCTAGACTGTCCTGGTTCTTAAATACGTTCTGAAGGACTATCCGCTGCAAACGGTATATTTTGGGATTGCTAATGTGCTTTGCAATGCCATGATCATGACGAGGTGGGCTGGCCCCTTTCCCTACTAGAACATGGGTATATGCTGATGCGTGGTATTAATCCCGGCTTTAGCTCTGCTGTTCTATGGGTATCACAGAACATGGAAGAAGATTATACGTACAGCCTGACGTTGTAGGCGGATTTCCATGGTCATCAAAAGGCTACCGCTCCGATTTAGATGGCACAAAAATGTATTGATCGCGATTATATTCTTTCGCGTAATCCAGCTACCCTTTCTTTTTTATTTCTGCTGCCCGTTCTATCTAATTGTCGTTATTTTGGAACCGATTGAATTGGCGCCCCCCTTCTTATACTTTTGCAAGTTTGGCTTGTTCTCGGCGTCTACGATTCATTATTGTCTTTTTCACCCTTCTTTTCCTTTTGGGACTCTCAACTGAGATTTGTTTCTTTTTGGGGGGAGAGAGCGCCGGGCCCCATTTTGGGTAAGGTTTCCCCTTTGGTTATTCCCAAAAAAAGTGGCGCACTTTTTCAAAGTTTTTGAGGGGAGCCCCTTTGGGGAAACGGGTTTTAAGCCTTTTAAAAACCCGGTTGTCAAACACCTTTTTTTGGAGGGGGCCAGATAGTGTAGAGCTAAAAAAAAAAAAAAAAAAAAAAAAAAAAAAAAAAAAAAAAAAAAAAAAAAGGGTAAATAAATAAATAAAATAAAATAAATGCGAACGAGGCCCACTTTTATCACCGCAAAACGCCATCATATATATATAAATATATATATACTAGCCATTAAAGCATAGAACCCAAAACAAAGAAGAGGGAGAACAGTTCATGCCGAAATGTATTTTCCAGCGGGTTAGGTCAAAGCACGTCTCAACCAGCTAACCAACTTATCCACCCCCTCCATGTCGCTCGCGTCAACGTGCTCTCCCATCTCTTTCCTTGCATCATTGGGTATATGCCCTAGTAATACATCCATGGCGGGCTGGTGATTGCGGATGGCGGATGAGAGGGCGTAGACGGCTTTGCGTCGCACGGAGGTGTCCGGATCGTTCTGCGAGAGGGCGAAAAGGGTTGAGAGGACAGTGGGGGATTTGGAGAGGAGCTGTATGCGGAGGTCGATTTGTCAGTCTATATATACGTATACAAAGATAAAAAAGAAGAAGAGGAAGGAACAGCATTGATGAAGAAAGTATGAGCGAAAAAACGAAACAACGAAAGAAAAAGAAGAGAAAGAAAAAGAAAAGAAAGAAAGAAGAAAGAAAGATAAAAGAAGCAAACGTACCATCTCCTGCGCCCCAGCATTATTCTGCACAGCGGTTCCGATACACCACGCCCCCATCATCCGCCGCCCCGCCTCCGCCGCCTCGAGCTCCTGCACCAACGGCTCCCACAGGCCCAGCACGCCGAGGTTGTTCGCGTTATCGAGGTTCTCGACCAGTTGCTCGAAGTTATCAAAGGCGATGAGCTTGTCATCTAGCGTGGTGGTGGGGGAGCGGATAGCGGCCATGGCGTTTTTCATGAGTTCGGCGTCCGAAGGTGCGTTTAGGAGGAGACGATGGAGTGCTGTGGGAGAGAGGGAGCGCGGGGCAGGAGCTGGCGTCGTACCATCGGTTGCCGTTGTCGTTGGCGCGGAGTTTTCGATACTCCATTTTAGGAGGTTGTTCATTGAGGAGTCCATTGTGTATGCGACTATGGGGAGATTTGGTTTTGTGGGGGAGTTGAGCGGAGAGGAAGGCGGAATAGGGAGCGGGGGGACGAATGGAGTTTTGCTCTCACCCCGCTCTTTTTTATTGTGATTGTTATTGTGTCTTCCGCCCTACGCTGTAAAATGGAGTGTGAGATGATATGGTTAGTTTAAATCATATTTTACGAATTTCGCTCCGTTCACGGCAAGTTATTTACTAAGTACTGGTTATCCAAACGGAGCTCAAAGAAAAGAAATTCTGATGCCAAGCCTGTCAGACGCTTCCAAGGCATTCCGCCGCAGCATCATCAACCACTAGATATGCTGTTGGCGGGGCGAGATTTTGGTGGTCGGTTTCTTATATATTTTCTTAGGCACTTAATCGGTGAAATTTGGGAAGCAGAATGTGTAAATGAATATAAAAACTTATTGGTTAACTTCTCTTCCGCTCCCTAGATGTAATTATTTCCATTTAAGGTCTACCAAATAAGATACAACTCTAGGTAGGCATGCCATATATATATAAGTCCTTAGTGTTTCGATCAGCATCCACTGCCATCCTCAGTATATGTGCAAATGATTTTGAATGATGGCGTGCAGGCGCATGAGGACCATATCTTAGCTTCTACATGCCGCTTGCTCTCTGGTAGCAATTCATTCAGGAAGCACTGCGCTTTTGCCGACATAAAATATTCGCTATCATTGTATTTAAGTTGTACCCAGTCCTACCAGACATGTTTTCGGCATTGCGTTTTTTTCTTTCTTTCTTTCTTTCTTTCTTTCTTTCTTTTTTGGAGGGACATGTAAGGGTTTACCAGAACGAACATCGGACTTCGGATTTCTACCATTATGAAACAATCGGCTTTCGATTCGATTCTCTCGATAAGGTGATTTCGGAATCAGACATGGCAGGGGAGAGGCGGTTACGTAGAGGCAGCTAATTTCAATCAGCCGCCCGATGCACGATCATTAGTTGATGAAGAAGCGAGGAGCAATGTTGTTTCTGGTTAAATTGACCGCTTGTTGGCTTGCTTGTTTGAATGGCTGAATAGCTGGCTGGCTGGCTGACTGGCTGACTGCGTTTTCCCGTCCACGCATTTTGTCCTATTCAATCAAGTTGGCGTCCATGTTATGGCATGCCCGAGATAACTGGTATCGCTCGAAGATATTCCCAGAAGACTGATATATTAAATAAATAATGCCTGTTGTGATATCAGACTTGCCATTTGTTTCTCCTTGTTGAGAGCTCCGACAGCTCCAGAGCCGGTTGCGAGGACAGCCAGATGTGGGTGATTTACCCAGTGCATTGGCGTAATTTTGACAATGTTGCCATGTATAAAAAGATCTTATTCTGGATGGATAGCACAAAAGATGATGCAAGGTTGGTTGCACCCAGTCACTGGTCATTGGATGGATGTGTTCAGGGAAGCGTCGCGTAAACACAACACGTTGGATATCATCCTAGTAACCATACAGTTCATGTTCAGGGAGAGCGGAGAAGTCCTGTGTTTTCCAACGAGCCTTTCGAGAGAATATTAGGTTCCCGCATTTCCATAAGGTTTTGGGTTATTCATTTTTCGCCGCCGCACACAACGCGCGGCCTTGTTTGGCGGTTGCCTTGTGGGAATGTTTGGAGAGGGTAACCTGCATACGATGATGGGATGAGATCTCGCTGGTGATAAGGAGTCAACTGAGTGCGGGAAGAAACGGTGGCTTCGTTGGGCTGAACTCACAAACCGGCGTCTCTGTCAGATCGATTGTTCATCCGTTGTTCAGCTGGTGATAAATCTCGACTGAGGGGATGTTGACACAGGCGATACACGGCATCCTCACCGATATTGTATGGGGACAGAAGTACCCTGGATGTTCCATTTTGACCCCGCGGGGCTTCCTCCGGGACGATACCGTAATAAAATCATAACTGTACGGATACCACTTGGGCAAGTGCATTATAACACGGACACAGTCCACACAATCCGGAGATATAAAATGCAAAAGTAATAAATAATAAAACCATGTACAGATGTGTATGCCTGGAGGGATAGAAGTAGGCACTGGTATTCCCTGCATAGATTCGTCATGACCTCCCCTGAGGCCGCATTCCCTCGTCGTCGTCTCACCCAAAGGCAGCCGTGTTTTAGGGCACCACATATATACCAGTCCCTTCTGTTCCGTAATATTACCACGCAGTACCACATCCTTCCCCAGCCACTTCCACCTCTTCGTCGCCTCTCATCTTCAACTTCATAAATCCCAACATCCTCCAACATCCTCTTCTCATCTCCCATCTCCCATCCACATCGCCTATCCTCGTCTTATCCCGTGTCATTCCTCTCTCGCCCAACGTATCTTGTTTCTACTTGCTTTATATTGTCTCCTTTGCCACCTCGTTAAGTAGCCCACAATGGAGGGTAAGTTTCACGCTTTGGTCAACCTCCAGTTTCCCCTCCTCCCTTTTCCTCGCCTCTCCCTGATCTCCACTCTTTAAAAGAAGCCGCTAATATTCTTTCTCTCGAACCCGTATAGAAGAAGTCGCTGCCCTCGTTATCGACAATGGGTATGTGTTCCATTTCCTCCCTGTTCCTCCCTCCCGGATTCAATCTCCTCCTCCGTGTTGCTGTGTCCACGTCCCCTCTAGTCTGCACTACTGCGCACTACGCACCACACAAATGAAATTCCCTTATCCAGTCCACAATATCGAAATGCTGGTCTCTTCGCCCAAAC